GGTTGAGGTTTGTTTTTTTTTCTCTTTTTTTTCCCCTTTCTACCGGCATGCTTGGGGGAAGGAAATGCTGCCCGATTTTCAGCCCTTCCCCCCCCCCTCCCCTAGGCCATACGTTTAGGGCCTAGGGTTTAGGGCCTTAGGTTTAGGGCCTAGGGTTTGGGGCCTTAGGTTTAGGGCCTAGGGTTTGGGGCCTTAGGTTTAGTGCCTAGGGTTTAGGGCCTTGCGTTTAGGGCCTTGGGTTTAGGGCCAAGGGTTTAGGGCCTAGGGTTTGGGGCCTTAGGTTTAGGGCCTAGGGTTTAGGGCCTTAGGTTTAGGGCCTAGGGTTTGGGGCCTTAGGTTTAGGGCCTAGGGTTTGGGGCCTTAGGTTTAGGGCCTAGGGTTTGGGGCCTTAGGTTTAGTGCCTAGGGTTTAGGGCCTTACGTTTAGGGCCTAGGGTTTAGGGCCTAGGGTTTAGGGCCTAGGGTTTGGGGCCTTAGGTTGACGGCCTAGGGTTTGGGGCCTTAGGTTTAGGGCCTAGGGTTTAGGGCCTTACGTTTAGGGCCTAGGGTTTAGGGCCTAGGGTTTAGATGTATGTATATACGTGTGTATGTATGTATGTTTGTATGTATGCATGTATATGTATGTATGTATGTATGTACATGTGTGTGTGGGTGTGCAGGTGTGTATGTTCGTATGTGTAGGTGTTTATGTGTGTGTGTGTGTGTGTCTGTGCGTGTATGCATGTGCTTATGTATGTATGCATGTATGGATGTATCTGCCTATGTATGTATGTATGTATGTATGTACCTATGTATGTACTCATTTACACACACATACAAATGTATACATAATTGCGCACACGTATATACATGCATGTGTATATATTTATAGGTGCGTATATATAGATATATATGAAGATACACAAACATGTCTGTATATATATATGTATACATGTCTGTATCTATATATATTGTTTGTGTATGTATATACATACACATGTATGTATATACGTGTGTGTCTACCTATATGTAATATCTGTAAACAGATATAAATATATGAAGAATCGCCATTAAGGTCATCACCAACCTCTCCATAATTATTAAAACCATCATCATGCTCGTCATAATTATCAAACCACCATCATCGTCTTCATAGCCCTAGTCTTCTTCGTAGAACCCAGGTTTTATAATCATCAACATCATCATCACATATCATCATACACATCGCCAACGACATATTCACAATCGTCATCATAATCAGCATCGGCCATCATCATTCATCGTTGTTATCATCCACATAGAACGTCGTTATAGTCATCATCATAAACATCGAATCATCAATGAGATAGAAGCCAAGAAGCTGGAATAATTACCAGTACTTTTGCTCAGGGCTCAAGGCTCCTTGTTTTTACTGTTACACATCCCGGCGTTCACGGCTTTTGAAACATGCGACAATAATCAACAACATGTTGTTACGAAACAGAGTCTACTTAATGTATTTCCGAACAGGGTGAGAATTGAAATTTCCTATAGGATTTGTGCTTGGAATCCAAGAAAAACAAGGGTGCGAATTGTAATTTCCCATAGGATATGTATTTCGGAACAGGGTGCGAATTGTAATTTCCCATAGGATTTGTGCTTGGAATCCAAGAAAAACAAGGGTGCGAATTGTAATTTCCCATAGGATATGTATTTCCGAACAGGGTGCGAATTGTAATTTCCCATAGGATTTTGTGCTTGGAATCCAAGAAAAACAAGGCTGCGAATTGTAATTTCCCATAGGATGCTGTACCTGGATGCCAAGAAACAGAGTCTACTTAATGTATTTCCGAACAGGGTGCGAATTGTAATTTCCCATAGGATTTGTGCTTGGAATCCAAGAAAAACAAGGGTGCGAATTGTAATTTCCCATAGGATATGTATTTCCGAACAGGGTGTGTGCTTGGAAAAACAACGGTGCGAATTGTAATTTCCCATAGGATATGTATTTCCGAACAGGGTGCGAATTGTCATTTCCCATAGGATTTGTGCTTGGAGTCCAAGAAAAACAAGGCTGCGAATTGTAATTTCCCATAGGATATGTATTTCCGAACAGGGTGCGAATTGTAATTTCCCATAGGATTTGTGCTTGGAATCCAAGAAAAACAAGGGTGCGAATTGTAATTTCCCATAGGATATGTATTTCCGAACAGGGTGCGAATTGTAATTTCCCATAGGATTTGTGCTTGGAATCCAAGAAAAAGAAGGGTGCGAATTGTAATTTCCCATAGGATGCTGTACCTGGATGCCAAGAAACAGAGTCTACTTAATGTATTTCCGAACAGGGTGCGAATTGTAATTTCCCATAGGATTTGTGCTTGGAATCCAAGAAAAACAGGGTGCGAAGTGTAATCCCATAGGATATGTATTTCCGAACAGGGTGCGAATTGTAATTTCCCATAGGATTTGTGCTTGGAATCCAAGAAAAACAACGGTGCGAATTGTAATTTCCTATATAGGATATGTATTTCCGAACAGGGTGCGAATTGTAATTTCCCATAGGATTTGTGCTTGGAATCCAAGAAAAACAAGGGTGCGAATTGTAATTGTTATTTCCCATAGGATTTGTACTTGGAATCCAAGAAACACAAGCGCTAATCAGGGTGCGAGCGGGTGCGAATTGTAATTTCCCATAGGATATGTATTTCCGAACAGGGTGCGAATTGTAATTTCCCATAGGATTTGTGATTGGAATCCAAGAAAAACAAGGGTGCGAATTGTAATTTCCCATAGGATATGTATTTCCGAACAGGGTGCGAATTGTAATTTCCCATAGGATTTGTGCTTGGAATCCAAGAAAAACAAGGGTGCGAATTGTAATTTCCCATAGGATATGTATTTCCGAACAGGGTGCGAATTGTAATTTCCCATAGGATTTGTGCTTGGAAACCAAGAAAAACAACGGTGCGAATTGTAATTTCCTATAAGATATGTATTTCCGAACAGGGTGCGAGCTGGCGGTTTCAGCTGGGGGAAACAAGCAGAAGTCTAGAAAAGTGTTTGAATTCTCCGCAGATACAACGAAGAATTTCGAAGAATTTCGAAGATTTACGAAGATCTAAGAGGAATGGTCTAGAAAAGTGTTTGAAGTTCTCCGCAGATACAACGAAGAATTTGGAATAATTTCGAAGAATTTCGAAGATTTACGAAGATCTGAGAAGAATGGTCTAGAAAAGTGTTTGGAGTTCTCCGCAGATACAACGAATAATTTGGAATATTTTGGAATAATTTCGAATAATTTCGAATAGTTTCGAATAATTTCGAAGATTTACGAAGATCTAAGAATAATGGTGAAGAACCTGGAAGAATGAAGAATATTATGGAAGTTTACCGAAGAAAACTGAATATTTCCGAATATTTAAGCAGAAATGCAAACATTTCTGAATATTGTTGAATAGGGTTAAACACACTGAGAAGTACCCTTCTGAGAACCCTCCCTATCCTCATAGAAGATCTTCTTCCGGGGGATGGGATATGCAAAGGTCCAACGGAGATTCGGGGGGGGGGGGGGGAGGGAGGAGCACACTCGGCCTCAGGGCCTCGGCTCCCAAGAACTTCTCTGCCCTTTTTGTCGTTACAGTCGAGACTTGTTTTTGCGACGGCCAAGCAAGCCGCGAATATCTCACCGCTTTCGCAGTACCGCATTATTCTGTTGCTTCATCGCACCTTCGGTCTCTTAGGCAGTCCGGTTTCTACTCATTTCTTCATCAAACGTTCGAAACCTTGCTTCCCGATCAGAATCCCTCAGCCCGCTTGACCTCCGTACCCTGCCATCATACCCACCTGCTGCATGAGCATATCAACTTTTTAGGATCGCCAGATGCGTGATGCAAACAAAGGGTCGGGAATCTTTAGTCTTGCGGCACAAAACTGGGCAAGGAGGAGCCAGGGCGACAAACATCTAGCTGCCAAAGCCAGAGCTTGGCAAACGCATGGAAACATATGAAATGGTTAAAAGCGTGCTCCTGAGCATTCCATGCTGGGTGAACAGTTCGTCTGTACCTGGAGGACCCTTCAAACGATGTCACAGCATGAGCTATGACCCGTGCTTCAATGCGGCCTGGGTACCGTTGAGGTCTGCAGCACGAAATACCTGCGCCACCTGCGACGACACGAGGCTGAGAATGCAAAGTACCAACACCTGACCAACACCAGCCAATATAATGTACTGCTACCAACCATCGACACACTAGCCACACCATCATGTCGCTTTGCGCAAACTATCGAAGCTGTAGTTTTCACTGCGCTCCTGTGTTTTCCTTCACTTCAAGGCTTTTCGACTCGGTATTTGCGAGGGTTTCGGGTTTCAAGGTCTTCGGATTTTCTGGGATCATCTGGGCCTTTCGGAAATTCTGCTTTTCCAGAGTCTTCAGTTTTGGACGGTCTGTTTTTTCGGACTCTTCAGGCTTTGACGGTGGGCAGTCGGGATCTTCGGACTTTCTTCAGATTTCTCAGGCTGCGGCGGCTTTCAAAAGGAGGGGTGGGGGGAGGGGGCGGGATGGGGCCGGGGGGGATGATAACGATCATTCTACTGCTTCTTGGTGTCCAAGCTCTTCTTTCAGGCTTAAAAGCACGGCAGGGAGTGGACTTTGCTACCTCAACTGTAAACCGTGAAGACGTGAACCCTAGGCCCTAATTTCTGTATTACCAAAACCGTAACTTCAAACATATATCCAGAGGCAAGCCCAAATCTCCGTCTTGTCGCTTGCCCTCATCTCGGAGCCCCTGAGCCTGACCCTTTAGATAACTGCAACGTGGGAACCCCAAACAGGAAATATCACGAGAGCAGCTCTGGGGGGAAGAAAGACTGCAACGAAGCTGCAGCAGAAAAATACCGCAACGTGTGAAGCCAACAGTAACTTTACAATCGGACCTAAACCAATATTTTGTCCCAAAGCCCCTGTTGACCCTACCTGCATAAGCTATCGTGATTACCAGTGCTTTCGTGTTCTCAGACTGCACACCTTGTAGTTGCAGCCCCGGCTACAGCTCAACCGTTGACTTTGAAAGATAGCTAGGCTGGATCATGGACTCCTGGAATGGCACAGATGTGTGAGCCTGTTCTGAGGTCAGGTTGACTCCGAGGGTCTGCAGGACAGCCTCCAGTTCATTGACCTCGATGAATCCTCAGAAAGTGTCGTGCGTTCTGTGGTGCCTGTGAGGTCGACGCCCCGGCGACAGCCACGCTTGCTCAGCCAGCGGCCAGACTTGTTTGTGTCGATTGCCCTGAAGGCAGCCTGGAATTTCAGCTTCAACTCGGCCTCAGGGCAGCGTGCATTAAGGAAGAGGCAGGGCGGCCCGGATGGCAGGAATACAAACCATTTTTTGCTTCTTCTGGACATCACAAGCCGTGAGCAGCAATTTAGTGACAAGGCAAGCCGCATCCTCCAGTGCTTCTTTGGGGGGTGCCTCGCAACAACAGTTGAAACTCAAGTTGTTCGGACAACGGCTCGTATCGGAAAGTTCCCTGATTACAATTGCTCAAAATGCTGCGTCCCCCCATCTTCCAGACCTTCCAGCACAAAATGCTCATGTCTAGGTTTCATCTCACTTGGATTTGGGACTTGGCTGCGGCGCATGGAAACACCGAAGCAGCTCGCACACTTCCCTCTGGCTGTACGGCCGCTCGACCAACAAGGCTCCCATCAGACTCCAAAATCGCGAATTGGCAGGCTCCGCGCGTGAAGCCATTACAAGATCATTTCGGCCCACCCCAAAAAATGGTCTAACCAGATTACGATCGACTGCCTGATCTCAGCCCAACCGTAACACAGGCTACCCGAAACCAAGCTACCCCACAACTGCTCCAACTTAAATCTAAGATCACCTAACCCAGCTTACCGTGGGCTGACCCCAACGTAACGAAACCTAAAGTGACCCTAACGTAGGCTAACCTTGCATATACTGACCTTAGCCCAAGCGTAACCTGATCTGACATACCCCTAGTTCAACCGAACCCTGACTGAGCCAAACCCGACCTAGCCAAAGTCAGTTGAACCTCGCCTCATGTAACGTAGTTACCAAACAATTGGAAACGAGCCAAACCTAGCTTCAACAGACTGAATCTAGACTCATGCCACCGTCCACCCTAGTCTGATCTTACCCACCTGGGGCAACCGAATTCAAACCCAACCTGACCTCGTTTGTTTTAAGTCACGGCCCGTCACACCGAGCGGAGTCACGCTAAATATAGGCTCATTTAGACTAACTTCATCAAATCTCCCCAAGACTGACGTAACGTAACTTACGCTCACGTGTCCTATCCGTGATACAGCGGGGCCGAATTTCGGTCTGAATGAACTCAACCACAACGAATCACCAGCCAACCTGACATGATGTGAGCTAAAGGGACCTAACCTAACCTAGCGTAACCCGGAACAGTTCATGCCAAACCAGGATAGGTCAAGTTAGCACACTTGACCCTTTCCCGGCTTAACCTGTTAGAGTATTCGGACTGAGCCGGAACGTTTATGTTGTTGTATCTCAACATGAGCTGGCCACAGCTAGCCTAACCAAATCAACCTGAGCGGACAACATGTCTTCTTGATGAGGCCCTAGGAGAGTGGCAAAGCCTGACTGTTGCAAGAGGCCTCGGCAGCGGCTGGCTCCACAGGCTTGGAACCCTCCTGCGAACAACAGCAGTTCAAGGCAGCGCACACATATGGACCTGGCAGGGCATGCTTCGATCCCGGATGTGCAGTTATGTTCAGGACTATGACAACTCCAAGGCCAACAGTGAATATCAACAAAAAGAATCATCATCATTGTGATTCTCGGCAGTAGCAGCGACAGAGATGATGAATGATGCTTGAATGCTATCGTATCTCAACATGAGCTGGCCACAGCTAGCCTAACCAAATCGAGATCAACCGGACAACATGTCTTTTGGCTGAGGCTCTAGGAGAGTGGCAAAGCCTGACTGTTGCAAGAGGCCTCGGCCGCGGCTGGCTCCACAGGCTTGGAACCCTCCTGCGATCAACAGCAGTTCAAGGCAGCGCACACATATGGACCTGGCAGGGCATGCTTCGATCCCGGATGTGCAGTTATGTTCAGGACTATGACAACTCCAAGGCCAACAGTGAATATCAACAAAAAGAATCATCATCATTGTGATTCTCGGCAGTAGCAGCGACAGAGATGATGAATGATGCCTGAATGCTATCGTATCTCAACATGAGCTGGCCACAGCTAGTCTAACCAAATCGAGATCAACCGGACAACATGTCTTTTGGCTGAGGCCCTAGGAGAGTGGCAAAGCCTGACTGTTGCAAGAGGCCTCGGCAGCGGCTGGCTCCACAGGCTTGGAACCCTCCTGCGAACAACAGCAGTTCAAGGCAGCGCACACATATGGACCTGGCAGGGCATGCTTCGATCCCGGATGTGCAGTTATGTTCAGGACTATGACAACTCCAAGGCCAACATTCAATATCAACGAAAAGAATCATCATCATTATGGTTCTCGGCAGTAACAGCGACAGAGATGATGATAGGGGCGACGATCATGACTATTGCACACAACATGCAAAACACAAAAGGCAACGCTAGCAACGCTTCCAACATGCATCTGGCTTCGGTGCTTGTGTTGAAAACTCCAAACAACACGTGGCGATGTGTTTTGATGTCTTCCTCACTTCGTGCTTTACACTAGCCTGCATGCTGCGCCCAGCCTCTGGTGCAGCCTCTGGCGGCTTGGCGCCGTCATGCCACATGTCACACAATTGTGCGTCATGTCACTGCTCAGAATAAGAAGACCTAAGTGAGCATGCATTGTTGTCACCGATTCGGAAATGATCAAACAAGTTCAAACCACTTAAGCCGATGAATTGCAGCCGTCGGTAATTGCATCAGTGTATTGCCTCTGTCGCAGACTCGGCCGGCTTCGTGGCATCCTGCCGGCACACACGAGTATGTCATCCCTTGCCGTCTTGCTCTGGAGGCATATTCAGTGGACTCAAGAGGAATCTTCGATGTCCGGGAATGAGAGCTTTCAGTCTTGCCAGCTGTCACCATCAGATCCCAGAGTGCGAAAGGCTACCCAGAAATCACCAAACCTTTAGGCAACATCTTACTCTCGCAGCAACTGCCCTGCGGGTGCCGTCTGGCCTGTGCGGGCTCTTCAGGCTTTGCAGCTTCTGCTCCAGCCTGCAGTGCAGCCGCTGGCATCGAGCCGGCTCGTTCTGCTCTTCACGCGGCGAAGCCTCCTTCTGCTCTGAAGCGGAAGCAGCGCCTCCACACAGGCGATTGAATTCTGATCCACTGCGGCTGCCGACTCCGTCCCGCACCTGCGGATGCCTCCTTTATCTTGGCAAGCTCCTCGCCAATATCCACAAGCTGCATGACTGAGGAAAATCACGAAGCAGCTTCGGACAAGGCAGAAAAACGATCCTCGGTGGACAAGGCCGCCAAAGCTGCCGTAATGTCGGCAATTGAAGCCTTGTTGAAAGCCTGGCAAGGGCTCGTGTAGAGTGGGAAGGCGGTGGTGCTGTGTCAAAGCAGCAGTGGCAGCAGTGCTCCGGTACAGAAAGATGTACACGACATCTGCGAATGCAACCTAAGACCAACCGAAGCTAACTACTTTCCACCTGCGTGCGCCCCGGCCAATGCACTGAAGCGATCTGCACGGCCGGCACATTTGTCAGAACACAGCCTCTGCAGCCTCTGTGGAAGCGCCAGCACCTGCTACACATGCCCTGGTTTCTCTGCCATTGCCATTGAATCTTGACTGAGATTGCATGAAGCCAGTTTACAGTCTCTCACGCCAAGCGGCCCATGATGTCTTCGGAGAGGCTGCGTGGGGGCCCACGTCGCCAAGCTTGAGCTCTAGTTGCGGTATGCTGGACGGGTGGAAGGCAGCTTCGAGCGAAAGAGCAGAGCTTTGGGGTTGATTCTGAAAACGCTTCACTTCCTTGGGGCCCTGGCATCCAAGGAGGGGGGAGCAGCGAAGCCAAGAGCAGGCGAGGGACTGAGACTGTGCCCTGGTTGCCCTGATGCCTCACGCAGAGGGTGCCGCAACAATTCAATTCTTAAATCATGGTCATCATGGTCTTTACCTCGAAAGTGCAGATCGCGTTGTCGCAGGAGGCCTGTTCCAGCTGACAGTGATAGTGGGCCAAACCCCTTCAGAGGCTAGCCTCGTCGGGGAGCACGTGTCGGCAAGTGACGAGGAAGAGCAAGCCGGCGAGGTGATCCTGACTTAGACGACGGAAACCAAGGACGAGCAGAACTCCTCGTCAACTGGCTCGCCATTGCCGGCGAGATGCTGGGAAAATACCCAGGAAGCCGGTGCCCACCTTGGACTCGATACCTAACTCAGGTGCGGGACATGTTCGCCAAGCACATCTCAATCTCTGGGTGACAACCCCATATTTGCGCTTTCGCCTTCGACATCTTCGACTTCGACTTCGATGATGCAGACCTGATCGGAGTTTCGAGAACTCAAACCGAGAGTGCCCCAGAATGCGCGGCATGTCCAAACCCTGAGGAAACAGCTCCGGAGCCCAGGCGCTGCAACTGCTTTGAATTGGCCGACTCCTCCTGTAGCAGACAGATCTTGTGTCTGTCCGCACCTTGAGAGAGCTCCTGCAATGCAATCGAAGAAACATGCAGCGGGATCAAGTTATGAGGCTAACAGAGACTGAAGCCACTGGCATGTGTTTGCAGCTACTTGATGCGCTTGATGGGGTCCTGCATGCCTCATTGTCGGCGAATCTGTCGGACCCAGGGCAGCAGAAGGGACGCTTCTGCTTGTGACTCCCGACAGAGACTCGCAATGCCAAGCCAGTGATATTCAGATTCTCCTGACTTCTGGATCATAAGAGAATGAGTACGCCTTACAAGATGGCATGTATGGCATATCAGTTGTTTGGGCTCACGATTCCCGTGACCCACTAGCCAAAGACAAACTGTGCAGGAGTTTGAGCTGGTGCAAAGCTGGTGGCCAAAAACCGGCGAACTCCTTGCAGGTGTACCCTCAAAGTTTCGCCGGCTTCGTGCGGCACGATGATGAAACAGAAAATCTCGGTACCATTCCTTTTGCAACCCGCCAGCATCTCACTCGCAAGTCGCTCTCAGTTCTGATTCAGACACGAAGCTGGCGAGCCTGCAAGCGGCGAGTGTGCATGCGCACACTCATCCACCGACCCTCCCACCCCGCCACCCAGCCACCAAGAGACACACGCACGCAAACAGACAGACAAACAAACGGACGAACGGACACTCTCGCTCCGCGGTGGAAGGCACAACTATACTTGCGACAACATGAGACATGGTCAAAAGCAAAGCCCGGGGCTTGGATCTTCTGCTCGTTTGCTTCGGAATGTCCTCAGCTGCCTTGGAGGAGCACGAGGCAGCACGGCGACAGCGAATAGCCGAAGTACTCCCCGTGCCCCCATGAAAGCTTCAACTTCTAGGCATCGCAACTCAGTTGAGATACCGCGAAGGCAAGCGACAGCAATAGTGATAGCGAAATACATATATACATCTAGCGTTGGGTGTGAGGCGAGTGGTGCTAGTAACTGGTAGCAAAGAGTTATCAATAACTGACTCTGCTACTCGTCATTGCTGGTGACCACCATGAACCCGAGCATGCGCGCACGCTACTGCAAACGCTGAGTGCTATGCGCCGAAGTGCCGTACAACTTCTCCCGCGAGCCACTGATGTGAGTCCTGCTGGTCCACGGCCAAACAGTGCAGAAGCTACCTCTAGCCTGTTAGCTCCTTGAACGGGAAAAGATCAGCGATGACCTCGTTCCGCTTTGGGATGCTGGAGGGTAACACCTGACAGCCAACCAAAGCCCCCCATCACGCTACATGCACTTCTACGTGTGCTGCCGACATGGCACTTTTCGCCGAGTGCTGTGCCTGTGCAGCGCTCGCCAGCACGGGCGAGAGTGAGCAGCTGATGCCCTGGAAATACCATGCAAGTGTGACCTGCAGCCACTTGCTCGCAGTGCGATTGTGTGCGCTGCCAGGGACGCATGCGAACAGGGTCTTGATGCGTTCAGAAGAACATCTCAGAGTGCATAAGAGCTTGAAGAATCAATTGCACCGGCCTGTAGGCCAAGTGTGACTGCCAATCGGATCTGAGACCCAGGCCGACTTGTCAGCTACACCCCCCAGGCCGAAAATCCCGCCCTCCATGTCAAGCAGGGAGTACAAGCGACGGTGCCTGGAAACGCACATGAGGCCGTTTCGACTTCTGCGGTCCCAAACTTCAAGCTAAGCTGCCGTTCTCACAGCAATATGTTTGCGAAGCTAAGCCAATCAAGGCCTTCGAAGAAGGAGTGCTGCTTCCCGCAGAAAGGCCAAAGCTGCCTCGAGTCTAGCAAGAACTCCTTAGAGAGACTAGTGCCATTGGGGGTCTTGGGTCCAGTATGTTTCGGGTTCACGGTTGCTGTCTTTGCGTAACTTGCCGCAGTGCTCAAATCCCCACATGCGGACAGGAAGCATGGCAGTCAGCCGTCAAGGAGATAGACAGCAGTTGCTCAAGCAGCGCAGCCAATGCCTCATCGACTAACCCAGCGATGCGAGATAAAGCGAGCACTAAAAAGAACAGCCTTTCCCCATGTCATCTAGACGCTCGCTTTCGCAAGCATGCGCTGAGGACACACATTGGCCGCATTGGCAACACAGGGACCGCACGTCACAGCCAGCGATTCCACATGCAGCTGAGCACAAACCCCTCGGCGGACAACAACTCAGGTAAAACCGAGATGCCGCAAAGTCTGCGCACGACACCACAACAAACAACGAATAACAACAAAAGCAACACACCCGGACAGTGTGTGGATGATACGAAAAGCATTGCCAAACCCTGGTGCACAGCATGTGGAGTCGACTTTCAGTAAGCGGAGTCGACTTAGGTCAGCCACCTAGTAGCCACTTCACAAGATTGATACAAACAACTCGCGACCGATTTCGGGGAATAATGCTACATCATTGGAATCATAACGCAATTGTCCCACATGAAGCTTCAAGGCAGACGCCTTTCATTTTCTAGCCTGAGCAAACTTTTCCTACAGCTCAACTGTAGAGGTCAACGAGCGCCCGTGCTCACCACACCAAGGCGATGGCAGCGTCCGATGCTGTGCTATAGCCCTGAGGACACCTGCTGCAGAGGCCGCACACGTTTTCCCAAACAGCTCAAAAGATGCCTCAGCGCCGCATGGAGGCATCGCAAAACCAGTGCTGGGACCTGAAGAGCTCGAGATTCTTCCGGGTCTCTGATTACAGACTGTGCGTGTCGGAGCTGCGCTGGGCTCTAGCTTTTCTCAGTGTCAGACACTTTTGCCCTCCATGGCTTCTGCCAGATCCTCGCCACCACAACTGCTCAACATCATGAAGCCAGCCCGTGCTGCATTGCTGCAGCACCTGACTGTGCGCTGCAAGTTTACGGTAGTGCTGTGCGTGCAACGTCCTTATCGGAAGCCAGCACCTGGTGCACAGGAAACACTAGAGATTCCGACAAGTAAAGTATCCGAAGAGCAGCTACGAGTAGCACAAGTCAGGCATTCATCTGCCTCGCCCTCATCGTCTTCCAGGAAACATCGCGGAGGGGGCCATGCGGCACCCTGGCAAGATCTGCTCAGGCTTTACACAGATCGTGTCGGTCAGCGGCATGGCAAAGCTGCACTTGCTGTCCATTCTTTTCAAACCAACTCAGCGTGCCGATCCCTGTTTCTTACAGGGCGTCAGCATGCGAACTGCGTGCCCGACTTGGAGCATGCAAGGCAGTTGCCTGAAAGCATTGTCAATCTTATGTCCAAGACATCGACGATCGTCCACGGCATTAAATTTCTTTGGCGCGACAACAGCGCGCTGCCGTACAGGAGGTACGAAACCCTCTCTCGTTTACGATTGTGCCCAGCTAAGACAACTCTTCGCTAACAGCGTGGCATGATGCAAAATCAAATCGAGAGTGCCCAGTATGGGCAAAACGAAGATATAGTCTCGAGGCGCTTCCTGGAAAGCATCAAGTCGCACCACTCGCGTATCAAAAGCTCATGAGGCAAATGCTCGTCCGATTCAGTCCTGAATAGAGGCCGGCCGCGTTTGTATCGAGGCCTTCAGCAGCATCCGATGTACCCAAAGCCAAATTGGCAGAAACCGGTTTGGCTGTCCAAACAGTAGGGAAACGGATTCAGTCAAGCAGCCAGTGAACTGGTGTTCGATGGGATTGTGCCATTGGACCATGACACACTTTCCACAAGCCAGTGTGCCTGAGCTCCATACTTGGAAGTTGTCCAAAGCTTGATGTTGTGCCACCACACATCTCAACACTCCTTAACAGCCACCCCCAAACCATCGGTGACATACCATAAGCATCGAGACCCAACTTGACACATCGACTCAAGGCATCTCAAGGCTTGGATGAGTCACCTCCAGAATACGGCGCTCAGGGTCAATTTCATCGGCATGCTTGCAGAAGCTTAGGTCGCACTCTGAAGCAAACTTGGAGACCTCTGGCAGAAACGCACTGCAACTCTGTCGCCGGCATTTGTCGGGCCTCTTTCCAGTGAGTGTTTGCTGTTTTGGCCTCCTCCCCCTCCTCAAATGCATGACCAAATTCTCTAAGCAGGGGAAACAATATATCTTCAGGTGAATTCAACAGGCACACCTTTATCAGCACGGTTCAGTAAGAGAAGCGGCTAGCACAACACGGGTTCTCGACGTGAAGGATCAGCATTTAGCGGTCACATGTGCATCTTGTCATCTTATCCATCTTGGCATGTACGTGTATCAAAACACAAATGTCGAAGTGGTTGTCATGGTTGTCGCGGTGCCTCTCGCGGGCTTCTCTGTGGTCACGTAGTCAAGCTGCTTTTTTTGAAGATGGGGTTGTGAGGTTTTGATGTTGGGGTGGTCACGGCGTGTGGCCCTGGGTTGGGAGCCAGGATTTTTGGAAATTCTTTCTAGGGTTTCCGTGCTGACGGTCTGATGCGGTCCGGTCGCACTGGCCACCACCTGCCAGGAACCCTAGGTAGCGCGGACACCCGTCCTGCCTTTAGATCTCATGGAGTTGGCCATGTGAGTGTGCAGCTCCGTCTGGCTACCAGTTTGTTCCGTTGTGCTGCATTCTGCCTTACAGTTGCACCCGCCCGCCCGAGCTGCGGGCTGCTGCCGATGGACAGGCGTCTTCGACGCGAAATTGCGACACAGTTTGATGCACACACTTCCTCTACAGGGGGTTGATGCCCAGCACCACTGTTTTGCGGCATGTTCTGCATCCAAACACCTCCCAGGCTTTATGCACTGTAGATCACGGCAGGGGTCGTAATGAACGCGCTGAGGCATGATGATAATGAGCGAGTAGACGGGAGGGCACTCACGTGGGCGCTCGAACTCTAGCAAGTGAGACTTCCAGGCGAGGTCGGAGTTCGTCCGGTCGGAAGGAGAGCGAGCACGTTGGCTCAGCTTAAGCCGCGGAAGGCCAGCCCCTTAACACCAGACAAGGCCAAGCTGTTGGTGCTGACAGTGGAACACCTACCAGATTCAAACTTCTCAGCGACTAACGTTCCGTTAAGGTTTCCGAAGCTTTGCCTGCTTCGTGTCTGACGAATTAAGCACTGTGCAGACTAGGTGCAGCATCTTTCACGGCTGGGAGGAGCCCCGCTGTCCAAATAATCTTGAGAGCTGAGAAAACCGTCTCCAGGGCACAAAGCCAAATGATGATCCAAGTGAGCCTAGCCAAGGTGGGCAACGCGAAACCTCCGACCGTGAAAGTGGGAACAAGTCCAGCCTGCTCCCTTGTCTTTCATCTAACTTGTCCTTGAGAACGTCAAACATGTCCTCAAGCACCTACGGGATGGGAATCGACGAGTGAGGGCGGGTGAACTCGCAGGTGAATGAGACTAAATAGTGTACGAGAAAGCTTGTGCGTCAAGTGCTTGTGCATCCCGAACATTGAACAAACCAGGACCTCGAAACGGTGATTGACGATGTGGATCCGGCGGTCCACATCCAAATGCTGCCTTGCGTAGACGTAGATGGGCTCCTGCTGTAGCAATCCGCAATCAACTTTTCAGGTATCCAGGACTTTGTGCACACATCTAGTCTGGACGATCTTGCCGGCGATCCCAGTGCCGCTTAGACGCGGCTTCTTCAAACTCCCAGAACACATCGGGGGTGTCAAGAGTGTCGAACTCAAGATTCACCTGATCTGAAGCGGGATTCTGTTTAGGGCTTAGGGTTATGGGTTTAGGTTTAGGGTTAAGGTTAGGGTTTGGGTTCTAGGGGTGCGACTTAGTAAGTGTGGTTATAAGTAATTGGGGTTATATGTTGTGCCCCAGTGCTCCAGCCTGGTTTTTCAACGCGAAAAGCTCCCCCATCATCTTCGCGACGTGCTGGCTGCTCAGGAGCACACGGCCTGACAGCGATGGAGCGAGGTGTGAACACGTGTGCTGGATTCGCACTGCATGCGGATGCGAGGTGGCCGAAATCTTCTCAAAAAGCCACCCATGCCACCCCGCCTGTGCGAGCCATGTCTTCTGGGATGTTGCGTGTGGCAGCTATCCACTCGTCAATGCGCTGTTCCCAGAAACCTCCGGATGGCTGGGCACATTGCGCAGGTGTGTCAGGAATTCATCTCAAACATTGAACACTACAGCCAGGATGCTGAGGCGGACAGACTGAGCCAGAGAGTAGGCGATGGCAATGCGTTCCTGCACCTGCATCTAGGGACAAAAATAGGGCCCCCACAAAGCGCATAAGCAAAACTAGGGTAGGGATATCCCATTTAAACCCCTCATAATGAAGCCCGTTAAGGTAGGGATATCACCATAAATTATGCTTCTGCTTATGTCCTTTTTTTGGCCCCTAAATGTCTCTTGTTTTCTTTTGCAAACGAGGGAACCACGCCCCCTATGCTAGCCCTTCCTCTGTCGATGGCTCTCACTAGATCTGGCGCTGCATCTTGCTTATCCATCTGCCCCATCAGGCCTTGTGGCACACGGGCAATGCATCGCCCCCCGCGATGTTGAGATGATCGATCTCCACCTGTGTGGATGTCAGCGGTTCCTTCAAGAAGTTCTTCACGGAGTCCCGCGCGGCGTGAACCTCTTGAGGAGTGCATCCCCAGCACACCAAACAGCCGAAGGAGAAGACAAAGCAATCTTTCTCGTCAACTTTCAACAGGGCCACATCGCTGTGGAAACGAATCACCTTGGGCAGCTGCTGCTGCCATGATTGGGGTCGGCGTCTGTGCATAATTAGCTCCGACATGAAACCTAACCACTGCACAGAAACCATCGAACAACCTCCAAATCGGAGAAAAAGTCTTGCTGATTTGCCAGCAGTATGACAGGTCGCGGTGATGTGTGCGGTATTCGTCTGAGGCTTGCCTGCAGAATTGCAGATACTTGCAGTTGCTCTTCGCAGTGCTCGAAACAGAAGCGGTATCTCTACGCTTACCCCTTTCGAAGAGCAGCAAGAACTGGTGTCAGTGGTAGAAGGGCCTTCCAATTCTCGGTCAACGCCTGTATGTCGAGACTGCTTGCGAGGTAGTATGCAAAGCACCAGTCCTGGGAAGTCTGACCGAATTCAGGCCCTGCACCCGCAGAGGTTTCGGAATACTTGATGGCCGCGGCAAATGTCCTCGTTCGGCTCGGTCGGAGCAGGGTCCCAGTTGCTCCTGAGCAAAGCCAAACCACAGTCACGACATGCCCGTGACCAACGCACATGGCTCCGACTCCAGAAGACTGAAGTGCAAAGCTGCTGCAGGTACGAGTAGGAACAAAGACTTGGAAGGGGCATGTGCAGATTGTACGGGTAATAACAGTGTGTTGTGCCTGACCCGTGTGGTCGAACGCTGTGCTCCGATGGAGGCAGTCCGCCTGGCACCTGCAACATGTAGAAGAAGCATGCATGTGGCACGTCTTGTTTGCACAGCTTTGCGAGCACTTGCACATAAAGTCTCTCCTTGCTGGAACGAAACCTTTATTTGCGCAACAATCTTTGTACCCACTTGGCGACACGTGAAGAGTTGGGCATGAGCTGCGATGCAATTCACGTGCCCGCTTCGGAGACCTTTTGCTCTAATGCTGGTGCACAACCTTTAATTCAGGCAGAATGTTGTCACACTGTTCGGCTCTACTCCTGACAGATGCCCATCCTCGTGCTAAATGCTGGTATGGCGGGCTTTGTCGTTAGCTGAAACATTCCTTCGAAGCGCATCATTCAACTCAAGTCAAAAGAACTTCACTACAAACAGGAGAGTTCACCGTGAAGCGCAGCTTGGGCAACAGTTGAAGCCTCTCAAAACTACTGCGCTTTCTCTTAGCGTGCTTTTCTCCTCACATCATTTTTTCGTTTCGATCGCCAAGCGGAAGTTCAAGGGAATGCGAACACACAGCACCACACGTGTTCACAGGATTTAGCCAGCGAGCAGAGAGGAGCAACACTAAATTGAGCTTATGCGGCTATTGCTAGCTTGCCCCTGCTGCCTTCAAAAGCGGAGGCGGGCTGGGGCGGTCCCAGAGGGGCGAGGGGGCGCCGTTTTGTTGCCAACAGGTCAACACTAACTTACTCACCCGTTCAGAAATCTCCTGCCAATGTCGTGCACCTTGTGGCCTCAGATTGCAGTCCACTCTCTGCCGTCCCAACTCATTTATCTCTACGTGCGCGCAGAGCGCCGACTCTGGATCGCAAGTCCGATGCAAGATTTACACATTTCCAATAGTAAACCGCAATCCTCAAACCGCTGTTTGAAGTCGTCACAAACTCACGGGCTCTTCACACTCGTCTACCTGTGCCCAGGCCTCGGGGTGCTGAGAGGCTCCGCGATGTGCCAAGCGATGTGGCCCGCACCAAGCCTGCAAAGTCCAGACTTCCGACACGATAAAGACATGTGTGGTCGATCACCGACTGAAGTCAGGCTTCAGGGTGGGATGTGGGAACGAGGCCGAGGCTGGCAGGTTGGAGACGCCCACGTCGCACGGCCGGCTCCTTCCATGCAGTGCAGCACTGAGTCGTGAAAGGCGGAGAGTCCCAAGCCTGGCGGCCGATGATTCCCGCCGGGCGTTCACGCCGGACACCAGGTCCCGGGTTCGGCGCTCGCTCGCGCGGGCGGACCATGAACACTGACGTTGCAACCCGCTGCTGCCCCGGTGTTGGTGTCAGACAACTGCGTTGGCTTTAACCAAACAAGAAATTTCCTGAGCTGTTGATTGCAAATGCAGCAGTCTGTGAAGGGGGTGTTGGAATGCCATGGCGATTTTGGTGTGCGACACTGATCCAAGACTCCGGCATGCAAGCGGATATACCGATCAAGTCGGGCACACGCGTGCCGGCCATGCTTGCTAGATGCCTCGACATGCTAAAGTCGTCCGGTTGATTGCCTGTCCAGCTCTGCTTTTCGTGTGACTGTCTGCAATACCTTATTACATAAGATCTAGTGACTCAAGTCATCCTTGCATCGGCCCGCCTCAGAGTGAACGGAGAACATCGACGGCAAAGCCAAAGCCAGGGCACTCGTCATCGAATCTGAAAGCCAGCTAACGTCTGTGAGCAAGGCCTGAGCAATGTTGTATTGCTGGTCTTCGTACATCAAAGTTTGCACCGTGCTCAGGTTCCAACATGACATGAAAGACTGCGAGTTCGTGCAATTGCTCTGGCCATCCGCAGAAGCAGCAAGACGCCCCCAACCACTTCCGACGAGTCAAAGAAAGATGATACGTGGATGCAGGAGAAGAAAAGGCTTCATCTCTCCTCCCTTTGGTGTACATATAGTGCACTCTGTCTTTGCACATGTGCCTCTGCACTACGCACAGGACATAGAACTGCTGTGATGGTTTTTGCAGCAGCTCAAGGAGATGAAGACACAGTTGCCTGGGAAGGCCCGCTGAGTAGCACCAAAGCGCAGTTGAGGCCTTGGGTTGAGAAGTCGGTAGAAATCAAAGGCATTCAGATATGAACCCATCTCATGCAAAACACACTGTCGAGCTCAGCTCAGTTAGCTAGAGATCGTGCGGAGTGCTCTTCCAAGCAAATCGGAGATGAACACTGAAGGAACGCTCCTTTCGGTGGAAAAAGGGAGGCTCGCTAGGCTCGCTGGAAATCCCCACATTCTGAGACGAAACGATGCTTTCTGGGCAGGTAGCCATGAAGTGCCACTAGTTCGTCGGATCTTCCGATGGCATCCTGAGCTCGAAGACAGATCCGCTCGCAGGGTGCCTCTCGTCATCCCTACACAGCGTCTGAATGGCACCTTGACTGCCAGGCGCAGCTCTGACAAAATCTCCAGAAGAAGCTCCAGGTTCACCTGTCGAAAGACAAAACCCCTTGGCTATGGAAGTGGTCTTCCGAACTTCCAGCAGGCCCGGACCCTTTCGTAAGCTGCCCAAATTCATGACGCGACGACGAAACCATGCTGGCCTGCTGTCCCCACCGTGCGAGGCCGGTGAGCACCGTGCCCATCAGTTCACGACCTAGGCTGCGGGCCAAGGCTTGACGGGATTCTGATCGGCACCGAACTACAAGGCTAGCATCCCACCTTCATATATGCAGGAACTTTACACATCCCACACATGCAAGCCCCGAGATGGCCCCGAGCAGCCTTCTTACTTGTGGAAAGTTGTACCGCAGCAATTCTGATTACATGGTACAGTGAAGCGTGCAAGCATTAAAAGGGCCATACTGTCACCTCTGCTTACAGTCCTCCAAGCCATCCTCACTATAACATAACTTGAATGCCCCTACCGCAGTTTTCATCCTGATCCTATCTGGTATAACCCCTTGTACCGCATCTGCGCCTGCTGGACATTTGCCAGTAGCCGGAAGTGCCACCGACTGCATCCCCAAACACAAGCTGGACAACTCTCAACTACAACTTCGACAAACAGTAAGGTTATTAGTCATGAGAAAGTCGAGAGGAAGATCCCTTGTCGAATGAACGCACGGTCCTAGCGACTGTCTGGTACCCTTCAGAGCGTTAGAGTGATTGGCTGGAATCCTCCCGAGTCCAATCGACCTGATGACAGAAAGCGAAAGCCCAAATTTGTGAGATCTATTCTGTGACTACTAACCGAGTCTACCGGCAGCATACTCGCCGCACAGTCTTGTGACTTGGCCGTCTCATTCTAGGGACAGGTCTGTGCAGATGCCGTTGCCGGAGGATGCGGAGGTAGACTACAAACACCTGTGGCATCGGCAAGACGAGACAGTCGCGGGTTCTGGTCTGTCTGACAGCAGCGGCTGCAATCTCACAGGCATGCGGGGACTCATTGAATGCTTGTTGCAAAAATAAACTTTCGCCTGCGTGTTGGGATGATTCACGGAAACACAACTAAAACTGAACACCGTCGACTTGCACCTCGTACAGAAGCTCGCCCTCGCGCTTCCGCAGCTGTTCAGCGCTCAGCGTGATGGAGGCCTTTTCACTTAGGAAATCATCTTCCCTAGAGGCGCGACCCAGAGACCCAAAGCCTCAGCCAATCCCTTCTTGACATCCTCATCCGCGTTGGACATGTCACCTACCAGCCAACGGATCCAAGACAGCACCGCTTTGCGCCGTGCCGATGCGTGCATTTAATTTGAAGGCATCCGCTCAGAACTGCGACTCGACTCGACAGTAATGATCAACAATGTACGACGGACGGTTAGTGTCCTCCGGTACAGTGTCGGTACAGACTTAACCAGCTACACCTGCAAACATGGACCGCCGTGCCTGCAGGTCCTGCCAACTCGGCAGCATCGGCGCGACCGATCGGCAAGTGGAGGAGGACCTGACAATTTCGATTGCCTCGACTGTGAAACGTGCCATCACGATCAAGCCAGGCGATCAGAATGGCATGATTGTCCAATACCTAATCTCCAAAGACAAGCTGTAGAACTTTGAGGGTTGGTGCGGCCTGTAGCAGCTCGTAGTGCAAGCCCCGGTGTGCTTGGTTGGTCTCAGAGTCCTACATTGTTGGCATGCGGCAGTTTCACTTCCAATGCGAAGGGTGGAGCCCTGGATGCTATTCTTTCCGAACTTGTCATGAGCTTCTGTCGACGGAGGCTTCCGGGTGTTCCCCTGCCCGAGCTCCTCTGCTGTCACTGCTTTGGCCTTACGCCCTGCCATGCCCTGTGCCAAGCGCCCAATGGCCAGCACGGCCTCTTTGGAACCCTGGCAGCGTCACACTTCGCAGCTCGCCCCACGACACTTCAAATCCCGATGTCTGCCCCCACGTCCAAACTGACTTGGCCTCCAGCCTTTGATCCGACTCCACCATCTCCTGGACATCAGAATCCTACTGCACTGCGCTGACTTCTACTGGAACACAACTTGGCGTTCCAAGCATACTGCAGCAGAATGCTCTCGCATCCTGAAGTCCAGCTACTAAAGGTGCTCGGACGTCTTTCTCAGGGCTGTTGCAGTGCCTGAACACAAGAAGGCATGCACTTCTGCACCATTTGCCTCGGCATGTTTCCACATTCAACCCCCAGCTCGCTTGGTCTCAGGCTTTATGGCGGTGCCAATTAAGCGCTGCCGATAGTTGAAATCGAACGCAGCCTTCGAGATCCAGTCGGAAGTTGGGAGGGGGGCAGATTGTGCACTGCTCTCGCATCCCGCCGCGCGAAACGCAAGCCTTCCGAAAGAGAGGAGCATCCAATCAGCAGCGAGCACGAGCATCACACATAACACATAACTGCTGCTCGATCTTGATCGTAATGCGGTTTGACTGATGCACAAATTCCTCAAGGTAGCAGCTGGTATCTCGTTCTGCCGAAAGTGTCGGACGAATGATCGCGGAAGGTGCCATGGAGCAGCTGTTCCCGGCTAGGATTACAGACCTCTGTCTACATGATGACATAGCTTTGAAAGACTGGGCTTTGTGTTGCTCGTCGGCCAGGCTGTGCCTTAATCATTGCCCCCAGCGCCGGGGCTGTCGCAACGGGGTGGTTCCGCATGGCTGCCTGCTCACAATCGCCCTTCGTGGAGCGCAATGCAGTACACACATGTACACACCTTACTGTCCCATGATGTCCCATGCATATCCCTCTGGGTCATCATTTTTTGCTCCCCGCGCTCAGCCTGTTCTCCTCAAACGACTTTCTCGCATCTGCTTGGGCCACGTGTTCTGTACAGCTGACCCTTGCATCTCCTCCCAACTTGTTTGAAGCGTGTTCCTTCTCGGGACTTCACCCGAAGGAACGACAGCTCACGAACAAGGAACCCTTTCGCAAGAAAAAACACAAAATGTAAAGACAGCCTCGTACTTTTGAAAACCCCTGCACTCACCCGGACATCCACAAATTCACATGCCCAAGTTTGGAATTTCGCCTCAGTGTGGCAGTGCCACGCGCAAGACAAAACAGTTACATTGCTACAGTGGCATCTAGCAGCTTTAATGATGGAAGTCCAGGGGCTCTCGCGCATGTCGATGGAGGGCTGGGTCTCAAAATCCAGGCGACGTGCCGGGGGTGCCCAGGGCACCACACGTACGAAGGTCGTGACTTCAGTGCCTTGTTTCATGAACTTACACAGCAGTTCTCGCATGCGAGCCTGTCAGGACTATGTCTCACAGAATGTCTGCTTGGGTTCCATTTGCAACGCAGGAGCTCTGGCCCTTGCAGAATCGCTTGAAGTTGGGCTTCCCTTCTGATGGGTGCACCTCACAGGTTACGCATGGATACTCTTGTATCCACAAAGTTTGCGGCATCCTTTGTGTCTTCGCTAGCCTCTGGCGCCCGCTTGTCTGCCGTCGCCCAGGAAGCGCGAGGTAGCTCGACGCCTGATGGGGCTCAAGGCAGCCACTGACAGCGTCAGATTCGTGAATGCAACAAGACGACTCGTACCCGCCTTCCAGCACGAGCCGATTCGAGCACCGTGCCTTCAAAGGATTGAGCCAGATCCTGCAATCGGTAGATGCTGTGATGTGCTAGGCTGCTACTGTAGGAATGCAACTCCGTTCGCAAACCGAAGATCACGGCAGGCAAAGGGCCCGGTGGGATGTACGACAGGCTCAGCGCCATCGATGATGAGCTCTTCCTGCGCATGGCTGCATGTCTGTGCATTTGCCTGTCCCAGGAAACATGGAAAAGGCCAGTGCTGCTCCTCTGTCTTCACCTCCGGAGGAAGATGCGTCGAGTGGACGGATTGTATAGTGCCCGGGCTAATCTTTTCTTCCTGCGTCAGGACTCACACATGACATGCGCAAACGAACGACCAACCAGCCTGTTTTTCTTCCAATTTCGGTCTCTGCGACATTGGCGGCGCTGCTGCTCTCATGCTCGGAGTCGCTTGCTGGCTGTAAACCACCTGCACGAAATCTCTGAAGGCTGAGCACCGGTGAGGCAAAGCACGTCACACAAGCTGCAGACATTGCGCAGTCTGTCTGTTCCGAGAATGGAGACATTATTCGCCGCCTCGGCAGGCCGCTCTGGCTCAGGCGGCTCAGGCTTGTGCCGCAGGACTTGCGAGGCACCTTCATTGTGGAAGGTTGCCAGAAGTAAGGCTTCCCTTTTTCCGTGGCTTGTTGGGCAGTTGTTGTTTCTTCCATGCCGTCAGGCAGGGACTGGCAGGCATGAGTCAGCCCAAAGATCCTTCCAACCGTGACATTTCCCTTGTGCCTAGCTGCCGCACTACAGAGACAAAGCTAAAGTACACTAAGTCATTGGATCCTTCGTGAGAACACTTCACCTAGCCAGCAATCTTACCAACCACGAACCACAAGCTGTAAGCTGCTGCAAGCTCCAAAGAGCTTGCCTGACTTGAAGACTGACTTGGCTTTCGCCCTTCCCGCCCTCCGTTTCCGAGTCTTCGCGAGTCTTCGAGTTCGAAGTTCGAAGAGTTGAAGCGGCTCGAGGCACATCAAAGGACGCTTCATCTTCCCGATCTGCTCGGGCCTGGAGTGCGGGCGTGCTCGACACTTGCGGCGCCCTTGGGTCCAGAAGTCTGCGAAAGCAGCGGCTGCTCGGCAGTCTGTGCCTTCTCCTCAGTTCTGGAAGCAAAGTTCGCCAGACGCTTTTTGACCATCTCGTGCCAGCAGTGCTATGGGCAAGGATAACTTGACAAATGAAGCTGTGCATCTCCCAGCTCCTCTTTCACTTTCAATTCCACTCCAGCCCCGGCTTTGGCAACTCGTTGCTCACCTGGTCACGTCACGTCGTTGAGCACTTTGATAGGACAGTGGCGCTGAAACGATGTGCCGATGCAGCACCGTATGTCTTGACAAGCTGAACGTGATTTTGCCCTGAGCTTGAAGCTTCGGCAATCCTGAGCTGGTGCGTGTGGGGCGCTCTCCTTCGAGACGTGTCGTCAAGTGATGTCTGCAAGAGACTCCGTCATGCAAAAGAACTCTGCGACTCCTCCTTGGCTTCTGGTGCTGCTGGCTTGGACAAAGCATCTCCATCCTTCACTGATGACGCAGAGAGCCAGCGAATTGAAAGGTCGTGTACCGGGTGTACCGGTCCAGCCTCCCGACTTGTAACCTGCAAACTTCTGCATAAGAATTTGCTGCCGAAGTTCCGATGGCATCGGGCGCTTGCGGCTTATCCTGGACCTCTGCTGCCGAAGCGGCGCTTGTGCCTGCTGCTGCTGTGTCGACTCGTTCTGATGCGTGTCTGGGAAGCTCTCCGGAAGCTCCTGGCAGCTGCTGGGTCGCGTGCGCTGTAGGACAGTGTAGAGTGTAGGGCGTTGGCATAAAGGGCTGCCGAGGTTCTGTCTTCGGAACGATGGTGGCCGTGTCGGTCGCGCGCTTCTTCTGGCCTGAGAGTAGCGCGGCCACCACAGCCTGCGTTTGCAAGGCAGCTCGCGCAGCTCGCAGGCTGGAAGTGCAAAGGCAGTTGCCTGCTGGCCAACGACCAAACACCTGAGCAAGCTACAAACCGCGACTTCGTGAACTTTCAAGTCAGGATCACGTCTGAATAGTCTGAATCCATGCAAGCCAGGCACGGACAGCGAAGCTCTCCAAGCTCTGAGAGCAGGGGTGCCAGTCCTGGCGGCAAAGCCTTTTCCAGCTGGTGAGCATACAATGTCCAGGAAGGCACTTTGCGACTGGCATGGCGCTGACACCCCCGAATTCAGGCCAGCAGCTGGGATGATCCATACCTCACTCGGAGCTCCATGCATTGCCACGCCTGTCCCAACAAGGCCACGAGGGCTTGTAAGAAGAAAAGACATAAACAGGATTTGCGTTGCTCCATATCTCTTTCAGGACTGTGATGCCTCGCTTGAGGTCCTGTACGACGCTGCCGGCTGGCACATCCTGTGGCGGCATGGCAGCAATCAAATCGAGGACACACATGCAATCGCTTCAGCGGTTGCAGATGGCGTCCTGCATCATCAGCTGGAGCGATGCCCCTGCGTGCTCCAGGGGCAGGTGAAGTGCATCATAGGCCTCCAGCTGCAGTTGTTGGATTGTCCATCAGGGCTGTCACAGTCTGCTCTGGCCTGCTTGTGGCTGAAAATGATCCAGCTGCCTCGGGAAAAGGGTGTGCCAGATTGTTCTGCTACTGTTCATGACCTCAGTGTCGACATCTCGTAGCAAGGAGGAGGTCGTCTTGTTTGCAACCTTTGGTTTGAAAATAAGATGTCCTTTGGATGTCTCGAGAATTGAGGGGACCCAGTTCGTAAAGGCATGCTCGACTCTTTGCCAAGTGGATCCAAGTGGTACATGAACCCAATGGCATTTGACTGCTCGCAAAAGTGCGCCCGTGTTTCGTGGCTGGTGGCATAGCTTGCACTTGCAATAGCGGATTTTGAACTCGGACTCGCCTCCTGAGGCCTGTGAGATAGGTCAGATAGGTTTGTACGAGGGAAGCGCATGGAAGCGCAGAAGCTCACTTGCACTAGGCACGAAGAAAACAAGTCAGCAGACGGCACACCCAATACAAAATCATCTCACCTCGGACGTGTGTTGTAAACCAACCAAAGTCTTTCAAACCATCAACATGTCACCGACGCTCTTCCTCAAAAACGAGATCTTATCCTGTCACGTTCTTGGATGTTCTTGGTGTCCTCTCGACCCGGCCACGATCAAGTAGCGAGTAAACCCCTTTCTACCTGCCTGGTCACTCAGTTCTCTTTCCCGGTCGCAGCTGACGGGCCGAGGTGCCTTTCAGGAGCTGACGCCGTGGAGAAGGGCTGCTGGCGTAGGCGGAGAGCTCGGCGACGTAGGCCGCATCGGCTCCTGCGAGGTGTCCGGAGCTCAAGCAGAGAAAGCGCGATGCATGCTCTCAGAGAGCTCCTCCAGGTGGGCGTGGTGCACAAGAGGCCGCGGCTGGCCTCGGTATGCAGCTGTGGACCATCAGAATCTGAGACCAAGTGACTGCAGATGATCGCAGATTACCTCCGTTCTCTCTCTCTCTCTTTTTCTTTCTGCTGGGCGTGACCCCAAGGCTCTTGGCCCGCCCAACCACCCCCTGTATTATGGAGTGGCTGGCTTTTGGGGTAGTCCAGATTATGGCACTGTAATACCCAGTATGTTCTGGGCCCGCAAGCAAAAAAAACCCCCCGAACACTAAACACGAAAACAACCCCCGCCTCATCCCCGCGCCCCTGCGGCTAGCGATCCTTAGCCTTAGCCGTAGCCTATAGTAGGTTCGGGAGGGCATGACAAAGCCGGCTGAATTTCCCGCTCCTGCTGCAGTAGCATTCGGGGGTGTCTAATTGGTTGTAGGAGGGCGGATCAGACATCGTCCAGGAGACGGTTTTGCAGCGAATTTGCAAAAGGGCGGAAGGAGGCTGTCAAGTCGTGACAGCGTCGTTCAGAAGGTGTCTCAAGTAGAGAAGTATGGTACAGACAAACATGCCAACGTGCAATCCCCCTGCAGGGCTTACGGAGAAATCCCCCTTAGGTGGGGCAAAGGGTCACTCAACAAAGCAGCCGAAACAAGTGCAAACCGAAACCCTCAGCGCAAAGCCCTGAAACAAAACACCCCCATCACACACGTAAACTATTCACTGGCAGTCGGCTCCCTTGCAAAGCTGTGTGACCTCCCATATGCGAGGTCAAGGACGGCTCGGAAAACTTCCCCCCTCACGCTCACTGCTTGTAGTTCATGGTGCTCTTTCCCCTCGCATGTGTGCTTGCACACGGCGTACAGCTCTCCACATTGGGCCTGGCATCAGCCGTACTCTCCTGGGGCCGCGGTTCGGCGAACTTGGTCTGGCTTCGCCCCCCGTGTTGGCGCGCGTTGCTGCACCTTGTGGCCTTCGGTTCGCCTTCGGCTGCTTCTCCCCTCGCTGTCTCCTCGGGCTGCGGCTCGGCGTTCTTGGTCTCATTCTCCCCTCGTACTGGAGCCTGCTGCTTCTCTTCCGGTGCTCTTGCTTGGCGTTCGTGGTTGCATCTCCATGCATCTCCCCCCTTTGGGGTGTTGCGTCGTCCACTCGGTGGTCGTCGTCATCCTCGCCCCAGTCCACTTCGTCCTCCTTGAAGGTAGTGGCCGGTGCCGTTGTTCGGCTGGTCTCCCGGTTCTCCCCGTGGTTGTCTCGGCTGTGGCTGGCCTGTCTCGAGCGCTTCCCCTTGTCGTTGCACGCCCCTCCTTTGTCACATGTGTCTTCTTGGTCTTCTTGTCCTTCTTGGTTTTGGCCTTGTCTTTGTTCTTCTTCTCCTTCTTGGCTTTCTTTCCCCCTCCTTCCGCCGGCGTTGGTGCGAGCTTGGCTTTGAACTCCTGCTTGGCCTGGCTGAGGAGTGCCCCCACCTTCCACGGGTGCTTGGCCACGTAGAGGAGGAGCTCTTTCATCACCTTGGGGTTCCCCTCCTTGACGATGGCAACGAGCTTATCTGCCTGGCATCCTGTCTCCCTCCGGGCGTTGTGTCTCTGGACGTATTGCTGCCATTCCTGAGCATCGGCTTCGCTCAGGATCTCCCCCGTCCTCAGGTCCGTGAAGTTCCCCTTTCGCCGGTTTTTCTGGATACTTCTCCCTATCCATCTGTCTAGTGGGTCCGGTTCGTAAAGCAGCGCTGTCCCCTGCTCACTCTCAAACCGCACATACTCCGTGTGTAGTCGCGTCTTTCCTGCTACTTCGCAGGATCCCCCACCTTGGGGCTGGTAGAGGTCGTGCTCGTCGGCCTCCTCCTTCTGCTTCCTCATGTCGCGGGGTGCTGCCGCGCTGGCAATCCCCCCTGTCGCCACTCGTTGTCTGTAGCAGGTGCTACCGCTGTCGTGGGACTTGTGGTAGAAGGGGCCTTCCAAGCACGCTCTGCAAGTCACTCCCATCCCCCTCAGTCTTTCCGCGAGCACACATTGTTCCTGCCAGGTTGTTTTGGTTTTGGCCGGCTTGGCTTCCGGCTCCCTTCGGATTCTGCTTCTCCCCCTTGTTGGGTCCACCTTCCCCTCTGGGTTTGTTCGCGATGCTGAGCTTGACATTCTGGACAATGTTGAGGTAGTACAGCGAGATCTCCCCTTGGTCCGTGACGACAAGGTATGCTCCGTCCCCCTCCTGGCGGGCCACCCTCAATGAGGGGCCGCGGTCAGGTTCGGGAGGATGCGTCGGCAAAGGGGCCACTTAAGCAAACTGGCGTCGGGCGGAGGACTCAAGCGCCCGCTGGGGAAAGCGCAAAGGCTCCCCTGAGGTTTACCGCCTCAGGTCAACCCTGCGCCTCCCCCCCGATGCCAGGAGGGTGCACAGCCCTCCAAGACGAAGGTGCAGACACTTGAGCCAAAATAGCTACTCTCTCTCTCTCTCTCTCTCTCTCTCTCTCTTTCCCGGGGCATGAGGGGAGTGCGAAACCCCTCGGCCTTAAATGCCCCCCAGATGTTCGTGGGGCTTTTGGAGGGTGTGAAAACTTTTGCGACCCCGGTGTTTCTAGACTACCTGTTTTACCAGCTCGTTTAGCAGTGAGTGCCACAATATAAGCAAGCTCTCTCTCTCTCTCTCTCTTTCTCTCTCTCTCTCTCTCTCTCTCTCTCTCTCTCTCTCTCTCTCTAGCACTGCATTGCATCATCCCAGGAGCTCTGGCCGGAGCTCTGTGTCGCGGCGAGACACGAGCTCGTCAAGGAAAGATGAAGTGACTGGCGACCTGGGTCAAAAAGTCCATTTCGAGGCTCACCCTCGCACAAGGTAAGGCTCCACATAGCCGTCTAGACTCTCGCAATTGGGACTCGCCAAACATAGCCTTTTAAGTCTGGGGATGTCTTTCCAGCCCTTCTTCCAGGCCACGCGCCGTCGATGATGCAGCACAACAGCTTCCTCAGTGCACTTCTCGCTGTCGCAGAGATGTGCAAAGCATCACAGTGCGTCATCAAATCTAGGACCTAGGATGAGCTGGGCCCAGCTGCGGAGTGATCGCCCACTGCTCAATCAGCAGGTGGGTGCACTGCTGCGTCCACTCTGTGGTGAGGAACCTGCTTGAAAAGGTGCATTCAAAGGGAATTTGACTCAAAAGTGACAGCGACCTGCGTCACCTTCTCATCAAGCCATATACAACATTAACAAAACTGTGAGCCGAGCCGATCTCACCGATTTAGGGTGAGCTCCGACTGCTACATGCTTACTTTTCGACCCACAGGCTCCCCCCACATGAGTCAGCAGCTTGCCGTGCTGCGTAGCGTCTCCCGTCACAGCAGGAACTCCAAACCGACGTTGGGGACAAATCTGAGCGTCAACGGCAAGGGCCCGGAGAGAGCGCCAGAATCAGTGACGAAGCATTCAAAAGGACTCCTGTCGCCGACGCAGCTTCGACATGCTTCGACTACTGTGGGGCTCTTCGAGTCAACCGTCGTGCCCCTGCCGACATCCTCGTGCACTGCGAGGCTATTTGGTCACCTTCGAATGCTGCTGCGTGCTTGCTCTCACATGCGGCCCGGCGATGAGCGCACGAGAGGGAACAAATTGCAGCTCCCCCAAACGGCGTCCTCGCCCATCCCACTCATGAGCTTAGAAGCTGACAGGATCGCCGGGCAGTCCCTCCTTTTTCCACGACCAACCCTAGCAAATCTTGGACGTCCTGACGAGAGCTCGATTCAAGTGGACAAACCCGCACTTTGCCCCGCTGTCCCCAGTTCGCACCCCGCCCTAACGCTACCTTTGGAAAACGGACCAGCCCAGCCTCTCAGCGAAACCTGTCCCCAACCTTGTTTGGCGCAATTGGGGCGGTTGCTGAAAGTCTGTAACCCAAAACAGAGACGACCGCAGTCCGGGGAAGACCGTGTTCAAGGCTCTGAGGCCCCGGTCCCAACAGTGCCGCACACATGCTCCAACCGAGGCCAAGTCATGGCCATCGCGACGGGTACAAGGGTTGGATACGTTCTGCTCTCTTGGAGTCTTGGCCTTGACCTATGGGCTACGGTGCTTTCGTTTTCGCTTCCAAAAGTCCAACTGCATCCCAGACGCACTCCGCATGCACGGGCCAGGTCCTCCAAGCTCCGCAGCTCAGGTGCCGAAAGGCGGCTAGAGACGCTGAGGAGAATGGGCCTCCATCTCCTTGGATGCGCAGCATATCACGTTAAGGATCTTTGGTGCCAGCGCTCGCCGACTCCAAACAAAACCCAACGACAAACACAAGCACGGGCTTTTGGCGTTTGGACCATGAGATGTCTGACGGCACGCCTCCGAAGCCCAAAATACGAACCTGAAAGAGCTTCCCCATTGCACTGCAAGCAGCGTCTGAGTTGCAGGTCATGCTTTCAGGGATTCTCGTTGTGAACTGCCCAACCAAACTCTTAACCATGGACAAGCCTTAAACTGCTAAGGTACTCCAGTGGTACATGCTACAAAGTGCTTTGGTTCATTCACTGCTGTTTTTTCGAGCTGGGCCAAAGCCGAAAAGGCGCAAAAGCTACTGGAAGCGTTTGGTATTCCCTGTGCCAGTTGTCAGTCTCTTCAAGGACAGGGCACACTGTGTAGCGCAGTGGATCGATGCCGCACGTGAAGAAATCGCCGTCATGTAGCTTGACCGGAACTCCTCTGCCCGGTGTCTTGAGCTCATTCACAAAAGTGTGGCCGGTGGACGAGCGGTCAATAAGACTGATTTCCAAAGGGCGCACATCAGCCAAAGAACCTCCAGGAACAGAGAGCAAATGAAGGTGCAGCATGGTCTTTTTGTCTGTGAAATGTCTGATGGCCGGCCTTCTATTGCATTGATCACCAGCTCGGCATGAACTCTTGACACAGACCTGACGGCTTCAGGGTTTTCGAGGAGTCGAGAGGAACACTTCGTTTCCTGAAGTCACGTGTGGCAGAACAGAAGCAGTGCTCACGAAGAGACGAAGCTTACTGAAGTCCAGGGCATGCGACTGGTGCGTCGACCGGATGATGGCAGTCTGTCCACGGCCGACTTGTGCAGATCCGGGCAAGAGCAAGAGCGGCGAGTCTGCAGCCTGGCTCTGGCTGCTCTGGCTCTCCAAGGCCAACTGCCAGCTCATCGCCTCGAATCGCGAGCTCACGCGAGGCGATTAAGTGTGGTGACGTGGTCGCCGATTCGCAAGCTTGCAATCCCTAAGCCTTAGCCGTAGCCACTAGCAGACAAGCATCTTTGCGTGGTGCCGCGGCACAAGGAAACCAGTGTGTGGATGTGCAGTTGCATCATGGGGGCACAGACTAACTCCCTCTATGCAATGTGGCTGTTTCTCGTGCGGCGTCTTGTCGTGACATGTTGTAAGCTGAAAAACTGTGTGTGCATGTGCGCGGTTGATGTGGGCTGTTGCTGCATTGCATGTCTGTTGCTGCATTGCATGTCTTGGTCTTCACTGAGCTCATACGGCTGGAATCAGCTACCTGACGAATCCGCGGTCTCGGAGTGAGTGTGGCTGGATCTCCGAGTGTCGCTGTGCCCAGCACCTCCAAGTCTGGCAGCAAACGCCTGGCTCAAGAAGCATTGCACGAGTTACCAGCTCTGCCAGTGGGCATGCTTGCACGACGTAGACTGCCTGTAAGTTTGCAGCAGCTTCAGCTCGTATCTCTCCAAAGCCAGCACTGGCCTGAGCGGCTCAGAAGATTACGACTCGGTACAACGTCTACCGAGTCTACCGCACCGATCGGAAACGCCTTTTCGAAAGCTTGTCTGGCTGAGACTTGGGTGCGGTTCGCCTATCATGTCCACCAGAGTTGCCAGACGACCGAAGAGCAAAGTCCGTGGACACTGGGTTGACGTAGAGTCGTAAAGTTTTGAAGCAAGGACGCTTCACCGGCATCCACACTAGATTCCCTGGATCCCACTAGCACAACGGCTTGAACTCCTACTGCTGTTACTAACGATTTGAGGCAGTCGGTCCGGTGACTCTCGCACTATCAGTTGCAGAAACATGCCGTACCAGGCATCATCACGCCTCTGCTCGTCCTCTCCGCTGTCGCTGTTGCGATTTTTTCTCAATGCCAGTCGCAACGGTGCCATCTTCTTGGGCCATGGCTTGGATCGAATCTGAGCCCTTTCCTGCTCTGTCGGCTCGCGAATTCGGTAGCCTGCCGTGGCATAGCAAGAGCCAACTCAGCGATTCGATGCGTCACGTGGGCACTTCTCGTTCCACCGGCCTGGAACGAGATCCTTGAAGACCGCAACGCCTGAGAGCAATGCCATCAAGCGGGTCTCACGGTCCTTGCTCACACCTCGGCATGCCAAATCAAGCGCCATGCACATATGCATGACTTAAACGAAACTCGATCTTGCACCTGTTGGCTTTACTAGCTCTGTGAATGGCAGCATGCACGACTCGCGCATCCTCGCCGACACTCGGTGGCAAACGATGCAAGTGAAAGAAAATGTCGAACAGGTCAAGCTCCTGACGGGCTTGGCAGAAGCCTTAGGCTAAAAGTTGTTGTCCGGGTGGGCCTAACTAGAGTTTTGGGGCCCTACCTGTGATCGTACATTTCGGGCAGCCGGGAAATGTACGATGGAGGGGTTTGGCAATGTACTTCCGGCAGGGGCCCCGGTTGTACATAAACACGGGTTTTCGGTGCCAAATCAAGCTTTTTTTGGTTCAAGTTTCGCAAACCTTCTCAAACCGAACGTCTCGGCCGCTTCTCCCTTCTGCACATCAGCATCGCATGGGCTACCACGTTTTGTGTGTTTTCTCCAGTCTTGTGTTATCTGCCCTGTCTCTTGCTCTTGCTCTTTCTCTCTCCCCCCTCTTGGTCTCTCTCACTCTCTCTGTCTCTCTCACTCTGGCTCTCTTATTGTCTCACTCACTCACTCACTCACTCATTCACTCATTCACTCATTCACTCATGCACTCGTTCGCTCACTCAATTCATTCCCTCTCTCTCTCTCTCTCTCTCTCTCTCCTTCCGTCCTTCCGCAAGGGTTGAATGGGCGAGTTAAGCCCCCGGGGCTTTAGGCCCGCCCGTTATACGGGTTGAATCTCTCTCTCCTTTCGGAGGGAGGACAAGGACTGCAAACCCGAATCCAACTAAACTTTGCACAGCTTGCGCTCCTTCGGTGGTCCTGCCTTCTCACCCCTCTGTGGAGCAGCTGCTCTTCAGCTGCCGCTGTACATCCCCACTCTGGACTGGCAACCCCTGTTCCGCGATCTGCGCGATCGCATTCCAGAGACATATACATATACGTATATATATATATATATATATATATATATATATATACACAAAGGAAGGATCAGCGGCTTCAAATTGTCCACGGAAGCGTTGCCGCCAGATCTGTGCGCAGCCAATCAGAATCGACGCCTGGAGCCACTTGCAGACAACAGTTGCCTCACGACGGCGCGGCACCCTAGAGTCTAGAGTCTAGGGTTTCTGGTTCCAGGGTTTCTGAGTTTAGGGTTTTCTGGTTCCAGGGTTTGGGGTTGAGGGCTTCAGGGTTTCTGGGCATGGGGTTTCCGGGTTTGGCCTCCAACAACTCAACAGCCTGCAATCCCTCTTCTAAGAAGCCTGACAAGGCCGGTACAATTCAGCCGACCCGGCCCCGGGGTACCTTTAAGGGTTCCTTTTAAGGGGGTTCCTTTAAGGGTTCCTTTAAGGGAGGGCTTAGGGCTTTGGGTTTAAGGCTTTAAATTTAGAATTACGGCTTTAAGGGTTGGGGGTTTAGGGTTTTGGAGGGATGAGGGCCGGGGGCTTAAAGGAACCCTTAAAGGAACCCCCTTAAAAGGAACCCTTAAAGGTACCCCGGGGCCGGGTCGGCTGAATTGTACCGGCCTTGTCAGGCTTCTTAGAAGAGGGATTGCAGGCTGTTGAGTTGTTGGAGGCCAAACCCGGAAACCCCATGCCCAGAAACCCTGAAGCCCTCAACCCCAAACCCTGGAACCAGAAAACCCTAAACTCAGATACCCTGGAACCAGAAACCCTAGACTCTAGACTCTAGGGTGCCGCGCCGTCGTGCGGCAACTGTTGTCTGCAAGTGGCTCCAGGCGTCGATTCTGATTGGCTGCGCACAGATCTGGCGGCAACGCTTCCGTGGACAATTTGAAGCCGCTGATCCTTCCTCTGTGTGTATATATATATATACATATATATACATATATATATATATATATATATATACGTATATGTATATGTCTCTGGAATGCGATCGCGCAGATCGCGGAACAGGGGTTGCCAGTCCAGAGTGGGGATGTACAGCGGCAGCTGAAGAGCAGCTGCTCCACAGAGGGGTGAGAAGGCAGGACCGCCGAAGGAGCAAAAGATGCGCACAAATGATCTCGTTGCCATGGCGTCAAAGACCAACTGGTCAAGTTTAGTTGGGTTCGGGCTTAGATACTCAAGAGAGAGAAAGAGAGAAAGAAAAAAACGTCAAAGAAAACACATCGAGAGAAGATGAGGGAAAGAACAAACAGAAGGGAGACGGTCAGATAGAAAGGGGGGGAGAGAGGGGACAGAAAAAAAAAAGACATTCACGAAAGAGAGAAAGAACAGAAGGAGAGAGAGACTGAAAAAGAGAGACACAATCAAAAGGGAGAGAGAGAGAGAGAGAGTGCGCAAGCACGAGAGCGCGAGCGAGCGAAAAAGGGAGAGAACCGGAGAGCCGAAGCGATGATGATGTGCAGCCGGGAGAAGCGGCAGGATGTGGGGAGGTCGCCGCCACCTAATGACCACTTTCGCATGCACATACCAAAACACAACATAACCTCCGGAATAATGTACGACAAAGGGGGGTCATCGTACATTACAGTCAATATGTAAATTAGCAGCCTGGTGTACGGGCACCCTCGTTGTACATTAGTTGGGCGCCCCCCTGTTGTTGTTACGCAAATGATGTCGGGAAGAAATTCGGTTACTCTGTGTTTGAAGTTGGTCTCCCTCCTTCCCGAAGCTCAGTCGGCCCAGACTGGTGGCGGGTCCTTCTCGGGCTCTGCAGCAATACGCTCTGCAGCGGTGGCTAGTCTCAGGCATAGATCAGCGGTCAACAGGCTTCCGTCCCAAGGTGGCAAGTGAGACACACTCCTGGAAGGCTAGCTGGACACTTACACAAAACTCTGTTTCTCTGGGGTCCAGACAGCCTTCGGTCACCAGCCGGCCCTGGGAAAACCGGTAGCTGTGCAGCTTTGACGATGGAACCACTCAAGGGCTGTGGCTGCAGCGGTTTAGCTGGAAGCAGAAACTTGTTGCAGGTCCTCCAGAGCGTAGCTTCTCGATGAGCTCCGAGGCTGCCTGCCATGCAAAGCTCACCGTGCGGGACACTGGAACGAAAACGAGCACCTAAGGAGCACCAAGCACTCATCCGCCATAATTTTGGGCATCGCTGCCATTTAATGGCAGTTGTGGTATAGATTAGCAGCGGTTTATGAAAACATGGGTGCGTCCGAACCACAGCCCAGCTGAGCACTGCACACCTGACTTGGTCATGGGGCATGTGATCAAGAGTGCTCTTGCCTCAACGCCTGTCTTCAGTTCGTTCTTCTGGTGTACCCTGGCTTATGATGATGGACAGGCCAAGAGATTGGTCGAGGCCCGAGCTAGCTGAAAGGTGGCATCTGAACTCACCGCATCTCCAGGACGCTCGCGACGAGACCCAGAATGCCAGAAGACGACTGATGTCAGAAAATCTTTCAAAGTTAAATTCATCGCATTTCGAGCACTCCCGACACAAGGCCCAGGATGCCACACACGACAACGACGATAGGGGCTTGGACTTGAGTGAGCATTGGCCGGTCAGCAAATTTGAGCCAATGCACTCCCCAGAAAGCAATCAGGCCGATGCAGGTAGATGCCTCCTTCGGAATAGGGCCGTTCGGCTTTGTGTTGTTCTCTCGTACTCCGGCTCCCATCTGTACCAAGGCGGCGCAGAGAAGGCCCACAGCGGCTGCATTGAGGCCGGGAAGTGCGCGTTTGTAGGTGTCGTTGGAGCGGAATTGGCCCCAGAATGGAAGGATTCCGAAAATGAGCATGACTCCAGGCCCAAAGAGACCCAACCAGCAAAGCACAGCCCCCAAAACGCCCTCGCCCACCGTCATGTAGGCCTTGTAGCCAGCGGCTGCTCCAAGGAAGGCAGCAAAATTAAACAGAGGCCCAGGCATTGCTTGGGCCAGGGCGAGCCCAGCAAAGAACACAGACTGGTCCACCCAGCCCGTGGGTACCATCTCGTTCTCAAGCAATGGAAGAACCACCTGGCCACCGCCCCAGATCACGGTCCCTGTCCGCCAAAAGGCAGAAAACCAAAACAAACGCTTGAAATCGGACTCCTCGAGTACCGATGGCAGGACATAGCTTGCCACGAAGACAAGTGCGACAAGTACAATCAGCATCGCACCACCGATGGGTCCAAGGCCAAAATGCTCGACCCCACTCTCCTCTGCGGTGGGAACTGCAGAGGTCTTTGACTCAGGCAGCGGACCACGCCAAAGGTATGTGAAAGCTCCACCAAAAATGATCAAGGTCGGGAAGATCCACATCCAACTACGACCGTTGCGTTCAACTGGCGCGATGAGTTCGGCCGAGTAGTACAGCAAGACGATACAGCAAAACCCAGCCAAGACCTTGGCATCTGCGGAGCCGCATGCCTTGTTCCAAAGTCCAATGGCCGCCGAGGCTACCAGTGCCACGCCAGCTGCGCTCAAACCTCCGACCAAGCCAGCCAGCCAGGTGTAGTCGCTGATGACCTGAACGACTGCTTTTCCACACAAGGCTGCAAGCTTCGGACTGCGAAACGTGCCTGCGGCGTGGCCCAGTTGTGGGCAGTCAACCCAAAAACCGTCATCATGATAGCCCCAGGATACTGGAACAGAATGCCACTGAGAAGCCTCACAGTGTGAGCAGGCATAACACGCATGTGCAGGCTTCCAGTGTCCACCAGCCTAGCGGCCTAGCGACTTCACTCACCGGTGTGCTCAATACTAATTTCTGCCCGGCGGCCCTCCGGCTACACCCTGCTTGGTTGTACCCAGCGCAAATGACCTGCAGCTGGGGTCCCATGAACATTTCGCCGGCAGGGAATAGCATGAAACGGCGGCGTAAAGAAGCGACATTGCGCGTTGCGTGCAGGCTCCCAGAACTTGCATCAAGGACACATTTGCGTAGAGCTCGGGCCAGGCCTTTGCTTGCAATGCCATGTCACTTGTGACATGCCATATCATGCGGTCTCCCACGCCGCAAACGTAGCATGTCTGCTCCTGGTGCCAGTGGCATGCATGCAAGCACCGGTTTCGAGTTTTGATCGTGAATCCAATGGAATGGATTTCAATGGTCCTATGCCAAACGAAGGTCAACCGGAAGAAGAAACCCACCTGCAGTGAAATGGGTGAATGGGTCTCGGCATTCCCAGTCCTTTCATCGTTGCAGGTCTAATTCCTACTGTGGTTGTGTTGGTTCAACAAGCATTGCATTAGTGGGACAGCGGACTAAGAACGACTCAGGTAGCTGAGACACATGGCAGAACTGTGTGGTTGGGGCTTGGGCTGGCCTGGTGGGGCCTAGGGCTGGATTGGGGCTCACTCCAAACTTGACATGGCAAAACACCCGTCCCAGCTCGGCTGTGGTAACATCGATAGAAATCTCTGGAAAGCTACTTGCCGTGAATTTTTGAAGCAGGGCTTTACTGCTATGCCTTAACCCTGAGCTCTTTGGCTGGTCTATTGCTTCTCGGGGTTGGCTGACCTATGTGTGGAACTTGTGTGCTCCATGAGGATAGCCATCCGCAGATGCTTGTTCCTTTGCATGGGCCTTGATGTTTGATCTTTGCCCCCCGCGCTTTGTCAAGACGAAGAACGGCCGATGATAGAAGCTGTTACATGTGGATACAAGCTTCAGAAATATCACTGCACTCCCACATATTCTACGAGGTCACTAGGGTCACTAGGGTTTCTGACACGCCGTATCGACTGAGATGCTTGCCTCAGGCGAATCCATCTGAATGACCGTTGCCGACTGGTTTGATTGTGTGTGATTCGGTCAAGTATCTCCTGACGTTGAATGATGCCTTTTCGGCCCCTTTGCTGCCTGTGGCACGGCCTGTGTCAAGAATTGACTTCAAAGACCTGCCAGTCCAATAGCTGGCGTGATTAGCTGAAGCTTGTCTGCAATGGTACAAAGCTTTGAAGACGAGTCCAAGTCGGCTCTCGACACGATTGCCGATTGCCGTGTTCCAAAAAACCTACGTGCTGCGTAGCCAAGCTGCATGCACTGGCACACTGCAAAAAGCTCGGTGAAGACGTCGGCGCTCATCCATCCAAGCCGTTCTACGAACGTCTTCCTCACAAGTCGATGTTTGTTCCTTTTTGGAAGGGTTCAGGATTCGAGAAAACATCAACGGACTCCAGACATGATGGCGCGGGCTTGGTTGTTGCTGCGTATTTTTCCTTAGTTTTCCATCCTTTTTTCGGTTTCCCTTGTTTGAGGACCTCCTAGCTGCCCTGCTGTCGAGGGGGTACTGAGCCCTGCCGCCATGTATACGCGCTCGCATACGACATGATTGGCTTTTCCTCGCAACCGTTGTCCTCGCCTGGGTTCCCCGTCGATTTGGGCAGTCCAGCCTCGCCTCAACGCTGATTTCCGCGTGCCTCGCCTTGCTGCCGTTGGCCGTTGTCTTCGAGCTCCGCTGTCATGAGGGCAGCCCAGCTTCACTGTCGTTTCTTTTTGCTCGTTTGGGTTTAAACTGCTAAGCCAAGACTCTGAAACAGTCCGACATGTGCGGCCGGTCCTGCAAAACCCAAGAAGCAGCTGTAGCACAATTGACGGCATTCTCCACAGTGAATTATGTCATTAGCTTGAATCATGGGCCTAAGCTTTAAACCAAGGATGACCAAGGGCTAGATGGTGAGATTGGTGAGGGAAGCACCATCTCACGGGTATCCTCCGAAGGCAGTCCATCCCATGAGCACGAAGTGCTTGGCGATGTCGGCGAAGCCTACCTGGACATGGCAGGCACTTGGCAGCACTCTGCTTTTCGGATACACTTGCCGCACGACTTTCATTGAAGAATTGGGCACCTTCGCCGGAGCAGGGCTCTTCGCCTCTTCAACATCAATTTCTGCGCTTGCCATGGTGAGCCGCCAGTGTCTATCGTCCCCTTTGAAAAATTAACAGAGCCAAAAAGCTTGCAGGACCATTGCTTTCTTGGGAGCATCTTGCAGAGTGATACTGCCGGCAGGACGCAGAAATATGCCAAGCATAGCAAAAAGAAGGGCTTGCCAGCGGCCTTTGAGAGTTGGCCATCCTTGGCTTTCGCCTCGGGCGCTGTTTGCAAGGCTTCCTTATTTTTACTATTTTTAATGTTATTGTTAATATTGCTGAAATTATCATTATTATCATTATCGTGATCATTATATCCCACAATCAGGCACTAGGCCTCACTAGGCTTCAACGGTGTGCACTCCCCGCCTTGCCCTTTACGGCTGCCGCCGCCTGACAAGCCAAACATGTCGTGTCCATCCTGTTCCAGACCAAAGTCTCGCATTCTGCTACACCCACTCCACCTATGCCGAGAAACCTGCCCCCCCTTTCTAGACGTCAAACTATCAGAGCCAGGCTTGCCAGCTCTGGTGGCCTCATCCGCTGCTTTTTTTGCAGCTGCGGCAGACGTGTTTGCAACCCGAGCCTGCTGAAACCATGGAGTCATAGATGCAGCAATGATCGGTCTTCGCTCACACCAGGACAATCACGCAGAGTCACGTTCATGTTCAATGTCAACACACCAAGTCACCAAGTACTCGGCCAACAACCGTACAAATTGAATGCCGGCACCTTCTGTGCCTGGAGCTTTTCGATGCGCTTCTGCTTCTTCCTGCAAAGACAGGACATGCCGAAGCCTCTTGCATGCTTGTTGGTCCCGCTTTTCATCCGAGTCCTGCCGACTTGTTTTTCATCGCCAGCTTCGGGCACCTCGCAGGCAAGGACCAAGTTTGACATCTCCTATCCTCTCATCGCCATGATGCTCAAGTTTATTTTGCTATGGAGTGCAGCTTTCCTGACAATCCTGCCGAGCCCCCGCAGCTGCGAAAAGACACCGACTCGTTGCAGGAGTCAGCTGGGCTGGGTAGGAGACCTTGTCGCCACTGCGGCCGCGCTTCTTACGCGACCTCGGACTATCTGAATCACCCCTACAGCATTAGCAGTAAGCTAGGCCCACTGGCTGCCTCGTCGGGCCGTGAACTGTGTTCTCTGCTCTCGGACATGTGGCTTGGCCCTTTGCACACTTCCTTTTTCTCCTGCTGCCCTTTGCCACTTCGCATGGCCTCGCAAGGTCTTTGTCCAGCTCAGGCTCCCAGCGCTCTGCCTTCCAATGTCCTGGTGGCCTCCGGGCCTTGTGCCAATTGATCGCGGCTTGTCTGGATGTTAGTGCACAGAGTCTCCACTCTGAAGACCACTGCTTGGCATGGCTAAGTCACCAAAGACACCACAACATGAATTGAGACTCCATGCATCCATCCTGAAGCCGTGTGGAAAAGATCTCTTATAGTGATAGCGGATTTGCAGAATCCCAGAGTTATATACACAGGACCCCATTGCAACCAACCACCAGCCATGGGCGCACCGGGCACTGTAGACACAGTACGGTGTTGGATGGTGCTGGGCTATGTGCACACTGGCACTGGCGGCCTGGTGGTGCATGCCCACACTTTTGAGCCTCTGGGTCCAAAGTCCAGCAGGGTCCGGTTTTGCAGACCATTGAGGTTAGACTTTGACCGCACAGGCGAGACTCTGGTTACATGGCTCAGTACTTCGGTGGTCATTCCTCAGCCTGTAGCCGTTGCAACCTCAATGATAAGCTCCATGGGATACGGCGCAGGTTCGCACTTTTCCATCAGATTTCCACTTGCAAGTAGCATCTTCTATGAAGCCATAAGATGCTGAAGTGGAACCCATGCAAAGGTCATCTAAGCCTCCGTGGCTTAGCCTATCAGAATTATCAGAATTCCACCACTCTTTCTCTCTGCCCCATGCTTCCTCTCAGTCCTGGTGCCCCACGATGTACTTAGTAATACAAGAAGCAGATCTTGTGGAAGCATGGGGTGCTTATAGACAAAGCTTTAAAATTTACTGATGATCAGCACGGCGGGCATATTACAAAGCCAGCTGCCCTCCCTGCAAACCGTCAGTAGACAAAGCTTTAAAAGGGGTCCACCCCCAGCGCCAGAAGAGCATTTTTCGCTGCCGTCCGGACACCTCAGCCAACCCAGGAAAATGATGCAGAGCATCGTCGAATGCACGGTTGTTACATTCTTGCAACTCTTTCAGGCTTGAACTGCGAGCTGTCTCTGTATGCATACGCACAACATGCTCATGTATGATTATCGGCAAGCTGCTGATGTCGGAGTCTTTGTGCACCAAACGCTGAAGAACCTGGATCGACTCCCTGTCGCCATTCCTTGCAACTCTGGCGGTGCGGAGGACGCGCTGATGCCAACATGCCCAACGAAAGCCAATGCATTGCGCCACAGGTTAGCAAGCAGACACCTTGACTTATGTCCTCAGGCTCCTGCTGTACAAGGCGAACGGTGGCACGCGTGGCTGCGACACGGACTCCGGCGTCCATGTGCTTTAGGCAAGGTGCCACCTGCAAGTCCAGTAAACAACACCAGCAGGTGCAGCTTGGTGCATACTTTCAAGCCCTGTATGTTTTCTTGAGGCGAAGTTGACAGAAAATGACAGATACCGTGGCGACCTGCCTGATTCTTGAGTGCAGAGAGCTCCGGTGCCATGATCTTTCTATCTTTCCCGTTCCCTGCAGGGCAAAACGAAGGAGGCATCATGATTAAGGTATATTTTTGACACTCACTCTCGGACTAGCCTGGCAAGGTCTGCAGAAGTAGGTACGACGATGATCATTAACTGCCCGCAAGCCCATTAGCTCACAGGGTGCTGTCAGACAAGATCCCAGAAACACCAACGCCAAGTGTCCAAGCATAACACAGATCCCAACTGACAGCAGACTCCCAGAGCACAAACGCTAAACCGAAAGAACCCACCCCTAGTTCCGTACTCCAGGAGCCCCGTGAAACAGCTTTCGGTACTACTACCAACTCACATCACTCCAAGGCTTCAGAGGTTGCAACATGCAGTATGACAAACCACCACGTTAGTTCACTCACACCTGTCCAGTCGTGCAGCTATCCATGCATGTTTTGCGAAACCAGGACATGCACCATGCACCATGCAACAATCTCACCATCCACCAGCATGGGGACCAAAGAGCCGCCCCCCATCAGCGAGAGCCCGATCGACTTGCCATGCATATATATAGAATAACCCATGCAGAAAAGCGCATTGCCGTGTGGACTTTGTCTACCATGCAGAAGGCATCATGTCCCGAGAACAGCGTGCCATAGTACACCCCGCAGTTCGCTTTCGCAGACGAAGGCGAGCTCACTCACAAATTCACCACGCAGTCGGCACTCAGCTCTCAGGACAGTGGTTGTGCAGAGCAAAGCAAACATAAAACCATGCAAAAGGCAAGTCGCCAATATCATGCAGTGATACATCCTACCCCAGCTGCCCACTCGTGGATCAGGACGGACCATGTCTCATATTCATCATGCAGTTTGCATTCTCGCATGCAGAAAACTCCCAAAGGCAGTGGCTTCCAAGAAAATTCATGTAGCCTTTATGCCGGAATAAGGACCATGCAATGATACATCCAGCAACCACGGCAACATGCAGGCGATGTGTGTCCAGTGGCCAGGTGGTGTTTGTATCCAGTGATGCTCAAATTAAGCCATGCCGTAATACAGCCTATCCCAGCTGCCCACTCGTGGACCAGAACGGACCATATCTCAAATTCACCATGCAATGTGCATTCGCGCATGCAGAAAACTCCCAGAGTCAGTGGCCTCCAGGAAGATCCATGCAACCGTCATGCCGGAAAAAGACCATGCAGTAATATGTCCAACAACCACGGCAATATGCAGGTGATGTGTATCCAGTGGCCAGGTGGTGTTTGTATCCAGAGATGTTCAAATTCAGCACTTTGCACCCAGAAATTCTCAAATTCTCAGACCCCCGATCCCAGCACACGTTTATTATGCCCGGAGCTGGTGATATTGTGGCGTAGGTGCCAGCTCAGTGTCCACATACAAAAACCACGTGCGTAGACGAATTCGTTCAAAAACCACCATCAAAGATGAATAAAACTCCGGAGGCGGCTTCCGTGCAGCGCGGAGGTTCAGTGCCCTCATCTCCTCGCATCTCTGCGCTAGTCGTCGCCAATACGATGCCACAAGTGGCATCCGTGTCAGATGCTCCATCTCGGGGAGCCGCCACAGCTCTGCCAGAAATCCACTGACATTGGTCGCGAAGAGTGTGGGGCATGCAGAGTCCTCCATAGTCTCCACGAATTCCAGAATTCCAATACCATCGTCAGTCCATGCAGGAATTCTTCGAAGCAGTCCGTAAGTCATGGCGTGGCAAGGCAGGTGAAACAGAGCTGCTGTGTGTCAGAGGTTGGCTGTTATCCCAAACTGGAAGTGAAGTGCTATGCCATAGTAAGTTGAACTCAGATTACAGGCAGGGCAGCAGCATCATCATCAAGACCGGCACCAAATCGTCACCCAGAATGTTTTCCACACAGCTGGGTTTCGTTGGGGTTTCAGGGTCGGTTCAAAGATCCTCCTGGCTGTCCAGCACCTCGATCACGTCGTGAGGTTCCTTTCGAGACGGCGGAAGCTGCAGAAACTCCTGAAGGGTGAGCTGTTTCAAACGGCAGGGGCCTTCTAGGGATTCGCGGAGGTCAGTTTTGGAATTGATCCGAAACCCTAGATCAAGTAGCTGATCCACGACTTCAGGATGGAGGGTGCTCAGATGAATAGAGTTAAAGGCAACTAGGATAACTCTCGAGGAGGGGTCAGCGGTGGGGGGAACAATCCCAGCGTGAAGGAGCCTGCGAGCATCCAGAACAAAGGGCTTGTCAATCGAAACCACCCTACCTTTAACTAGGGCCCCCAGGTGAGGCATGTTCACATCCCCACACGGGTCCTGAATCCAAAGGCCTGCCCCTGAAATAGGGGGTGAGAGCTGCATAATCAACGATTGATTACTCCCGTTATTAGTGTCCCTATGAGGCCGGGCCTTGCACCCTCGAAACAGAATACAGCAAGTAAACCGAAAAGAAGGACACACATAAGCAACCATCTTAGTAATAGCGAGCGTCATGAACGGCATGTCAATGGAAAAGCTGAGCAGACACTGTGAGTTACGGGGATTTGCCCCGATCCCAAAGTACCTGATCCCATCCTTAGTGCTTCGTCTGAGGTATGTTGATGGCAACATGTCGAAAAGCTGATATATATCGTGAGGTGTAGGAGGGTCAGCCTGCCTCAGTAACAGGAGGGCTTGGTACTCAATGGGCCTCAAGAGAGGATTCGCAGAAAGTGCAAACGGCGGGTCCAATACAGTTGTTTGCATGGCTTCAAGGGACATGCGTTCAATCTTTCTCGTTTTCCTAGGACTGTGCTTGTGGGAAAGGCTTGGGTCCGGGGAGTTAGTTACATCATCAAGATGAATGGGTTCATTCACAGAGGGACCCTGCAGCGGAAAAGGAAAGGACCCCATGTTCAACAGCAGCTCAACTACACTCGTTCGCATGAATTGCTAGAGCCATGACGCGGAACAACTGCATATAACATGACACTGAAAACAGTACTTCAATAAGTCGGTCTTTTAGGCTTGCAAAGACATGCATGTGATTCATCTGGTTGCGTTCTGAACAGCTTGTAGGCTATTCAGTGTCGGAACAACGTCTGACTCAAGCACTGATCTTAAGTGCGAGAATGACATCTTGACTTGTTTAAAGTTGGTTTCATTATTAATTACAAGAGCCTTTGCATGCAGAGTTTGATCTTCACAGGCTCTTCGAATTCTCTTGAAATTCTCATCATGGGCTTCGAGCTGTTCCACAAAGTTGTCCATGGAGGCTTCCAAAGTGGATATACGGTATCCCAGGTCGTGCACAATATTTCTGAATTCGTCTCCAAATTGCCGAATGAGGGTTTCCAAATCCTCACGTTGCCGAAGTTGCTGTGCCAGAGTTTCCCCTAGCTTACGGTCGTTCATCCGTACCAGCCGCAGAATGCTCTCGCATAGTGTATCCGAAAACAGAGAACCTTCAACTACTACCCCGGCAGAAGAGTGAAGACGCTGGTGAGTGTCCTCCAGAGTCTGAAGCACGTTGCTCAGACGTACTGCCAGAGTCCATGCTCGGGAGGTCACTTGCAATGCGAATTCCCACAAGCGTTGCACACTCCACAGAAGGAGAATGGTCACGCAGGCATATAGCAGAGTATGTATATCCATGGCAAGGGGCTGCGCTACCAGGCGAACTCCGGTTCACTATCAGTCTAGTGGGGCCTGAAGCCTCAAAAAAGGTACAAGCATCGCATGATTGCACACCTGAAGGACATACGACTCAAAGGCATGCATCGAAAAAGCATCAAAGTCTCTCAAAAGCCTTTTAACCATTCACTGCCCTCGAAGCACATTAGTGGCTGCAAGTGCTAAAATATGAAGGTCCGGGCGATCTTCGAGTGGGTCATCTTCCCAGGGCGCCACAGGTGGCATGATGGAGCACAGGTTGTAGAAGTCACCCGGCGAAGCTCTAGCCCCGAACAAGCCCAACTCTGAGTCCATACACCTTCGCAAGGCTTGGGTGTGTGCATTCAGGTCCTCACGTAAGGCATCCATTGCTTCCTCAGTGCCATCCAGGTTGCAACGGAATTTCCCAGGGGGAAATTCATTGGCCAAGATACCGTGCACCGAGCGCAACAACGGTGATGCTTGGTGGACTTTATGCTCCACCCTTCCTTGGGTTTGATGTAGTCGCTCAACTGAGCGCGCCAGGTCCTGAGTGAGAGTCGTTAGCTCCTGAAGCAGTCGAAGGCACTGGGTCGTATCTCCTCGGGAAGTCTGTATCCTGGCTGGTGGTGGCTCACGGAGGGCTTCGCTAGCATCATTATGCAATTGAATTACAAATTCTCGCACTTGTCCCAGCCCTTCGTTGACAGCAGCGAGGCTGTCTGTGATATGGGCAAAAGCCAAGATTTCGTCGCGAACTTCCAAAAGAAGCTTTGGCATTCTGTAGAGGTCTCTCCAAAACTTGCATTGCCACAAAAGGAACCTGCGCACTGCCAAAAGGCAAATCAGAATTACCAGCACCAAATTCAGCATGTATGGCCATGAAGGGGTTTCCATATGGACCTAGACTGAAGACTTCTCAGCTTTGAGAAAGGCAGCTACAGACTGACAAAACCAACTTACCAAGACGCTCATGCAGCAGAAAGGTCAGCCAACCGCAAATCTGTAAAAGAACTCAACAATAACATGAAAGTGCAATCGGTCCAGAACCTCTGAAGCTGCAGATGGACTGAAGATTTTACGCACTCATCCTGTGAGGTACGGGCTCAGCGCCTCTGTTGGGACTGTTGAGCCTGCAAAACTTGTGCAGCCGCCATCACCAGGGTGGTGAGATCAGGTCCCCCGGTCGCGGTTGGATTTCCGGGAGGAGTGCTCGGGACCACCGGTGCAACTGGCAAAGTATCAACCAAAGATATGGATCGTGCCTCTTCTTGGGTCGTTGAACGACCCTGATCATGGTAAGGCTGGTCATTGGCACGACTGTCACTTGCGCGTGAATTAGAATACTGTCCTTGCTGTGAATTAGAATACTGCCCTTGCTGTGAATTAGAATACTGTCCTTGCTGCGAATTCTCTTGTTTGTACCATGCATTAACATCCCCTTGGATGGTCTTCAAAGTGTCCTTGAGGTAGTCGAACTTCTTGGCGAGCAACCCATGAGGCAACTCAGCCTTGATGATCTTCAGTGCTTCATCCAAGGCCACCTGAGCCTTGGCAACCTCGCCCAGGCATCGAGTCCCAAGGTCGTTGCCATTCCTCACCAGGCCATCAAGTGGCTGAAGCATTTTGAGAACATCATTCATCTTGCCCTCGAATTCTTTGAGTTCCCGGACATTGCCAGTAACAAATTTCTCCATTTCCTCATGCAGTCCTCCCGCCGCAGAGTTGATGTCTTTGAGGCGGCCCTGAAGCGTGTCCATCATATTCTTGATTTCATCCATCATCTCGTGGGTCAAGCGGAGTTCCTGCAAGTGGTCGCGGATATCTCCCAAAACGATGGGGAGGCGCATGCACTGAAACACAAATTCCCATGCAGTCTTCATCCAGTCGGGGCAGAGATCGCCTCTCATGCCCAAAAAGCAGAGGAGAACGGCCAGTCCAATGAGGACTCCACTGGAGACCTCCGAAGAGATCCACGAATTGATGACTCCCGAAAGTCCTCCCGCTTCCATGTTTGCAACGAGGGTGCAAGGCGGGAAAAATAGCTCAGGCTTGATTTGCACTGACTGCTGCAGCAAGTAACTTCAAAGACTGATAGGCACATTATCGGACCGTCCTGCCCCCCCCCCCTACACACAACTGAAGTGTGACATCCATGACGACGACGGAAAAAATCTAGCCCAAGAGGCCTCCAAGGTCCTGACCAAGGTCATGTTGGCAGGGTGGGGATTATAGGGAAACTGCATGAGTGTTTCGTATCGTGGTGGCAGCTTGGATGGCATGGTCTGCATGAATTCTAGGATGTCCAGCTGTCCTAAACGGTACAAAAGATTCCTGGCAACGGGCGCCGCAACCAAGCCTAAGAACAGCGGATGCTGCAACAGCACCGATGGTAAGAAAATGACAGGTTTGTTCAAGGGATCATCATCATGCAACATTTTGGCAAAATGCCATACAACTAAAAGCCCTGCAGCAATGTTGCCAATCAAGTCCACTTCCTGCGGGGGCTGTTGAACAAGTGTGATTTTGCTGGGTTGGAAAGATCCCATCAGCAGAATAACAGAAATACCCTGATCCTGCTCAAACCTCACCAACAATGAGCGATTTGAACTAAATCGCGTGGCTTCCTGAACATGCAGCAAGGCTCTCGCATACGGTTGCTCAAAGAGGTCCTCGCGTACCGGCCGTAAAATGCAAAGCTTCTTATGAAGAATTAAAAGCTGCATATGCATGAGATAGGCAGACTCGCACTTGGTGTTGATGGGCGTAACCCATCGGCGAATCCAGCCATATTCAAGACTTTTCCATGTGTCCCTATCAATTGCAGCAAGTTCCCAGCAATCCGGATCATGACGTCCTCGAAACTGGGCAAAGGTTTTCTGGAGTTTGCGCGGGATTAAGTCAACAAGCAAGCCAGGTCGAACGAGTCCTGCGTCAAGTGCAATGGTCCCTACTTGTCTAAGGATACGGCAGTTAGGGAGGTTGAGCGGATTTCTCCACACATGCCCCCAGTAGCGCCAGAGCTGGGAAAGCCAAGTGGCTGCCCAGTTCGGTCCTTTCAATTCCTGACAGAGGAGCCGACAAGCCCGTCTCCTGGCAGTGGTATTCCGTACCCAAGACTCGAAGGGGTCCCCAATGATCCTGGTCATGCTTAACAAGAAGGTGTTTTTGCAAGCTTCAAGCTGTTCCAACGACCGCTGAGTGGGGTAAGCTGCCGGAGCTAACCACCGCCACCGCGACGTGATGTACGTATCCAACAAAGCGAATTTAGTATGTAAAGCGCATGCATGTGAGGAAAGAATCTTCTTGAACCCAAAGAAAGCGTTGCTCGCCTTTCGCAGCGAGAAGCCCAAAGTATCAAGAGGTCCCATTGAGTATCCCAAGGGCGCTCCCAAGAAAATGAATTGTTCACATACCTGTAGCGGTGCACAGGCCCCTCTAGCCCAAATACCAGGGTAGGTGCACTCTGGACTCGCAAGAGCAGCGCACTTGTCAACATTGACCCTGAGCCCCAGTGCGTCCAAGCAGTCCTGAATATCGCGTAACTTGGATTGTAACTCCTCTGTGGAGCGTGCAAAAGCAATCACATCATCAGCAAACAACAACATATGCGGAGTATGAATTCCCTGCACACACGGTCCCCAGATTCTGTCCCACCTCCCCTCCAGGTCACGCAGCGCCCATGCAATTAATCTGCTGAACAATTCCGCACTGTAACTGGTCCCTTGCATAACCCCTTGCTGAAGAGATTGATACCAATGCTCCCCGTTTAGCGCAAGGAGTACTGTGTTTCCTCGAACAAGATCCCACAGCCTCAGTGCTTCACGAGAGGGTTGAGACTCCATCAAGAACTGCCCGATGCTGCGATGATGCACTGAATCAAATGCCGCAGCAAGGTATATTAAGGTCGGACAGACTGTCAGCAATCTTGGGCGGGGTCTGCTGCTGCCAACGTTTGCTCATTGCTCGCGCCGCCTCCGGGAAACTCTGCCAAAGCTTGCAATGCCAACGCGCGTACCTCAGGCTGATTTGCAACAAGCCGCACTCCACACGCACAGGCCCGGCATGAAAGTTCTTTGATGCTAGTCTGCTTTGTGTCGTGCGTCTGTGACTTAAGGTAATGGCCTACTGCCGTACTGGTACTACAGGCATTGCAGGCGGCCCTCGGTGCCCAGGCCCAACCCGCGATCTCAATCAAACGACGCAGACTTCATAACTGAATGACAAACGGCTGCATGGCCAAATGAATGAACAGTACAATGAACAAATCAATCGCGGATTCAACTGTACCTGCTACTCGGGTTTGTAGGAGGCTGGCTGTGTATGACTAGAGCAGTTGAACCTGCAGTCCCGGACGTCGACATTGGCAAAACAGCAAAGCCCATCCATCGTGATTAACATGATAACTAATCCGAGCGAGCTTCTGCGGCACATTCATCGGCCAAACAGGCGGAGAGGGCTTGAGCAGCCATGGTGGCAAAGCTCGTCTCCTGCCGCGAACTGCAGGCTGCTGCTGCTGCTGCTGTCTGCCTTTTTCACTTCTGTGGGACAAACGAACGAAAAGAAACGCACATGCCGCGTTCACGAGCATCGACAGGCGTAGGTGCGAAGGCCCACGAAGAAAACGAACTGAAGCACCAAAACTTACAAGCAGGCCAAGGAATGCAACACGCGAAGCAATCAGCAGCGGATTGTAACTTCTAAAGCATGGATGGATCACTCCTGCAACCCTTCAGGGTATTGTTTCTCGAAACTTATTGTAGAATTTTGGGTATAACTCGGTGGCACCCGTACGCTGTCTCGGACACGCCTCTGCCGCTTCCGGGCGACGTCGGCAATTGCAGCGTTCGCAGCGACGCCGCGCTGCAGCATTGAGCACAGCACCCGCGGCACCAGCCACAGAGCTGCGCACAGACCTGAGTCTGCTCAATACTGCCCCTCAGCCCACATGTTTGGTGAGACAGACTTGCGGCCCAGTGGCGGATCAGGGTGCTGAAGGCGTGCTAAGACTGCGAGAAAAGCGAATTCCAGCCGATCTGCATATTGTTCAGGATCGCCTGCCAGCGCAGAAAGCAGGCTTGTTCGCACCATCGCCAGCCCTTCGCGACAACATGCCCAATCAAATTACTGGCAGTCAGACCACATGACAGATATTGACAGAGTATACAGACAGGTAGCAGTTTGCTGCTTCTGCCCGAAATCCCGTGCAGTGGGCGCAATTTTGCTGTGCGCCTGCTGGAGCACAAACAGGACCTGAGCTGCACCCGTGTCTGTTCGGGCGATTTCTGTCCAAACTTCATGTCAGGGCATGCATTTGATGCAATTCCGTGGAGTAAAACCATAGACGGACCACTTATTTGCAGTGTTTGCGAACGGCTGTGGGTGCAAATCGACAAGTTGCATTGGATAAAGATTTTGTGCGACAAACCAGAAAACTCGACAAGTCACAGCACAAAACGAAAGTCGAAATGCAGCGAAAAGTAGGAAGAAGGGGCGGTACAACACAACTCGAAGAATCTTAAGTACAGCAACAAGCCAAACGTCGAAAAGTGAAAACACAAACACACACACACAGACACACGCACACACACACACACAGACACACACACAGACACACACAAACAGACACACACACACACACACATACACAGACACACAGACACACACACACACAGACACACACACACACACAAACACTCACACACACACACACACAGACACACACACACACACACAGACACACACACACACACAGACACACACACAGACACACACACACACACACACAGACACACACACATACACACAGACACACGCACACACACACACAGACACACACACACACAGAGACACACACACACACACAGAGACACACACACACACACACACACACACACACACACACCACACACACACACACACACACACACACACACACACACACACACACACACACACACACACACACACACAGACACACACACACACACAGACACACACTGACACAGACACACACACGCAAACACACAGACACAGACACACATACACACACAGAGTCGAATAGCAGAAACACCCGATAAGAGCGAAAAGCAAAGGGAAACAACTCTTATCGAAACTCATGATGCCTGCTTGTGTACGCAGCAATCTGTGAAGCCGGCAGTTTGGGTAGTGGTTTATCGCTCCATGCTTTTGCAGCAGTGGCACATCCGCTCACTGAGACGAAGCGGGCGAGGCCGCGCGTGGCCGCCGTTCGCACCAGAGCACTCCGGTCATGGAGCAAGGCGCTTAAAGCGAACCTCCCGTTGCGAAGAGTGATGCGAAGGTAACTCAACAGGAAGTGCACAGGACCAACTCACGATCCAGTCTTTGTTGGCTTCTGCGAAACCATCACAAGGTGCGTGGCCTGGCCGCTTGATCCAGGAACTCTGGGCGAGAAGCCAAAGCCTGCTCAGCAGTCACAAGGAAGACGTAAGAAAACCAGGCCAAAGACCCTGATTCGAGCGCTGTAGTACAATCTGCTCGCATCTGCTGGCTGAGCTCAGGTCATGCTCGCTAGAGATCACTAAGTTGTGGCATCAATAGACCAAAAAAGAGTGCGCTTCTTCTTGCAAAGACTTGCTCTTTCCAAGTCCAAGGATTGCCCGGTTCGCAGTTTGACGTTGAGACTGTGCGCGAGCCTCTGCCGCCGCTGCCCGCACCGTATCGCTCGGGTCTAAAAGCCGCCGCCTCAATGCGTCTGCTGATGCATCACCTTGGTGCTGTGAAGAGTGCAATATTGTGCCCAAACTTACGGTGAGCTGTGTGAGTTGTGTGAGAATGTTTGTGGCGGGGGATGCCCGAACACAACGAAAACCAAGACGTTTCTGCACACGAAGAAGAACCAATGAGTCACTTCGCAACGAAGATCCAGAACGTGAGTTTTGGTCTAGCTCGGGAAAGATCTGGCGTAGTGGTGCGGTCATGAGGACTGTGGCTTCTACTGCTTGGATTCATGACGCCTCGCGTGCTGGGGGCCGTCCAAGATCTGCGGACATGAGTAGAAGCAGTCAAACTGCCTGGGACCGTAGCCACAGTCAATGTCCTTCCTGCACATTTTAGAGTGCCAGCATGTGACAGCACAGACCTCGTTTGTCGATGGACTCCGGAGGATGCGACTACATGGGAGAAGGATGCATCTTTCTCCCATGTAGTCGCATCCTCCGAAGTCCATCGACGAACGAGGCGATCATGTTGGTCTAGAGTTGAATGCCTGTCTACAAACACTACATGAAGATGGAGCACAAGGCATTCTGAAGAGCTGCGAAAATTTCCGGAGGGCCCAGGAGGTCGATGAGTGTGGCTCAAGGATCAGGCGTCTGTTATTGTCTGTTGGCACCCTCAGCCTGTAGCACTTCTTTAAACAAAAGTCGCCTCCTTGCCCTCCCTTCGCAGTTCTTTCTTGTGACAGGGTGATCAAAGAGTGAAGTGCAAGGACACCAGTATCTTGGCACACAAGATGTGCATCCGGGTTGCCCATGATGCCCAGCATCTGCACGGCAACGAGCCTTTCTCTCTCATCGCAGTGATTCAGGTTGACAAGCTATCCATGCAATGACGATGTGGTTTAAACTTTTAGTCTATGCGCAAGGTCTAGCTGACACAGGGCTTAAACAAGCACGAGCGAATGCAAGCGACAAGCCTGGAGCGCTCATCTTGACTTTCCAGACGCTCCAAGACCTTGCATCTAGTAAGCGCAGTGCTGCACCTACTGCCGCAGCCTCCACACTCGATGTGTTGAGCAAAACAGTTGCCATGACCAGCAGACAAGTGTCTTCCTCTCGCGTTCCAGACCTGCCAGCCTGGAAAAGACTGGGAGGGACAAGGAATCAGAAAAACACGATGCCTTCCACGCCCAATCAACCGGCTGATGATCTTGCCAACTACGATTCGTCTTACATCGTCCTACAAGCTGCAACATGAAACTGTCATGCGGTCCATGGGCAGCTGCTACTTACTAACAAGGCACCCACCGCCGACAAGGAGACCGACAACAGCCCTGCTGTTTACGTTGCCGCCGAGGTTCGCCAGCAGCCGCCATGAGGACTGAAGTGGCCAAGTCTTGAACATCTCGCAATGGCTGATGTAAGCTATCCCAAACCTCGGTACCAAGCCAACGGAGTTCTCCTGGGGAGATCTCGCACTTCACTGTTGCTGAGCTGTTGGCTTCAGCCTCCACTGCCGACCAGACCTGACAGCCGAATGTCATAGCTTACTGCTACGCCTTCTGTGACAAGGCTTGCCTGCGTACACGGTCGGATCCTAGCCTTGACATCCGACTTAAATGCTCAAGCTGATTGCCAGTAGCCCCGCAAACAGTAGGAAAAAGCCAACGTGCACGGGCATGCTGCGCCCATCTGTGCCCCTGCCGTCTCCGCTGTTCGATAGCTACGGAATATCAACTCGGATGATGACCGAAGCCGAAGCCCTTGGCCCAGCAGCCGTCCGGTTCACTGATCTATGGTCCATACCAGGTTTAGGGCCTAGGGCGTTCATTTCGTTCAAGATCCGGAAGAAGCCCTCGGTCCGAGAAGGGCCGAAGGGCCTTTGGATCTCCCGCGCTCTCCTTGGCGATGCTGTGAAGGCCCTGCAAAGCCTGCACAGCATCATTTGCGGAAGCAAAGAACCTTTTCGCGGTCGGGACCGAACCTCCAAAGCCAGGGCAGAGCTCAATGAGGAACGCAAGATCTCAGTGGTAATGACCAGCCTCGATGAGCTCAAAGCAATGACGAACTCCATAGAAAGTTCAGGAAGTGCCCACGCTAGAGGTGTCTCAGACTGCGCAGCCAACCGCTGATGTCTGCCCGAGGCTCTGAAGCTCGATGCAGCCGTCTGCAAAACTTTGGCAACGGCATTTTTCCGCCAGGAGCTGGTCCCTGCCGAATCGATAAGCACGTAAGTTTGCTGGTCACTCAATATACTCAATATTGAAACATTACCCACAGTTGCCTGCACTTTTTTTTGAACTTTTTGTGCGATCGTCTGATAGCCGGACGGCAAGATGTGCGCTTTCTCCTTTTCCCACCCGCAAGCCGGGCCTGTAGAGAAGTTTCTGACCTGAGCTGTTGGCATAGGCCAAAGAAGTGGAGTCCTGTATCTGAACCATGTAGTCCTATCAATCTCGAAAACTTCCTAAAGTGCTTCGACACCACTCCTGTCGATTCATGTTTGGCATTCACCGGTCTCGGCTTGTGGCTTCCTCATCTACTAAGGCTGGCACAAATCTTCGGAATCGCCCAGTCTTGCTCGATTCGGTACTTCACATCTTTCACGGTTGACCTGTGTTCAGAGTAGCTGAACATGCGATCCGCTTCCTTGAACAGCTATTTTCAGCATCGTCAAAAGGCCAAGTCGAACTGAATTCGGCAAAGCCACTCTGGGGGTACCTCCAAGTCGAAGCTCTGCCCTGATAAGCTTCGAATGCGGCAAGCAAGCATGGGCGCCAGTAACTTCCCCGCGCTCAGGCTCCAGTGGCCGCAAAATGCTACAACATGTTTGGTTGAGCTAGCGGCAGCCACCGGAAACACCGGCCACTCGCAGATGTCACAGTGTCTATATAACAGCTTCAGGAAACTTTGTATGGCATTCCCTGATTTACCGACTGCATTGTGACAGGGCTGTTGTCGCCCTGGGGGAAGTCTTGCAAGCCGTGGCTGCGGACATTCACACTTCAATCGAAGTCACGGCAAAAATGCAAATTTACGGACGAGACAGAAGGTTGAAGGGTCCACCCAACGGGCCTTCAGAAGCTCGAGTTCTCGTGTGGATCCTAGCTCCGTCAAAACCCTGAGGCCGGTAAGCTAAGCGATCAGCATGGAGCTGGCGCCTCAGTTGCTGAAGAACTTCAGCCGTGAAGTGACAAACTCAATCTCTCTTGCTGTTAACACAGCGGACCAGCCTTCGCCTCCGGAACTTCGATAAGGTTTTAGATTAAGTCTTGATCTCTGTAGGTCGCGAGCCCATACGGCACCCGGGCCGCGGTCAGGAGCTCCGACGCATAGTGCCGCTGCCATAACACAGCAACTGTAGACTAAAAACTACATATTACAAATGCATGTTGTACTGCTGCAGCCTGAGTCAGCTGGCCCGAGGGAGACCAGCGGGTCAAGATGTGTCGTGTGCGGCTGTCCATTCTGTTCCTCTGCGATGGCCCTAAGATGCTGAGGGCCTGCCATGGAAGGGTACCAAAAGTCAGCCACCTTCATGGCTTTGGACCGACGCCTTCTCAGTGAGCGCACTTTGCAAGGCAGTGTCCACGATTGTCCCATGTCTTCGGGCGTCACAGGGCAAAAACGAATGCTCTTTTCTCGGGTCGGCGTGCTCAGACTGCTCAGCAGCTGCGGACAGAAGCTACTCACTTCCACCGGCCGAGTCACCTTGGAATGTTGTGGCATCCGGAGGATAACGACTTTCACAACTGAGGGTCAAGGTGGTCAAGATCACTGTAGGGGATCTGCGCATGCTGCAAACTGCACAAAGCTACCTACAAGTAATCACCTAACTCCCAGCTCTTGTCCGGTATCCCCAATCGCTGAGGTGGGTGACGTAGGTGCTTGGCAGCCAAAGCTGCAATTCGCTGCGGTTGATCACCACGGAACTGCGTGATGTTCCTGGCAAGTTTACTTGATTGTGGGCATGAAGTTGCCGAGACCGCCAATGCAAGCGGGACATGGCGGGACTAGAACTTGCCTTCGCATTGACGCAAACCGCAGGTCAGCTCCGCAGGCTTCGGGAGCTATGCGGCGCCATGAAGCGATCCAGGATCAAACGTGGGCATCGAACTTGCTGGCAGCGTTCGGCGGGACTTTGGCGTGATTGTGAAGTGTCCCTTTCATCCGCATCTCCCTGCCCTACGGATCCGCACGGCTTGATTGGAGGAACACTCGGTGCGCCCGCCCCTTCTGTCAAATGTCGCTGGTCCGATTCAACCTACGGCAGTTTGTGGACAGGGTGGAGTCAACGTTCAGGGCGAAACGGCAAGGCACTACAGCCACCAACAAAAACACACACACACACAACCACACACACGCACAAAAACATACAGATCATACAGACACACAAAAAAGAAGCAACAGACACAGAGTAAGACACAAACACAGACGGACAGACAGACAAGCAGACCCCTCTTCACAATTCTGTCGGATGGGGGGTGTCCAAAGATATTCCTTGGTGTCTTCTCCTAATGCACAGGACGACGCGCACTGCAGTTTCGTCTTGCTGAATCCTTCGGACGTGGACCGCGGCATGCCGTGTTCTTACGACCAGCGTGTGTCATGTGCAAAGGTGCGCCACGCCTTCCAGAGACCGGATCGATGACGCCCCACTTGATCTCCGAGGGCCTCAGTCCACATGAGCCTGCTGTTTCCGGGCACTTCTGGGTCTCGTCCTGTCCTCTGGTGGCCAATGAGTACGAAGCCCGGTGTCCCAAGGGTTGCGCCTCGGTAGAAGGCGAGAGCTGCCGCACCCGGCCTTGCTTAGTTGTACCGGTCCCCAAAGGGTAAACTAAAAATGGAGCCGGGGCTCCGACAGATCTACCCAAAGACGACCTTCGGGTCTTCCGGCCTCGGCTCTCTCGAGTGCACTTGTCTCGCTCTGAAAGCCCATGAAATGGGATCTGTGCAGAAGGACGGCTGGCTGCGCTATGCTGCTCCTCTTTTGCAGCAGCCGGGATGCACTATCCCTCCCCGTTCATTCACCGGCCGTCTTCTTACAGTCTATCCTTCTGTCGGATCAGGATAAGGTTTGCCTCCGCAAAAACGCTGAACAGCCAAACCGATAATGCCAGACTTCTGTCACTTCTCTGCTGCCAGCTTACGGGACGGGTCCATGCTTGTGTAGTCACACTTCATCTTGGGACTTCTCCAATTGGTCTCTCTCAGCCTCCGAGTTCAACATCACTCTTGCTACTGTGCCTGCCACGTTCCGTTGCTGAATGTGGCAACGTTGGCCTGGAACCCCAGGGACTGGGGTCCTAGTAAGCCGTGGGATTCCAAGCGAACGTTGTTCGGCGGCAGTGATCGTGCGAAAGCACAGGTTTTTCTCGCCACTTCGCCCAAGCAGGGATTTGCGATGCTTGGTGGCTGCTGGCACATTGCCGAACAGGGACCCGCATGGCAAGGCAGGGCTTGAAAGCATCGAACGAGCATGCGTTAGAAGCAATTTGGCTGAGTGGCTCCTGGTACCGTAGGCGCTGTGGTCTGATATCTACAGGACCAGCTTCACTTTTCCAGCGCATCTCTGAACTACTGAGAGGGTCAGCCTACCTTCCGCGACGTATTGTCGGTGCCGGCCGGCAAACCAAAACCATCTGCTAGATGCTATAGATGCTGCTTTTGTTTCGCACAGATGGTCGCTCAAGCGAATGCTCTGCTGGCCTCAATGCTGCAGGTCTATACAGAGTGGCAGGGGTCGTGTGTGAACTTTGCACCACGAACATCCACGAACTCGTTAAGCAGTTTCAGGCTGAACTCTCGCAACGATCTCTTGAAGTACAGAGCCCATAGATGCTTTGAACTGAGCTGAGCGTGATGCAAAAATGGCCAGCTCAACTGCAGAGGTCACCACAGCGTTCAGTTGCTGTTTCCGCACCGTGTCCAGATCCAGCTGTGAAAGGTCGGTGGAAGGACGATTGAGAGCTGCGAGCTCCAAGAACTCCACGTCCACTTCGCTCAAAGACCGGTGATTCAGTGATTCTATCAAGGCTCGCTTGGCACGCATGGCAGAATGCCAAATACCGTCTGCAAATGCATTGTGTGGCCGATTGGAAGATGTGACCTTGGGAAACTGTACAGGCAGCAACCCCATTACCAAGCATCCACAACCGCGCCCTTACCAGGAAGATGTAAGTTTGGGTGTCAATAGACACTGCCAGCAGCTTGTCAGAAAATGCACGGACAATATAGGTGGTAGATGGCGATGGAGGTAGCTACAGGTTGCCAATGCTTTCAATCAGCTCCAACTCTGAATATTCTTCTCACCGCACAACCTTACAAATGCTTGCAAATCAGCAGCTATCATCCTGTCTTCGTCGAAAACGAGACCACTCTTGTCTGCTGATCGCCGCGCCAACTGAACAACAGCCACTGCCGGAAGTCCCAGGAAAAGGAATGGCTCCATCCCTTCCAGATCATCCGTGGAGATGCGTCCTCGAAAATCTAGATTTAAGCACGGCTGAGGCCCAGCCAAGCAGTCAAGCGCTCCTGCTGCATGAAGTTCCACGCCAAGGGTGACTGCGCGCTTCAAGCAAGCGTCCCAAACATCCTGCATCGGACCGGCGGCACCAAATGCAAAGCAAAGACTATGCCAATGCCAGCACAGCGAACGTTGTCCTTCATGCTGAACTCGCCTACGAGATGCCTCCACGTCAGTGAGGACACGGAGGTTGCAGGATCAATGCTGTGTTCCTGCTTGTCAACGGCTTGTCACAAGCTCCGCACTGACCCCTCCAGCTATGTGATGTAAGGGGTGGAGTGGGCGAAGCGGCAGGAATGCGGGGCCGGGACTCACGTCTGAGTTGTGCGCCTGTTCTTCTCCGCTTGCTCCGATCACCACAGGTGTTGGTCGAGGCCGGTCCTTCAAATTCTAGGCTCCGAGTCTGAGCACAACAGGTAACAGCAGCAAACCGCATGGAATCCAGAGGCAGGGCCCTCTTGAGACTGTTGTGAGTGTTGAGGCATGTCAGCACCTCTTTGCATTCCGGAGCCCTTGAGCTCGCTTTTTCTCTTTGTTTCCGGGTTTCGAGGGTAGTGGCCCCCACTTCGAAAAAAGCCTCTCTCTTGCGCGCTCCCCACCCTGCTGCGTCACGGGCGCATCTGGTCGGGCTGCTCCGTGGGTCCACGACCATTTGTTCGGGCATCTTCAAAGAACAGCCAACCACCCCACCAACAAGTCAACTTACACCATCTACCTTCAAGGTGGACTTGTCGGGGGGAGATGCTCTTGCCAGTGTTCGGCCTGCTGTGCGTCCTCAGCTTCTTGCTTGTCTCCCGTTCCATTGGCCTGGTGCGGGGTGTTCTCGCTTCCTTGCTCTGGCAGCTGCTGTTCGCCGGTTGGCAGGTCGCTGCTGTGTCTTCCTTGGTCCCTCTGGGAGGCGCGTTCCTCATGCGGCTAATCTGTATCTGCAAGATGCTGTTTGGGCTTGCGGAGCAAGTACACTTGTTGTTGGGATTTGACCTCTATACCTGCTTGGTAGCTTGAGGTGGCGAGCTTCCTGGTTGACTAGGTCTCCTTGACTAGAGCTCCCGCTCGTTTGGTCCGCCGTTACTGACTGCTGCTCGCCGCTGGCCACTTGAAAACCCCGCTGGTCTGTGGCCGGTGCTGTGTCTCCTGCTGTTGCGCCTTGTTGCTGGTCTTCCACGGCTCTAGGTGGGTCCTGCTCTTTGGCCCCGTTTTGACACCAGAGACGCGAGTGTTGCGTACTTGTTGAACTACTTGCATCATGCGAAACTTTGCATGGGCTCACACCCGACTGGCGGTCAGCCCGGGCTTGTCAGAAAGTTTTTACGCGCCCTCTGTCCCTCTCTTGTTTGCTCTCGCCGTCTCTTTCGCTACACATCTTTGAGGGCGTTGCAGCAAAGCGGCCTCCCACCGGCAAAAATCGAAATCGCGGTGATATCTCCAATTGTCTCGGAGCATGTTCTGCAGAAGCCCCTCAAGGCCCGAGGCACATTCTACGGAGCTCAAGTCCGCACGTGTCTGACACGGCTTTCCGTCTTCACCATTCTTCACCCATGCACCGATGGAAAACTTACCTGCAGCCAAAGGGCTACTACACCGGACTCTTCCTCATCACCTGCTGCATAGACACCTGTGCCAAAGACTGCAAAACTGCTTCGCATAAAATGTCACTCAGATCTGGCCTCCCAGTGCTAGATGCCAACAGCTGTAGTCCGGGTACAACGCTGCAGACATCGCTACCCAACCTTTGCAAGTTGAGCATTGCTAAACCTCTCACATTCCAGAGCCGCCGTTATTGATTGCGCCAAAGGCCCAGCGGCTGATCGTGACCAAGAAGATGGCTGGAAGTGACACAGCCAGCATCACAGGGACGCGCAGGGGAAGAAGCAGCAGCGACAAGAGCGCCATCTCAGAGGTTGGGGAACTTCTGCGAAGCCATGCTATCACACATCCATGTAATGAGACAACCACGTCTGCCGGACGTTCGCCCGCAGCATAGTACATTGCTACACTATGTATACTGCGCCTAAACGGCAGTTTGGCCTCCTCCCGAAGGGCGGAGGGTGTAAGCTTCTTACGAATTCCCCTACTTAAAGGTTTCAAACAAGGAACATAAAGCGACTCTAAATTGCCTTTCACTTCACTACCCTTCAGCCCAAGGGGCACAACAGAATTCAGTGCGAAGCGCCTTGCAACTCCGGCACAAGACCCGTGGCGTCCACACCAGCGCGGTCACAGCATACGCCAAAGAGTAAGCGGGCGCCAGGACAGCCCCTGCAAGTGCGCCACGAACAGCTCCAAGAACCTTCGCTTCAGAAGTCCAATGTGGGTTGGAGAAAGTGTGCTGAGAGGACATGGAGCTCATCCTTCGAGTTTCATGGGTGGCAACCAACCCAGAACTTTCATAATCATCAAACATCAGCTGATGTGCGTTGGCTCCTACCAGGGCTGTACACTTTCAGCTTATGTTGAGAGTTCCGATCTTGCACCCTTTGACAGGCATACCTGTTGCTAGTCCTGTTGCTGGCAGCAGTCTACACTCATGCCTTTGGATTGTAAACTCTTCCCCAGTCCACAAGGGGCTCTGATCGCAAATCCCTGTGGAAGCTGTGACAGTGCAGTGGCTACTATGCTAGGGACAATACTCGAATGACGGGCCACTGCCCGAAGAAGAAGTAGAGGAAGTAAGCAGCACTGGCCCGCAGATGCCACGCAGCAAACTCCGCAAATCATGCAGCAGCCTCAACAAACTTGCTGCGTTTCACCACTCCGCTCCATGGCTCGATGCTAGCCAAGCTGCAAAGCGTCCACTCTAGACAGTTCCTGGGACGTGCCAGTCGAATCGCTAGGGTGAAGCTGGGAATTCAACTTTGGCATAGGGAACCGGGTTGAGCTTAACTGCCAAATCCTGCAAGGGTCTAGCCTAGCCTATCCCCGCTCAGTTCCAAGATGTTCCAAGAATGTCATGGTGCAGCAGGAGCATCGCGAGATTTGTCACTCATCTAATCGGGGAGTGGAGCAGCATTGGCTTCAAACCAGAGGAAGCCTTGGCCAAACCTGCCGAGGTGCTGTGGCTGTTCAAACTCGGTCGCCATCACAGGCTGGAAACTGCCTCAAGAGTCGTGACATGCTCGAAGAAAAAAGTTGAGAAGCACAGACTACGTTACGAAGAGCATCGAAGAACCGAAGAACTCTGCAAGGCTGGACCAAGGATGAGTTGCCGGAGCTGTGCCAAGCCATGGGTCCGATCATTACCCGCGCGGTCCCGGGGATTCCTTGCCGCACTGAATGTGAGTACACACGATTGGAGAAGGCCACCAGTCTTCCCGGCAAAGCTTCCACGACGTGGCACTGACTGTTGCTCCGAAGGATGAGCTGGGAGCCTGCCCCTTGTAGCCACACCAGAACAGTATGGCCGTGAACGTCGGAATTGCGACGGCCACCCCAGGAGTCGCGATGGTTCTCCACATCGCCTATGCTCATCATGGCTGGGACAGACACGTGCCCGTCATAGCCGGCACTGCCGGGAGTGGCTGGAGAGGCGCTCCCGCTTGTTAGTGCACGAATCTCTTCTGCAACCGGTCTTGGCAACATCACCGAGGTCGCGAAGCCTGTTCCAGAATTAACCGTGCCTCGCAGTGCACCACCCTGAAATGCTGCGATCCTCTCCTGGCCCAACTCCGCTAGCAGATCCGCCTGACAGGCTCGCTTCAAAGGTTATGATGTCAACGCATGTCAACACCCTGCATATACGGCGGCAAAAGCAGAGAAGTCTGGTGAGAGTTGAATCACGCTAAAAGCAAGAGCAACAACAGCTTGCAAATTTTCGGTGCCGCCTTCAGCTGATGGCTTAGAAAATCGTCTCTCACCATGAAGTCCGGCACCTCCGGACATGAGCTGAGTGTGTGGGCATGCTGGGTATTGCTAGATGCACCCAACCAACACCTGCACAGTATCAAATCCCACTACTTAGAAGAATCTCCGCTACCTCCAAGTCAGCTGGAGCTTGAGCTGGTCTGTGAATGCAAATCAAACACATGTGCCTGCTTGGTCAAGCTAGGTTACATGTTGTTACAGGACTTTCTGGACCCCCTCTCCGGGCCTTCTATGCTGGCCGCTGCTTACTTTAACATGTTGATCCTTCAAGACCTACAGAGTGAGACCAGCATGCACATTTATGGTCGTGGCCTGGTCGAACGCGGCCATAGTTTCGGATAGTGTTGCACAACAGCGCGAGGTGTCGCAAGCGGGGAAGCCAGCAGCAATGTGGTGGAATCACTGAATCACTAAAACGTGCAGGTCGAGCCGATCCCCAACCATGTCCCCTATCATGGCTGAATACGGATTGTTCAAAGGATCCTAGATGTCGAAGTTAAGCACTTTGGATCTGGAGCCGGGTTGGGATTGACCAAGAACAGCCAAAAAACCCTATTGTCTATTGCTCCTGCACTTCTCATGGAGTGTTGACTGATCGTGACCGTGGTACCAGTACTTACCAAGAAAGCTGGAGATGCCGAGTTCAGCCCGCAAAGATACCCGGACGTCACGTGCCGTGAGATGCTTTGACACAATGGTCTGCTAGAGGGATCCTATGATGACATCTCGTTCAGCAACTATTCGAGCAAGTGCCCACTAATGATCGACGTGCGGATTGCAGTTACCTGTCCCAGATAATGACGTGGCTTTCGGAGCGTATTCTGCAACACCGCAAGAGCCGCACCTTTTTTCGAGGACGTCACACGAGTTTCATGGAATGGACACAGTCCTTATGCCCAGTGAAATCCTGGACAAAATGGTCCTGCTTTGGGTCGAAGAGCGCCACCCTCCCGCTGAAGAACGCCTCAGCTGATCCCAGTGTGTGCATGCACATCGGGGAGTGGGGAGCGTGGAGGGATGTGGAGGGAGGAGGGGTGTGGGGCAGCAACATGGAAGTCATGTAAGCGTGGTCTGAGCTGTCATGGCTCAGGCAGGCTGCCAACAAGATCTGCTGCCCTCCAGGAGCCCATTGAGCCGACGTCACGTAGCCGTGCTCCTCACAGCCGGAGCTGCGCAATCGCTTGATTTCAGACGCTTTCTCCCTCTTTCAGTCGTATTTTCGTTAGCTTGACAGTGCACGTCTGGCAGTTCTTGGAAAAGGCACCAGCTTTCGGAAGCCCAGTCGTCCTCGAAGAAGCCTGGTGAAAACTCGGGTAGTCAGAAGAGTTGGAAGCACGGGCAAGCTCAGATGTCCAGGCATGAGCTACACTGGAGGCATTTTCAGCGTTGCACAACAGGATAGGGCATGGCGCCAGCATGCTTCCCTTGTCCTTTACTTTCTCCTGTCAGGCGGCTTCTGTCAACACAGGCCCTCGTAAGCCTCCAGCTGCACGCTTGAAGCTGAACTGACTGCTTTCATACACATTAGTCCTTCCAGTTCAAGCACATCATCAGAGCTCCCCTGTCACAAACGCCACACACCCGAACAGGCCCTCTGTTGAAGAATCAACCTGACGGATTTCTGAGGAAACGAATCGCAAGGCGAGGCGCACAGCCTGCATGGATTCTAATGGTCCGAACGTCATCCCACAAGCATGATCGAAGTCAAGGTTCTTCGCAGGCACTCCCCGGTTTGGCTGTCGAAGAGCTTGGCATCCAAGTCGCTAGAACCTTGAGCCGAGGCGAGTTTGAGCCCAGTCTGACCCGAAGAACTCGAGTTCCTCCTTTCTAACACTTTGGGAGCCTGGCAAGTGAGCACAAGACGTCCGTCAGCAGACATGCTGGCCCCAAGGACCGGCGCCGAATGTCCTGGAAAGTCTTGCAAGCCTGAGCTTTGTGTGTTCCAACACAACCGTCAAATGCTGTCATACGCTCTGCTTAAGAAAGGCCGATCACATTCAACTCAGATGGTGGCATTTTCCACTTCTGGCATCGAAAAGCTTGGCAGAATAGTCCTGCGAAGCAGTGAGGACCTGGCAAGTTTCCAGAGCAATCCTACAGGCTTTCTCAAGCGGATGAACGCGTTCTCAGCGTGCCTTGGTGAGATCCGGTGAGAAGTTGGCAGCACACAAGGCTTTCGTATGGCCTTTGAAAGTGCTTATGCACTCGCCGGTTTGCGCACAGAACCTCAGATAGGATGCGACATGGTTCTCCACTATGCGCAGGCTGAAACTCCGTGGAGTTGTCTGTGCAGGTGTAGGATGAAATCCTGCCACGACCCGACCTTGCGGCCACAGTTCAGCGAAGTAGCAACTTCGCAGTGCCATCCTTCGAGGCAGTTAGGATCTGTGCACCGTCTTGCGACATAGATGCGCAGCGGAGCACATCGGAATGCCCCACCTGCCGATGCTGAAGCAGCGAGCAGCGCTTTGCTACTATCTCATGTTGCAAGATGGATGCAAATACTTAGCAAGAGACATTGACGAAATGACAAGCACGTCTGCAGTATCTGTTGCACACACACTGCGATACATCTCCTACGTCACAAAATGCCACTCTCACCTCTGAAAGACCTTGTGGCGAATACTCAGCTCGTTCTACATTGGCCATCGGCCTAAGCCTCCCTTGTCCGGTCTCCAAACCAATCTTTAACTATGCCCCCAAAACGTTGCGATACGAATGTGTGGCCAGGCTGGTGCCCGGCCCAGTAGGGAATTGCAGGCCAGCCACACAGGAGCAAATCCTCTCTCCAGTGCTGCGATCGTACAGGTCGGCGGAGCCATCCTTGTTTAAGCAGTGCAGGCGTGTAATCTTGGGTTTGGAGGGCTGGATAATGTCTCCCTGTGCTTTGGCCAAGAATCGAAGATGCTTACCAGGACCTTGCTGGCATCAGGAGAGAATGACGCAGCTGTCATGCCACGACTCCGTCCTGGGCTATAGGCAAGACGCCTCGAAAATCCGATGCAACAACGCAACAACACGAACAATCGTCGCGACCCTGAGTAGCACCTGAACACAATGTACCATATAATCCTCTGCTCAAGTAAACCAGTAAAAGTAAAAATCCCACCCACGGGTTTCTGTCTTGGTGTTTTGGTGGTTGATCTCAGCGGCTTGTGGTTGGTGCATCGGCTCGTCATGAGCGCATGGAATCTGTTTGCTTCGGCTGCCTACTGCCGCCAACCCGAATGTTGCGCGCTCGAGGCAGTCAGCGTCTGTGCTGTCCAAGCTCCGCTCGGCGAGCGCGACTTGCTTTCGAAGGTGATCAGACAGCGGCCAGACTCCACCTGGATGAGCGATTTGCAACTGGGGCACCCTGGTCTTAGATCAAATGTACGTGGGTTGGCAACTTACCTGCTCCAGTTGTCTCTGGGCGCCGCCAAATGTTAAGATGCCGGGGCCGTCTCCAGCAGTATATCGCACCGGTGTATCTAAACAAGCTCCGGAGATTTACGAGCCGTCGGGCCCGAGCGGCAATCGCCTTCAAAATGAAAACCAAGCCACGTCAAATAGCCGGGCAAAGCCTTCCACCGAAGCTGTCAGCAGTGCTTTGCCTCCTGGAGAGAACACCTTGTGCCAGGCCAAGTCAGGTCAACAAGTGATTGCAATGGGGCAAGGCTTCGAAGATTGGAGAAATTACTATCTCTCCCTCCCTGCTTCGCAAGTCACTGGGCAATTTAGAACACACCGGTTTCCCTGCTCGGCTTTCCCTCCTCCCCCCCCAGAAATGCCTTGCATGAAATCATAGCCAAACCTCGCGCCTTCCATCCCCATGACATGGAACGGGGGTCCGAGCAGACACCAAAGACAAGTATGCCATAGACCATGATGAACTGCATCTTTCTATATCTGGCTATCTTTCCACACGCAAAACTGCAGGATGCCACGAGAGGAAAGGGATGTGACCGCGGCCGTGCTTGTGGATGGGAAACTAGCACCCGACGCTAGCACAGTCAACAGTAGGAATATGGTAGATTTCTACGAGCATATTATAGTAGCCGTCCTTACAAACGAGGCCAAAGGACCCTCGCATTGTAGGAGTATGGCGGATTTCTACCAGACAGCCGCCTTACAAAGGAGGGCAAGGGATTTCTATCAGAAACATTCAGAAACTATAGTAACTATAGTAGCCGCCATTACAAACAAGGCCAAACAAAGGGGAACCTCGCATGGTAGGACTATGGTAGATGACTAGGAAGTTGGTGGCTGCCTTAAAAAGGAGGCCATAGTAGGAATATGGTAGATATCTATCAGCATTTAGTAGCCACCTTACAAAGGAGGAGGCCAAAGGACCCTCGCATAGAAGGAAGACCCTAGATTTCCATTGAGGTTTCTATGCGAGTCATAAAAATGTCTGTGCAGTCTGCTGCTATTCCCGCGGCGAGAACCGATCAAAGCAACATGCCTGCAACAATCAAAGGGTCACATCTGCTGCACACAATTTTTCTTCAGAGCTTCAGAAATCGCAGCGGATTCTGGGGCTGCAAAGCATTCAACTGCCTTGTCCCCCCGCAAGGCATTCCCCAATACAAGAACTGCAGCCGGGCCACCGCTGTGCACACGTAGTACCTGTAGAGCACAGGAGGCGTGGGGTGACTTGGTCCGCCACACATCGTTGTCGCACAGCCTTTGACACTGAACTTCTGGCTTGTCTGTGCAGTCTTGGTCTCAAGGCAAGGTCGTAGGTCGTACATCCAAACTCGAAGCCTTGATTTTTTTCAATCGTTGGCAAGAAGCGCATGGTGTGTAAGGTTCGTCATCACCTGGCCAGTGCTGGCATCCAGAAGGCCAACAACCGAATGGGAGTCCATGACCTGACGGCTGGGAACGTACGAGTATCAATACCTGCCTGAAGCATGCAGAGAAGCCTAGCGTAGCTGGCTTAGATTAGCTGCCTATTGTCCATTGCGTGTCATGGCTGCAACAGACTCTTGATGACTTAAATGGCAATCTTGCATGCACTCTGGAAGTCCAGCTGCCAAGACCCGTCGCCCATCCGCTGCAAGGCAAGCATCCTCGACATGGAGTAGCAGAAACGATTCAAGAGGGGGCTTTGTGAAAATATCGCAGAAGGAGGGGGAAGGGAACGAGAGAGAGGCAGAGAGAGAGAGAGAGAGAGAGAGAGAGGGAGAGAGAAAGCCGACAGCTAGCGAGGGGGGAATGAGACAGCAGGTGGAGCCAGCGATTCAGGGAGGCACGGAGAGCGAAGTATTGCCCGCTCCCAACGGGTCCTGCACCGGACCTTGCAAGCGCCACAGCTGCACCTCACCAAAGGGTTGTCTAGCTGCTGGTGCGAATAGTCAGCAGTCAATGCTGAGGCAAGCACGTTATGCAAAATTACTTGCATACATTAAGCAAGAAACTGCTGCCGGGACACCCCGAGGGCCGTGTCGTAAAGAGCGATCGAGCGGGTGGCAGTCATTGTGAGTGCCCGGACCCCATCTTCCGAGAAGGTCACAGAGATGACAGCTCCGCAGTGCCTTAAAAGTGACAAGAGTCTGCCAACACGCAAGACACAAGGTTTTAGGAGCAGCAGGATGCCGTTTCCAGTGCATGTCCGGCTCGAGGCACCGCCGAGACAGCCGTTCAATTCGTCAACTTCACGGCCAAGCACCGACGGAACGACTGATTGCCGCTTTGACTACCCTCCGAGGACACAAAGGGTCTTCCCTGTCTGCAGCTCGAAGATTCGAGCGGTTCCATCCTCGACAGTGGACACACATGCAAGCCTCTTGACCGGGCAATCCCGGATCAACTGGCGCCTCCGAGGCTGTACACAGCTTCTGCGGTGGGAGTCGGATCAGTGTCAGCAAAGCGCCCTCGTGGAGGCCGACTTCTCCTGCACTTTTGCTGTCGCGTAGCTGGGCGAATCACTAGTCAGGGTTGCTGCGTTGCTCCTGATACATCGGATGGCAGCAGCTCCCGGTCGCCGAACATGAGGGCAGACCGTGGGAAGGAGCCCCGCAGCTCAGAGTCAACCTCCTCTGCACGATCTGCTTCGAAAACGATATCTATGGACAGGCCGGCGATGAACCCCACCACTAGCGAAAGGGAAAAGCAAACTCGTGATGGGGGACAAGCAAAATACGAACGGCCCCCGTGCCAAAGTCGAACAGTGGCCACAAGTGCAGTGTATGGTCAGGCCGACTGAGCGAGGGTGACACGGACGCAAGGTGAACTACTAGGGCAGCATGCTCAATGGCCGATTGGCATAGAGAAAGGCATGCAGGTGGCCAGCTGCAGTGGTTCGGGCTCCACAAATGAGCCACACGCGAGAATTCTCAGCAGCTCTCCCCTCCCGACCCGCCCAAGGGTCCGCGACATTGGCTCCTACCGGGAGCTCCGGACTCAGTGCTGTGGTAGTTTTGGCACGGACACAGTGAGTGTTCGCCGCTTTGAACGGGGTCCCGGAATTCAGAGTTCCGACAGGTATTTTGCGAATAGCGAGCTCACTCGGCTGACATGTCTGCAGAAGCAAAGATTTGCCAAGCATGAGAACCCACACGGCAAAGGCTTCCAGAGCCCGGCCAACAGTGTGCCCAGCGCCCGGACAGTCGCAGAAAGTCCTCGATGCGTCGTCGAATTTCAGCCACGGAGTCCTGTCGCTATGCACGCGGCTTGGATGAAAAAGCCGCGGCAGAAGCCAAACGGACTAAAGCCAAGCGTCTGCTGCATGCACCTGCATCGTTGTCAGCCTTTGCTTAAAGCAAAGCCAAAGCCCAGAAATGCACACCGACCGATCGACTCTGCTCTCTTCTTCGTCTTTCCCGCGGTCTCTCTCGGTGTCCCCCAAAGCAGCCATGCATCGTCTGCCCGGACAACAACTTCACCTGCACGGAGAACGCCTCGTGCGGACTCCGGGAGCCTCGGCAGTGAGCATTTTAATGCCTTCGGATTTTGCAAGTACGGGAGTCGAACTTATTAACTTATGTCCGTGGGAAGTGCAGGGTCACGTCACAGGCATCAGTGTCTTTGGTCGTGCACCATAACGCATCTTCCGCTTCCCTAACGAGCATGAAGCAACCTGACGCTTACCAAACTTAGATCGTTCAGGCGACAAAAGCAGCTGTTGCTTAGTGAGGCTTTCATGTGCTCTTGCCCACAAGTACCTGGGCATCGCAAGCTTGCGGTGCACACACACGTGGTTTTGCTTCAAGGGACGGCTGCGCGAGCTGCGCGACATGATTGCTGCTGGCGCTAAGCTCCAACTACAGACTTAGATACTGTGTCTGGAGCTGTCTGGCCGTCTAATCGTCCGGGATCGTCCGGGTGGGTTAGAGGGGTTGCTTCAGCTCGAGGTGTGTTGCATGACCCACAGGGCTGCAGTGCTCTTTATGGAAGCTCGCACTTAATCGGGTGGAACGGACCCATCATGGATCTATTTGGAACCACTGCTGATCCAACAGCTGTGGAAGAAGCCGTGCGACCTCTTTGCAGCTGGCTTTGGCTCATTTCAACGCTTGAAACCGTGGAACGTCTTGTGTCTCGTACTATTGCAAGATGCCTCTGTGCCACTTCACTCCTCGGACGGCTGCGATTCCACTGATCTCAGGGCCGGCTCTCAATTTCGGGCCGTCAGCTTCAGCAGACCTTGCAGGCTACGCTCGGGAGCTGGGATGAGCTGAGTCAGGGAGTCAGGGTTCGTGGTGCTCCCAACGCTTCGTGCTTCCGTCTAGGCTCGTGCAACGCGAGTTTCACTGCGCAGATTCTGGCCATGTGCAGTCGCTCGTATGGCCTACTAGTACAGTAGCTGTCAACCGGTCATGCAGTTTCAAAATCTCGCTGCCGACAAAGCGGCCATCGCGGCAGCAACTTCAGCAGAAAAGCGAGCATCTTGAGCTGAACGCTTCTTCTGAGGCCATGCCCGCCTGGCGCACTTGTCACATCAGTTTCTAGTGCTACCATAGTCCATGGCCATACATTGGGTCAGCTATCTCGCAAGTGCGGCGCTCGTGAATCTTTTTTGTTGCTTTGCAGCAGGCCACGTTAACAGTCCAGTTCAAAACTGCTCAAGGTTTCACGCTGCAGTCGTCTCCACGACCTAGGTGCAAGCAGAAAACAAGTGCAAAGGCCGAAGCTCCAAGTTGCCAGGACTGGCCTTCATCTCCTCTTCCTCTGCACCCTCCGGGGCCGGCTGGTCCCGGAGAATCATGACCTGGGCAGTCATTGGGCGTGGGGAAGACGAGGTTCAGAAATTCTTGCTAGGCTTTACTTGAGCAGCACTCTTTGTGAAACTCTCGGCTCAGTTGTTGCTCATTCGTCTTTCGCTCTGGGTGCCAAGTCAAGGAACATTTCCGTCTGCATTGACATCCATGAGGATGTGCTCACCTTCTCGTGTCGGCTCCTTGAGGAACGACTCGGCCAATTCATCCTCGCCAGGTTCTCGCGATTTTGGAAACAGACAGGAGACTCCGCCCCGCTCCTCTACCAAGCGCATGATTGCCCGCCGGAGTGGTCTGGCACCGTAAGTGGGATTGAAGCCCTCATCCACAACCTGCAGTGATCTGCAATATTCCGCATTGCACAACACAGACCTTAGTTGCATCACTGCTGTGCGTCTGCATCTGCACAGCCCGACATGTGGGTACACGAGTCAGAAGCCGCAAAGTCCCACTGTCCAAACTCTCTTCCCGGCCTTCTGCTTGAACTTTTCCGTCATGCTTAGCTGGATACCTTCCAGCTGGGACAGAGTGGGGGGTGTCGGCAGTGTTGCTTCTGCTTCGATCGCTCTTGCCTTAATTTCCTCCGAGGCGGCTGAAGCTTAAGGTTTCTGAGAGAGAGAGAGTGTGTGGGGTACTGTGGAGCTGCAAGATTTGCACGCACTTGCACCTAAACCTCCAACCCTTGAAGCGTTCTGCAACACCGTCATACCTACATAACATTACAGAACCGAGCAGCAACTCCAACGACTGAAGAACATTGCCGGAGCTCGGGGAAACAAGCGCTTGCAGATTCACGCTTCTGCAACTTCACCGCCTGTGCTTCATGCACCATGCAGCCGTGTGACCTCTCTCCTTCGTTCGGCTGAACGTCTTCTTGAACCTGAGATTGTTGACCATATCGTGGTTGTATCTGCGCGAGTGTTCAGTAACCTGCCGAGCAAGCAACTCCAGCTCCGCAATTTGCGCAACCTCTGGCTTCGTCAGTGATCTGAAGACAATGACCTGTGGCTGCAGCATAAAGAAGTTAGTCCAAGTGAGGAGTGGCCTTGAGATGATCTGAGATCTACCATCATGTGTTCTTTGATGCTAGGCGTCCTCGTCCAAACGGTTGAGGAACTCAGGCTTGAAGAAGTTCTTGAGCCTCACATTTACCATCAAGATTTCTTGCGTGCCGATGCTCAAGCAGTCCTTGCTTCGCGGCATAATTGCGGGCAAGGAGCTCGTCGAAGACCAACGTCTTCAGGCGGTTGTAGCTCGACGTCTCTGCATCCTCTGCGTCCTGCAAGAGCTCTCAAGAAACTAAATTCGACTTCGGAAACAACAGGAACTATATCGGGAATGCCCAAACGTACGTGACCCAGCTCTGCTCCCTTCCTCCAGGCCGCTGAAGCCGATGCCACCGCCGCCCTGGATACCCTTCTCGATGGCCTTGGCCCCGACGTTGGAGGTCCTGGAAGCTCGCGGAGGTGGCATCGAAGCATCAGAAACTTTAGGCGTGAGAGAAGTCAGAGAGAGAGAGAGTCATGATGATCAGCGCATTCTTGAAGGAAACGACGCGGCCCTTGGAGTCGGTCAAGCGGCCGTCCTCAAGCAACCATCCATGGAGAACTGCGGACCCGAAAGCAAGCAAGTCCGTCCTCCAGAATCTGAAGCATGAGATTGAACACATCTGGGTGTGCCTTCTCGACCTCGTCGAAAAGGACGAGGCCTTGGATCATTGAACAGGAACCTGTAATGTCTGGATTCCTTCATTTCGCAACGCTCCGAAGCTAGACCCACAATTCTGACTCGTGCTCAGACAAAGGGCTGTATGGCTTGCGACGGATTCCGTCAGTCAGCTGGCTCTCTTCGTCATAGCCAACATAACCTGGTGGACTGCCGATGAGCTTGGACACGGTGTGGCGCTCCATGAACTCGGACATGTCCAGGCGGATCATGGCATCCTTTCCGCATCCCTAGAATTCGGTAATATCTGCAACAGCTTCACGGTCCACCCGTTTGCGCACGTCCTCCTTACCGAAGTACGCCGCTGCCAAGGCCTTGCACAACTCCGTCTTCCCAACTCCTGGCCACGGCACGAGCATCATAAGGCGCTGCAGTGTATCCGGGCACGAACGGCAGGCAGCGGCTTACAAGCGGATCGAGCACAGCCTGTCGGACCACAGAAGATGAAAGATGCGATTGGTCGGTTGGGATTCCTTAGATGCGGCTGGCTTTTACCGGATCCCCCAACCTAAGTACATGACACCACAGTGACGGGGCCGACTGACGGCCTGCACCAGCGGACTAGCGTTGTCGCGGAGCGTCTTCAGCCCAGCTCTTGCGCGCCGGACAGCCTTGGCCACAGCTGTGACGGCCTGTCAGAGATCCGCAGCGAATTTCATAAACAGTAGCAGCTCTCCAAAGGAAGGGCTCGGCTGTTAAACTGGAGAGACCAGGCGACACACGGCACGTCCCGCCTCGTTCTGCCCAATCACGCGGGCATGGAGAACCTGTTCCACACCAAGGCCACTTAGTCACTTGCTGACAACTCCCGGCGCGTACGCTGCGACTTGTCTCGCGCAAGACGCGTTCGAGGCCCGCCGTGCCTCTTCCAGCTTGACCAGGCGAGCTCCTTCGTCAGAAGAGACCTTCAGGGTCAGAGCCCAGAAACAACAATTCGGCAGGTGCGGTTTTCGGCTGTAGAAAGGAACACCTGTAGTTTATGGTCAGCAAAAGCAACGTACCATACGCAGAACCATGCAGCTGCCTTCTCAACAGGAACGCCGGTCCACTTGGAGACCACAGCCGCTACATCAGCCTGCAGGGACGGGCGAACTCGGCAGCAGCATGTCGGCGACATTACGAGACAGCGTGACAGGGAGAGATGGAAAACGCATGAAGAGAGCTGCGGCCTCGGTGACCAGAATCTCCTTCCTTGCCTTCTCGTCGCCGTCGGCCTGAGGTTGAAAACACGACTCATGCATTGTCACCTGCCTGGCTCATGTGCTGAAGTGCAGAGGCTTTCCGAGCGGACCTATCAACCCAGCTCTTGCTTGCTTGCTTGCTTGCTTGCGAAGGGTATGGAGTTTTGGAGGAGGCCCGAGGGGCTACCCTCACGGTTCGCAAGCTCTCTCTGTCTCTCTCTTTCTTTCGCAACGGCAAGAGGAGGAAGCGCACCCCATTTCCAAACTGGAGAGAGCTGAAGATAATGCGGCCTACCGCCTCGGCCAGGAGAGAGTGAAAAACTAGCAACAACTCTCCGCCACGTCCCCTAGCCGCCTGAGCTTCCTTCACCTCTACCTTCATTCTGCAAAGACACCACCGACACCGTCTAAGTTGTCCCGGTCAAGTGAGCCACTGACGGCTCATGAGCCCCCTGTAGAGGGCCCGGTTGCCCGAGTTTCCAAGGCTCCCCTCCATTGTGTGGTATCTGCTTTTCTCGCCAAGCTTGGCTTTTCTGCCGCCGGTTTGCCAAACACATGTTTAATCAACCCCACGCCTGCTTCAAATCAGCCTGCAGAAGCCCCTCAGGACTGCGTAGCTTTCTGCAAAATCGGTGCCCTGGCGCGACGCAAACCCCCTCTCCAGTCCGCCGTCCCTGCAGGCACGTGAGATTGGGAGCGTGCCTGTGCTCGATACTGCTCCAAGGCCAGGTCAAAGCAAATTACATGTTTGCACCCTGCGGCTTTCCACTGCGACAGACTTGCAGCATCTAATTCCCTCAGACGAAGGTCCTCCCTGTTTTTACCCCCGATCATAGTGTGAGACTGAGCTGAAGCGAGCCTGAGTTGAGGCAACTTTTCGGGCAAAGACGTTCCGGGTTTCACCGTCAATTCCCATCTATCCGCCCCACATGGCCTAAAAGCGTGCGAATTTGAAAGATGAGGCCAGGGAGGGCATCTCCTCTAAACGCCCTCCCTCTTGCTTGCTTGCTTGCTTGCAGGGTGGTTGGGGTCGGAGGTGCAGGCCCTCCTTTTCCATGCGCAAGCGCGCTACGCCCGTGCTCGTGTCTGGTTTGGTTGGCATGAAACTTGATGTGTCCCCGACTCCCACATGCAGCCCCTTACTCTCTCTTGCTTGCTTGCTCGCTTACGGGTTTAGGGGTTGCGAGCAACCCCTTGGCCCGAAGGCCTACCCCCTCGCGGCGCATCCCGCATTAACACATGCAGGACTCGACAACCAATCCAAAGCGGCACATAGCATACCGACACGCCCAACAAAGTTGCAAAGCACTCCGGGACTTCTGCCTCCTAGGTCAGTGTGCTCATGACCCGATGTAGGTTCCAGGGATTCAAGATGTGTGGTGTCTTCGGTGTTTGACTCTCTCTCTCTCTCTCTCTCTCTCTCGGGCTTGCTTGCTTTTTTGGGGGCTCTCTCTCCCTCACTCTCTCTCTCTGTCTCTCTCTCTTCTTCCGCCGGGCATGTTGGGCTGTTGAGACCCCTCGGCCACTAGGGCCCCCCCATGTCTCTCTCGCTCTCTCTCTTGCTTGCTTGCGCAGGGGTATGGGCTCTCTCTCTCTCTCTCTTCCGGGCTTGGGGATCACGGCAGCGTCCAGGCCGATCACCCCGTGCGCGCACGCACACCCGCTTGTTGCGGGAGGTCTGACTCCAGTATGGGCTCTCTCTCTGTCTCTCTCTTTCTCTCCTGGGCATAGGGACCGGTCAAGGCCCCCGGGCTTTAAAGCCCACCCGATACTTGTACTATTTATCGGGATAAGGGGAGTGATCAGCGAGCTTACTACATCCTTCAGCTAAAACCATATAAAGTGTAGGATAACGGAGAATGGATGTACGTACACTCTCAACAGTACATGATATTCCTACAAGGACGTTGGTTTTAGCAACAAGGGAACATTGTCTCCCCTGTTTACACATCTTTCCTGATGTGTACACATCTCAGTGTCATCAGGAGTGTTGCGGAGAAATGGTTGAGGGAATGTCTACTTGCAGGATCAACCCCCTCTTTGCCGGAGGCGTTCAAGTTCACTTGCTCCCCCATACTGATATAATCACACCACGACCTCAACAACATACTCAACCACATGCCTAGTTACCGAGGAGAGCACTGTACACAAGTTTGTGGGAAAGTTCGGGCCTTTCTCAAGAACCAGTGTCTCAAAGTACACAGTGAATTTATGTCGGTGATCAGCATCGTCACTTGGTAAGAATAAACGCACAGCAAGGATCGAGCACCTACGGGAGCACGATGTCTAATATAAGTGATGTGACATGCTGGATTCCAACACTCTCTCTCTCTCTCTGTCTTTGCTCCGGTCTCTCTCTCTCTCTCTGGCCAGGTGTTCGCGACGTGCTCCCGACTGCTATCACGCTGCAACCTGTCCCTTTCGAACCCGAGATTTTCCGGAAGCCCTTGCCCTGGTTGCCTCTTCCTCATCTTCGTCCGTTGCCAGGGCAGACTTCGACTCACTAATGATGCTCTTGATCTTTGTCCGAAGGCTGCTCTCCTAGCGATCGCAGTTCACGTCTCTGCGCCGGCGTGATGTTTAACTCCGTGCTTGCTGTTTTTCATGGCAGCGTCCTCTGCCTTAAGCTCTTGGGCGAGCTCATAGTTCTGGTTTCTGACGGCTTCCTCCTCGCAGGGCCGACAGACGCGACAAGCGAATGCCCCAAGCACGTCTTCGCACGATGCAGAGCTGAAAGCTTCTCCTTGCTTGTCATGACCTCCTTCAGCTTGTTCTGTGCTTCTTTGGCCTCCTCTGGGAGGATGGAGGACTCACGAAGTCGCACTCGAGCACCGGTCTCATCCAGGACATCAATTGCCTGCACAGGCAAGTAGCTCAGCTGCCAGCTGCCTCGGCAGCCCGACGCCAGCTATGGCCCCTACGATAGATGCCTTGTCTGGAAGGAACCGATCTTGAATGTACTGCGAGGCGAACTTTACACACGCCGCCAGAGCTTCATCAGTATACTTGAGCTTGTGGTGCTCCTGCAGAACGGATGGCACCAGCGAAGCAAACTGCGAACTTCACTTGGCTCTTAGGTCGGCATCCTCGTACTTCTTTGCCAGGCCCTTCAAGATCGTGAGCGTCTCTTCATTTGTGGGCTCAGGGACATTCACGGGCTGGAAACCTACGGCATGCCGAGATGCAACTCACTCGCCTGGAACTAGAGCCCTCATGTGTCAGGCCAAGTGACGTCGTTCAAGGGCCTTGTCCTTCTCGATGTACTTCCTGTACTCCTCAATTGTAGTGGCCCCAATGACCTGACGATGGTCCAGGCACATACTGGCCAGCGACAACATGTTAGCCCCCTCACATATCACACGCCCACACATGTGTATATGTATGTATGTATGTATGTATGTATATATATATATATATATATATATATAATTTTATGCATGTAAATAACCAATATAGACAAACAAGTATACAGTATACACATATATATATATATATATGTTATGCATATGATACATTGTATAATTGTCTCGCTCTCTCGTCTACCAGTCAGCCAAAGCAGTAGGAGGGCTCCCAATCCCCCGCACTCAGGTCTGCTATACGCCCAACCTGCCTACACCACAACACAACAGCACAAAACCTCTCCCTGTCTGTCTCTTCCTTTCCCCAGGCGGGTCTCTCTCTCTCTCTCTCTCTCTCTCCTGGGCATGGGGACGGGTCAACGTCCCGGGGCCGAATGGCCCACCCACCAATTTTAGATGGGCACGACGGGGAGTGAAGATCGAGTGCGTTATTCATGTTTGCACTAAAGCACTTAAGTAGAATATGATGGTACACATGAACTCCTGCTCTCTCACTACGCGTGCTTCCATAGAGAACGAAGATCTTCCCCGCGGTACAAACAAGGACGATAACTAAGGACGATATAAGTGATCTAGGCAGATTTTCATTCTCCCGCTTTTACAAGTTTGCCCTTGACTTTTACAAGTCTCATATAGTCAACGGCTAGCAGCACGGAAGACTGTAGTACTATGTACTGTTCCCCCTTGCAGTCCTCAGTTGCAACAAAGAACAATAAAGATAACATGGATATTCCCGAATATGAGTTGCACTGGACTGGAGGATAGACAGGCACATTGCCACCGCATACTCTTGGAGGGCTCGGTTACAGTGCAGGTTTTGAAAGCAGTTGAATTAGGGCCCCTGTTTTAAAGTATACTAAGTATCTCGCGATGGTCTACATCTCAGATAGCACTGGTCGCTCTTGGCCTTTTAGAGATAGACCCGGGACACAGCATACTCGTCAACACCTGGATGTCAACCATGATCTGACAAATCAGCCACGAGCGTTCAGCTATCTGGTCGTGGGGCATAAGGCTTTGGGGCAGCATCTCCCGCTCCGTTTGCCAAAACATTCGAAGCGCTGTGGTGTAGATAGCACGATTTGCTCTTGGCTTGTCGAAAGCAACCAAGGACACAGCTTGCACTACCATGCCGAACTGGCAACAATGTTGCACAAATCTGCCACGAGCGATTCGGCCATCTCATCTTATGGCAGGGTTGAGGGGCCACATGGGTACAGGAATGCATTAAGACTGTCATAAAGCCCTCTTGGATGTATTGCAGGCGGTTCTCTTCTTCCCCGGGGCATGAGGGGAGTGCGAGACCCCTCGGCCTTGTAGGCCCCCCCGATGTTCGTGGGGCTTTTGGAGGAGTGTGAAAAGGTGAATTTGTTCCCCCTGGTTTGTTGGGCGGTTCTCTCTCTCTCTCTCTCTCTCTCTTGCGAAAGCGAGACACCTGCAGTTCTCCGCGGGACAGGGCCGGCTTCCTGGAGCTTGTCAGGTCGGGTGTGCTCTGTGCTCTAGCGCAATCCTGGACCAAGACCACCCTGCACAATCGATTGCCAAGGGTCATGATGTTCCCTGCGTCAATCGCACCACCGCCGTCGCCTGTTCCTCCAGCGCCAACGATAGTGTGGATCTCATCCTGTCAACTGCATGGCGGGAGAGCTCTGTAAACCAAAGCTGGGGGAACCACTCTGCATGTAAGGCAATGTAAGGCCAATGGAAGGCTGTAAGGCGTATCGTGGAGTCACACGGGCTCACCAAAACGAGGGAGATGTCTCCGGTCTAGTGTTATCTGTGCCCCGTAAAGCAACTTTGTCTGGCCAAGTGGCAATCATGAGAATGATTTGCTTCTTGGAGTCCAGCACCTCCTTGATCACCTTGCAGCGAGAAGAACTGATGAGCAGCTTGCATGGCACACCGAATCCACGAAGCTGCGAGCTCAGAGGGCATCACGTTCTTGAGGCGCTCTTCGAACTCTCCGCGGTAGCGTGTTCCGGCCAGCAGCATTGCTAGGTCGAGCTGCACAATACGCTTGCCTCAAGGTGGGCCCACATGGGCACATCTCAAGCATGCAGCCGACACTCCGGATTTTCATTGTGCCTTGCAGGAGCTCTGGGATGTCTCCAGCCACAATCTTTTGTGCCAATCCCTCAGCAATTGCCGTCTTGCCCACGCCCGGCTCACCAATTAGCACCTGAACACGGGAGAGCAAAGCCCGAGCTGTGGATAGAAACCTGCAGATACCTTTTCGGCCAGGTGGCTGGGTTGTTCTTCTGCCTTCGGGCGAGGATCTGAATGGTGCGTTCCAGCTCTGCCTTCAAAAGGCGTCCCCTTCCCGCCAAGGGCAGCTTCATAGTCGCCAGGACAGGAAACTGATGCAAACCAAAACGGGAGACCGGAACGTGGTAAGGATGAACGAGCAACATCGGAGCAAACCCGCGACTCCCCGCCCTCCTCCCCACTTCACAACAAGTGAAGCATCTACCACGAACGAACGGCGGCTACATCTTGACAGCTGCTTAAGAATGCTTGCTGGCAGCAGCTGGGAAAATCCTCGCTTTCTTGGTTCCTACCCTCGTATGTATCCTATGGACACTCTTAGCCCTTCGATCACATTCAGAAGTTTCTCAGACTGCAATTTCTGGTACACCGACATCAGGAAACAGCGGTCCTGGCGGCCAACAAGCGGGTCCATCTTGCCCTCTTCAGCTGCCTGCAAGGCCAAAATTCTTAAACGTAGTGCCTGCACCTGCCATCGTCTCAGCCTCAGTATTCAGAGCCGGTCCAGCCTTGGTCAGGTCGTTTCCGAACTCTTCCAGCGTCACCTGGCGCATTCTTAGACAGGGTGCGCCGCAGAGTTCAGCTGTGGGCCCTTCTGAATCCGAATCCGAAGCGTGTCAGGCTGCACGGTCTTTCCGGAACCTCCTCCACGTGAGGTGACGCCGACGAGGCTCCGCTCCTCCTTCTCTTGGAGCTCCTCAAAGTCCACTAGGTAACACGTCTCTGAAACAGCTGCAAACAAGTGTCCTTGATGATCTCTTCTGGCATTTTGGACGGATCCACACCCAGCTTCCCCAAAATGTTGACTGCGTTGCCGTTGTCCTGCGGTTGGTTATGGGCAAGAATTTTGCCAGCACTGCCAGCGCATAACACCGCTCTAAGACCGAGTCTCGGCCTCTTTGAGGAGGGCCAACAAGATGTGGGCAGTGTCAATCGTATTGGCGTTTAACCTCTTCGCCTCCTCCACCTGGGCTTGAGCTGGCTGCTCGGAAACTTAAGTCAATGACACACACTCCGACTTCTGCTCCGTTCCAAATCCAGAGGCAAGGAGCTCCATCGCCCAGGACGCGCTTGGCTGCCGGAGTGAATGGGATCCTTGGCATGAAGGGCTTTCACGGCTACGATGACCCCTCTTAAGCCCAGAATCTCCACGGAGACCATACCGCTGCCACGTCCCACGGTCTCTTCCACAGTTCTCCGAGTGTCCTCGCGAGAACATGGATCGGCCTGTAACTGCAGAGCAGCGAAGCTTGAAATCGTTCCTTCAGCGTGACGTTGAACTTCTTCAAAACTTTGGCCGAAGGACCGGAGGTGTCCTTGGTGGGTTTTGGGTTCAACAACCGCTTTCAGGGGGCGATGGCATCAAAGACGAGAAGCAGCAACAACGCCGACCAAAAGCATCTCGGTGCCGACATAGTTGTGGCCTAACCGTCTGGACTCCTGCATCGGCGCGCTGGCGTTTATGTCACACGGAAGCCTTCTTCAGGCTTCACTCGAGAAATACAGCTGTCACAAGCATCTTCTTTCCTCCTGGGCGGTCATTACGGCCTTGATCGCCTTCTCGTTAAAGCGCTCGAACATCCTCCCGCAGTTATGCTGTCATCCGCGCGAAAACTTTCGACGGAGGTGTGGGGGCCCGGATGGGCAAACATGAGACCGGCGGGTGAGCCAAAGAATGTTCCATTTCTGCGGCTGAATGTCATCTTCATGGAGGTGAGGCCAGATCCCGAGCTGTTCGAGGGCGCCGACGCCACCGGCCTGCACAAACAAGACCAAGCAAGAGGTCGCACCGCGAAACTGCTGGGATTGCTTTGACCAAGCTGCCCGGTCACGGAACCGGCCATTGAGCTTCCAAGAAAGGATGAACCGCTTGAAGAGATGCCTGATCCGGGTGAGCTCTCTCAGTGTAGCCTTGTATTACTCTGCCATGTCCTGAATGCTTCGGAAAGAGCTCTGATGATTGAGCGGATAAGCCGAAATCACAGCCTTTGATCCTACGACGGGGCACTGGTGGGCATCCCTTTGCTCCTGCGATCAGCCAAGCCCAGATGCTCAAAAACTGAGAAAATGAGCCTCCGAATGACTGTTGGTAAATGACGCTCTGGCCGTCCACTATTAAAAATGCGCAAGATATCGAAATTAATCGAAATTAGAATACACGGCTAAACCAGTATGAATGAGAGCATCTCAGAATTTGATGGTCTGTCTATATCAAGGCTGCTTGGAGCTTGCGATTTCATGAGCGGGAACGGAACGAGCACATCGTTTATCAAAACAAACAGTGACTACGGAAGAGTTCAGCAGCTCTCTCTCTCTCCCTCCCACCCTCCCTCCCTCCCTCCCTCTCTCTCTCTCTCTCTCTCTTTCTTTCTTTCTGCAGGGCGTAGGGGTCGTCAAGCGACCCTCAGGCCTTCGCTCGCTCTCTCTCTCTCTCTCTCTCTCGCTCTCTTCTTCTGCACGGCATGAGGGGTGTGCGAGACCCCTCGGCCACCAAGGCCCGCCATTCTTTGTTGGGGCTTTGCAGGAGTGTGAAAGTCGGTTTGTTTCCTCCTGGTGTACGGCACATCTCTCTCTCTCTCTCTCTCTCTCTCTCTCTCTCTCTCTCTCTCTCTCTCACACACGACACGGAAAGGACACATCATGCTTCACAAAAGAAGCACACTGACTTCTCTACTAAGTAGCGCTTTCTGTCGCTACCTCGCATGCATGCTGAGAAGTCAAGATGGGCCGAAATACATGTGTACTGCTTTAGGTTCGTACTTAAAATCACGGAACAGAGAGTCGTGGAGAGTCACAGGGCACACTGCTTGCGATTTGTCGGCTTGGAAATGAAGCCTCAAGTGCCGGGTGGGGCGGAAGGGCAAGAACGTGCACGGCCTGAAATCAATCATGAACCTGAGCATTGGCGTTCACCCATGACGCAGCCTACGAGCTATCACGTCAGATTGGAGCTCAAACATCAACAAAGACAGACGAACGGAAACCGGAGAGGCGGCTTCGATGCGATATGCAATGTGTTTAACATATGTGTCGGTTTCTGGCTTGGAGTGAAGCCATTTCGCTCAACCCGTAAGCGACTCACAATATATCCCTTACTTCAGCAAGTAGCAGGTGTCTGTCTTGAGAGAACGGCCAGCAGGACCTACAGGTGCCGCACCCACCCCGTGCCCCTACATTATGACCTTTCGAAGAAAGCCGGGCTACTTCCGGAGGAGCCCGCGCTCCAGGCACCGGCGCGAACGACCACGTTTGCCTTCTTTGGCGCTGCGCTGGCTCCGCGCACCTCAACAAATAAGGCTCGGTTTCAACATGGTCGTCGACATGAACCATTGCTGGCCGAGCAGCCGGGATGGCCGCGGCAAAGGATGCAGCAGCCGCCGCAGCGACGAAGGCACACCTGGGTTGACACGACGCTTTAATGGTTACACAAGCACAGACTCCATGTCAGCCAAGATGCGCTGCGCTTGCAGCAGTCGCTGTCAGCTGCACGCCAGAATCGGAAGATGGTGTGCTGACATGAGTATTCCTGGGCTCTGGAATGCCCGCTGCAGAAGATTTCTTGAAGAGATGATACAACATGGCTCCCCGGCAGCTTTCGGTCCCAAGCCTATTGTAAACTTTAAAGTTTAAAGACGACCAGCTGCAAAGGGGGCAGCCTTTGTCCTGTGCGCATAGGCGGTGAAGCCACGAAGGCACCTGCACACGGCATAAGCTATGCAGCCACGCCTACTCCGTGGCTCATGTTGGCAAAAGCTCCTGCAGGCCTGTACGAGGCACAACATAGGCTGCGAAGATTGCCGCTGCTGACAGCGCTACCATCCTTCCCACGGCCTTTGCTGCGGAGCACTTGGCACCCGATCTGACGGTGAAAGCAGCAACAATGCATCCATGCAGCTGTATGCAGGCTTGAAATCGCGGCCGGCATCCTTTACCCAGAAATATCTGAGGGTTACAAGGAAGGATCCAAAAAAGCTGCGGAGGCATGTCTGCACTGAGAATGTCTGAGCACGGCGTCTTTTGCAACAACTCGACCAACCAAGGTGCTCTCGCTACCAGATGATCACTTGCGAATCATCCAGTGTCTCTGGCGCCCCTCCCCGACTTGCACCAGCTGTGTCGCCTGCACGAGCCCGCGTGGCTTTCCGTCTTTGAGCAAGAGAGGGCAGCAGATGCAGCGATGAGACTATGAGCATGTACACGACGTAGACATATCCGTGCTAGGAACAGCTTAGGGCCGAAGCTTCCACCAGCAGGCCTTGGTGCTCAGAATGCAAGGCACCCCCCCCTTCCCAGACACTTCCACGGGACTCCTTGCAAGCGAGGCTCTCAGCCAGTCTTCAAAAAGTTGGCGGACATCTTCGTGAGTTTCCAGCATTGGGATGTCCCTGCCGAGCGGCCGAGCATGGCCGAGCTGCTGAGCTCTGAAGTCGGCATCAAACAAAGAATCACTCTACACCCCGACTACCCGACTACCCCGTTTCGTCACTTGCAGACCTCAGAATTGCGCCGCTTGGAGCCAGCGCAGGCCTCGTTGCCCATCTTCACTATCAGCACCACTACAACTAGTATCGCCCCGGTCATCTGCATTTCCTGCTGTTTGAGTCGACTGGAGCACAGCGCATACTGCATGACCGAACAAACGATCCCTACGGATGACTGCAATGCACACCACATAACCGAAAGACGCATGAAGTGAAAAGGGGTCCATACCGGTCATCCGAGGAGCCGGCAATAAGGGCCTCAAGTACGACGCAAAAGCTCACATGCAGACTCTGCCAACTCTCTATAGGACTAGGATTCTCGCCCAGGCTTCCGGGTTTGCAAAAGGTGGAAGCCGACCATGCGAAAGGTGTAGGTGTTAGGAAAGCCTGCGCAGTTGGGCAACGGGCACTTGTAAAGGACGGACGCTGTATGAGGGGAGATGATGCTGTCGGCCTTGCTTGGGCGGCATCACTGCCGTATGTGCATGTACCTCGGCGACGAGCTAGATAGCCCACATCACTCCATCAATGAGAGCAGACCTTGATCAGGCGAGCAAGCAAGGACCAGGCCCACTCACCGATGCGAACCACGAAGTCGCGAGCCAACGGACAAGCATCGAGCAGCACTTGCACCACCTGGTGGCAGCAGTTGTGATTGTTGTTGGCCGCCTTTCTGCTGTCCCATGTTGCAGCTGTAGCTATTGTCCTTCCATATGTCAGGTTGGCTCCAGGTCATGCCCTGTTGGGCTGATGGCGGCGACCAGTCAAGAACCCCTCGCTTGATTACGGCCGTGACTGCTGATATTCTCTTTCTGTCAAAAAGGGCAGCAAGCCCTCTCGCGGACCGTTCCGTGCGAGGGTTGCGACTTTTGTCTGTTGCCTTCTTGCTTTTCTAATTCGAGAGCTTCTTGCGGCTTGATTCCAACCGGGCATTTGGCGACGGGTCCCTTCGGCAGAAAAAGTACATGGTGCTGAAGCCATTGCAATCAAAGCCTGGCTTGGCCCTTTCAATAGAAACAGCATGCCTTAGTAGCCCTTGGTGAAGCCTCCTTCTGAGTCTGAAGAGGATTCTGTGGTCATGCACACCTTGGGCTCATGCAAACAAGGTTCAACTTGTCGTGGCCTGTCTTGCGCAATGTGTTCCTTCCTTGCTTGCTGCACACGCGAATCGAAATCCAGCGGCAGCGGAGCATACCCCGGGAAAGACTACCACTTTCTGACCAACAGCAACAGCAAGATCAACAGCAGCAGCAACGGCAACAGCAAGATACCACCAGCAACACCAGCAGCAGCACCATCAACATTAACAACAACACCACCAGCAATAAGGAGAAGTGGCCCGTCGCCACCACGAAAGGGTTTTGGAGTGTTACGACAGCAATGAGCAAGATCTGGAAGATAGTCTTGATTAAGACGGATGCCGCGGACGCATGTCTCTCTCAGCGGTGCCACAGGCACGAGTCGGGAATCTCGTTAATCCATTTTTTACGCTTCACTCATTTGATGACAAGGCAGTTGGCCACCGTCAGACAGTATAGATGACATGCATAGCCCTGGGCAGAAATCGCATTGCAGCGAGACCCTCCGAGTTGATCGCACTGCTTTGTGTAAAGAACCAGTCGGATTTCCCTTGTCAGCTCATCAAAACGTGGCCAAAAACTTGCCATGCGGCGTGGACCACAACGAATCGACATGACAGCTTATGTGATCCATGTGAGTCGTGTGTATGATCATATGTGAACTGTAGCTATGTGGACAGGCTGCATTGAGGTATATTGAGGTGCCGCGTTTCCGCTTGTATAGGGTGTCGGGAAAAAGACGTGTCTAAGAGGTGTACAGAATGAAGAACTGACACAAAAAGCAAGAGACCAACGTGCCCAGGAATTCTCCCGCCAGAGCAAAAAGGTGAAGTCGAGTCGAGCATCAGTGCAGAAATCCAGAGTCGATCGTAAGGCAAGTTGAAGAGTGTCTTGGTACGCACGAGATGGTAAGTCCCGGAAAGTCCTGTAAGTACGAAGCAGTTCGAGTGTCTGGGAAGAAACGATGCCCGCCAAATACCGTAAATACCCACATTTTCGAGCCTCCAGACCCCCCCTCTCCAGTGAAAAAACAAGACACGCAAACACTGGCTTTACGCACGAAGGAGAAGAGAGCAGGCAGAGACAACGAAAACGCAGGAATTTGCTCTTGCACAGTAAAACGGGCGGCACACCCAGAGAGTGCCAACGTGCAGAAAGTGTCGTAACTACCGAGCATTCTTCGCTTTTTGTAGAAGTTAAAGTTACGTTGCAAAGAAGGCAAAACAAGAACAAGACGAACATTGCAGGGACAAGGGGGCAAAAGTGCTGTAAATACTGAGGAGATTGCATGTTTAGAAGACCCCCCAGATCCCCCACCCGAGCCTCCCCTGCAATGACGTCTACCAGACGGACAGTGTAAGACCTTCCGGGGCGGCGAGGGGCGGCGCTGCCAACAACAACAACAACTACTGCTACCGGTACTACTGCAACTACAACTGCATGCTGCGCGAGCGGGCTCTGCTCTTGCCGGGCGAGGTGCGTCTGGCATCACACCATATGTACAACTGTGAGAAAAAGACCCGCATAGGGTGCTCTTCTGGAGCAGCTTCTGAGAAACAGTCTTTGCCTGATCTGCGAATGTGCCTCTGTAGCCCTCAGTGTGCATCGTCGCATGCCATATGCACGATCCACAGGTTGCTGAGTGGCGTCCTACACTGGGTCACGTGAATCTAGTGAACTAGTGGCGATGCGCCGTAGGGTGCGCCTGATGCGAGGCTGCAAGGGGCAATTGAGTTGCGCATTGCTGCCGACTGCAGTAGGCTCCTGATAGCATCTGAATCCGTGCAAGCTGCTCTGATTTTCTGTCTGCATGAAGCGAGGGCTGGGTAGTGCTGGCTTGCAGCTGCTGGTTACCCATCTTCCTTCGAGTTATTGAACAGCGAGCAAATCGCGGCATTGTCAAGGGGACATGCGGTGACCTGTTCATGTGCTACACAGTCCAGTGCTATGGTGGATGGGCGATACCTGGCATGCATGCTTCGAACGATGGAGGCATCAAGACCCGCCCTCCCTAAAAACTTAACATTGGCAGCTAGGGCTTTTGGGTGTTGCACGATTTCTGCCAATGGAACAAATCCGGCCGGTAGCCTTTCACACCCAATGTGAAAAACGGGGTGAGAGGAACCGCTAACACAAGTCGTTTCGGATAGTGCGGCACCAGATTTTGTCCATCCAGAGTCAGCTTCGGGCGAGTGTTGCCTGTATGCGTTACGAGCGTCAGTTCTTAGCCATAGCTTCTGTATCGTTTCGGTGGCTCTAGCGGATTTGACTGCGCTTCCCAAGGTGCCGCAAATAAATGCAAAATGACAATCACCACTCAGCCGATGCGACAGCCAACACAATAAAACACCGTGGAAAAAGCAGCGCATTCCACAATTCGTTCATTTTAAAGGAAAGCGCATAGGATTTTGCAGTTTCCTGGTGCCACAGCAGCAAACTGCGCGATCTTCCATTATTTTGTGCTGCTGCTGCTACTGCTAATTCTGTCGCTCTCAGCCCTTGATACTTAGTCCCTGCCTCGTCCCTCTCATGCGACTGATGATCGAGCTGGCAGTTGATGACGTCGACCTGCCGAAAGCCCTTGAATTGTTGGATCCTGTTGGTACTGTCGAAGTTACTTTTCATGGCATCCCCTGACGTTGCGCCTCGATGTTGGTCAGCTTATGTTTGAGAATTACTCGTGGAACCCGCGCCCAGCCTGCATGTCACATGCGACGTCACGATGCCGTGCCTCTGCAGGCATGCTGAGTTTGGGGCTGACATGCTCAAGCAGCTCAAATTCCCGAGCGGGTGATGCTGATGCATTCGACCTGTCAGGGCTGAGCTCGCAGGACTGCTCCGACCCCTCTCTGCGTGCAAGCTGGTAGTCGCTCCCTCCCGCTCGCCAGCGGCCCCATCCCGTCGTGTTGACAGAAGGGGCTCGGCTGTACTGGAACTGTTTGGTTAGAAGCTTGGGCGCCCACTTGCAACTGCTCAAAGCCCCGAAAACTGGATCAAGTAACACGGAAAAGCACCTCGGCTCCCCGACCTTCCTGCTGTGCCCTCTAAGCTCCGCTCAGTTTTGGCTACTTCTGAAAGTCAAAACGACAGGATCAGGTTGATTGTGTGAGCTCTCTCCCCCTCTCTCTCCGTTGCTTGCTTGAGGGGTTTAGGGACGAATCCCCTGGCTCGAAGGCCAGAACCCCGTCCACGGTCTGCAGCAGTTCGAGGAGTGGCCCCTGTTCGGGGCTGTGAGTTCGCCCCCTGAATGTGCCAGATAGGACACAACCCCCCCCAAAAAAACACACTTTTCCTGAACCCTGACGCCTGAAACCCAACTCTGGCTTCACTCAAGTCATCCGAGACTCATTGCAAGGTCAGCTACGCACAGCCACAAATCATCCCGTATACCCGAAAAACACCTTCCACTTCGGTCGGTCCTCTGCCCTCTCTCCTTTCTCTCTCGGTAGATCGCTTTCGCCTCAGCATATCCACCAGCTGTTTCAGAGTCAAGGAGCTCACCACATCAACCTCGGATTCGACGAGCGGGATCTTAGAACATGGAATCCAACGCCCTCCGGGGCTTTTGAAGCGACTTACCGGCGCGCTTATGCTGTTGCGCTTTGATGCTTCTGACGGGATTTCAACTGTGCCCGACGTGCCCTTGTGACGTTATTCCCGGGCTGCAGATGAAAACACCGCGTGCTGGCCGCGCCGGCGACCCGTTGCCTTTGCTGACGCCTGTCTAGGTTGTAGCGGCTATGGCGAGGCCTTCTCCCGGCTCGCCTGTGCGGACATGACGTGCAATCGCCTTCGAGACAGTGCTGCAATGTGCCGCGTGCTATGAGCGATGTCTTCGAGGTCACGGCATCGGAGTCAGCACAACCGACACCTGGGGCAAGTCCATTGACTGGCAATGATCTCAGAATCTGAATGTGATACAGGCATCGTTAAGCCGAACACCGATGCGCCGGGAGCCGTGGAGTTCTGCCTACGGTGATCATGAGAGCTTCACTTCTGCCGCTGCCTCATGCTGAGCCTTCATTCTGGGCAATGTTGACAAGCCCAAGCGGCGAAATTCTTGGGCCTCGGGCATTGCGGTCCAGGCGCACGAAGTCTTGCCAAGCTCTTTCCCAGGGACCCTGGGAGGACTGTTTGTGCTCTTCTTCTGTGCAAGAAGACACATGCAACACATACGTCGCCGCTGCCATGCAACCGGCAAAATGAGCAAGCGTTTAGCGATGATCCAGCCTTCTTCCCAGAACTGACAGCCATTCGCCGAGGCAGCCGGCGCATGAGTCATAATTACTTGAACGGAGTGCAGGGATTCGTCAGCTGACATCCTTTCTGATTTAAGTTGCTCTTTCTTCGCACGAAGAGGCTCGTTGGCAAGATAGTTTGTCTTTCTGTCGCAAGAGTTGCCAGTGCTGAGTGCCTTCCTGAAGAACACGCTGGTGCCCTTCCCAGCACACGAGCGAGGCAAGCTACATGCAGTGTCAGAGACGCACTAACCCATGGAGGATCACAAGGACAGCTTTTTTCAAAATTTGCCGCGCTGCTCATTAGTTGTCCTTGCCTTGTAAGATTGAATGTGCCAGGGCAGCAGGCATCGAAAAACCGGTCCACAGCATCCACAGGGTCTCTTGCCATCTGAGAGCTAACGATCTTTGCACAGAATGCGCTACGAAGCGTTTGCCTGGCCAGGCCCTTAGCCCTTGGGCTACAGCAGACATATGGGCGTATGCACTCCAAAAGCGGTCGCCCATATAGACGTCAACGCGGGTTGCATCGACGGTAACGCAAATTGCGTCAGTGCACTCCTGCACTGTTGATTGCCCCTGCCGGTTGCCTTCCTGCATCTTAACATGTTGAAGTAATGGTATATGTGTGTCGAAATTGCTATATCCTGGAACCTATGTGGACGGCATGCAACATCCGTACTTGTCAGACAGGGCCGGTATGGTCAGGGTTTTAATAGTCTCCACACTTCCCGTTACTCAGCAGATGGTCGGGTGCGGACTTTTCCGTACCCATAGATCTGTCTCGGCGCTGCGACCCGATTCTGAAGTCTTGCAAGATCTTGCAACTGTGCCGAGGCAGTGTGCAAATGATACTCGAAGTCTGTGGGATCACATGGCAACTATGAAATGAAATGCGGGAGAGTACCCTGAACAAGCAAATCACTAGTCACTGGGTGCAAAGTGTGGCTGCCAGCATCTGGATCCCTTGCCAAGTGTTATGAGCCTTATGGCTCGACCCGCTCAGCCCATGAAGCCCCCCTGGCCAGCCTGAAACACTGAAACTCATTGAAACTTGCAGGTGCTTCAGTCATGTCTACGTGCCAAGACTTGCAAGACGGGACCGAGCGCAAGGCCAACCCACCCTTGTAGGAACCTTGCTGTCCCTCAGCATGCACACAGTCGCGAGACGTTGTCAGCTCCATGAATCACTGGCACCCGCTACCCAAGAATTATGGCCCCAGCCGCGCCCTGCAAGCCGCGCAAGTTTTCGGGCAGGTCCATATAGCCAGGCCTTACAGCGCCAACTTCTTCCGTCAACACCTTCTCTACAAGGCAAAGTGACTGCAAATGCAAAGTCCCGTCAATCTGTGGATGTGGCAGCATTCCGAAATTTGGATTCGAAGGTCCGCCCGAGGGTCCGGTTCCTGCATTGGGCATACCGCCCATGTTGCGCCCAGGGACCTGCAACAGTGCTGGCCACAGCTGTGCGATGAATCACTTCCAACACTATCTATCGCAGGGTTTTCATGTTGTACTCCCACAGCTTGGCTCCAAATGAGCCATTATAGTTGACACTTCTGGAGTTCTGCAGGTTCCGGGTTGCGGTTGCTTCAGGAACCTACTTCTTTGCGGCCTGCGGCGGCTGCTGGACAAATGCAGCGGCCCAGGCAGGATTTCCAGCCAAACCTGCTGCAGGTTAATGAGAAATACCCTCTTGAAACTTCTGCAGACGTGCATTCCAAGGGGCCCAAAGATTGCAGGTTGGGTAGGCCTTGTAGACCTGACGGACACAGTCAGCGCGAGATTGCCAGTTTGGCAAGTTGCTGCTGGCCTTGGAGGCCCTGGAGTCCTTGCCTGACATCAGAGAACATTCAAAGCGATTGCTCGAACGCTTCGCTCGCCGCTTTGATTTCAGAGCAGAACGCACGAAAGCTAGGGGGAAGGAAGGGAACTAGTGTATTGCAAATGCAGGCATTAAATGACGCACCCTGTATGCTCTGTTGCGATGTGGTCGGCAAGCAGCCATCCTCAAGTTCGACTGAGACTTTGAGTTCGCATGTGTTGTCATGCAGTAAAACCTAATCCTGCGCTGAACCACGCATGACTAAGCTCGTGACAACGGCTGAAACGTTTGTCTAGCCTCTTACAAACTCCTCGATGCTTGTGCTGGTCAACAACGAACCGGAAAGCCTTGAGCAATGCTGATGTCTCCAGTTGCGCAAATGCATATTGCGGCTGCTGGCGCTTGGATCCACAAATGAGTGAACAACAGCTCTTGCAAGCTCAAACAAGGTAGCTTCCGTGAAAAATTGGGCTTCCGGCAGATTGGGAAGGCCCTGCAGCCCCTGTGGGACTGACATCCCGAGGGTGCCGGCGCCCTCAGCTGACAAGTTGCTCCAGCGGACTCCCGTTTTGCAGGCAATGACTGTTCAATGACTGCGATGGCTTCGCGGGCTGTGGTCGAACTTCGCAAGGAAAGCCTCGTGCATGGCAAGTCTGAGTAGTCTGCCGAGAACTCCATCAGGTTGGGCATGCCTGCACACATCCCGCTGTCATGTTTGACGACTGAGTCAGACTTCAGCGTCTCCCACGACGAGTCCAAGCCGCCCAGCACACAAAATGCTGGATCTGAGCCGATACGTCTCCACCAAGATCCTGGCCTGGCATCAAGCCGAAGCCGCCAGTGCCTGTGACCAAGTTCGATCCACGACTCGATTCACCGCGGCTACATATTATGCGATCCCCTAAGAGCTGAATCCTAAGCCCAACTGGCAATGCAGAGTAGGCTTCAGACCCTATTGGTTCAAGCCTTCCAAAGGACGCCTCCGCCCCCGGCACGGAACTCCTACAGACAACGACTCCACCCTATGTATCATTTTGTTCCCCAGACTCCCGCGGAGCCCTCTCACTCCCGAACACTTTGCCATACAATTGCCATATAAGTTCCAGCCAGTAGAACCGACTGCTTCAATACGGAAGTACAGCAAGTACAGCACCACGGCCATCAGACCCGCAACCGTACAAACGCGGCACACAGTGAAATTCCACGTCCCCAAACTGTAGCCATGGCAAAAATAACTGCAACTGTTTCCGAGTATTGGGTAGTAGCTGTGCAGACAGGGAGGTATCGCGGAAGGCAGTTCAGTGAAGAAGCCGCCACTCTTATCAACTTTAACTTTGACCAACTGGAGTTGAGATCCATGCTTCAACCAAAGCTCATAGCGAAACAGGAAACGGGCGACAAAGGTGTGCCACCCTGGAAACGCTGGAAAGTCAGATGATCCATGGAAGCCCCTTGTAAAGGGAAGTGCGCGTTGGGCAGGCTGCATGCCCTCCTGCGCAAAAACCAAAATGCCTTTTCAACACGGCCGATCGCGCCGACTCGCGTGTCTGTGAATTAGCCCTGCTTCATGCTGGCTCATGCATCAAGCGAAACATGCAGAGCCATCTCTTTGTGGAAGCTGGTGGGCAATTCATGATGTTTCAATCTTGGTTCAGCAGGGGAACGGCGCAACGTTTGCGCAAACTTGCCTTAACTGCTAGAGCGCAGGCTGCTATGATGTGAACAGTTAAGCTAAGCACACTTCACTTGGTCCTGTGCTTTCTTTCCGTCAGGGGTTCATGACCCTGCAGTGCAAAACCCTCCAGCAGTCGATAAAAGGTCCTGCATCAGGTCATGCTCACGTGTTTAGCTTGCCACAGTTTGTGCTGCAATGAGGTTGGCTCGCTTTGGTCGCCATTCTCACGCAGCTCTAAAGCCCACAATCTTTAGTTGCCAGAAGACTGAAGCTTACGAAACACCCCGGGGCCACTCAGAGTGGCATGTGGCTGCTAGCTGATGGAACATATCTCGCCCTGCTGTTCATCGACCGAGCTCAGACCTCAGCTCGACGCGAAGAATCCCGCCCTCATTTGCTTCCCATGCGCGTCTCCCGCAAAGGCCGAGGAGCGCTTCTGGCGGCTCCGGAGTCCTGGTGGAGTCATCTCCCCCTCGTACTCCAGAAGCCTTGGAGATGCATCGCACCGTCGTTTTCTTCTGTGCAGAGAGTCTGAAGAAGGATTGTCCCAGGCCGCCGAACTCGACAGCAGTCTTCATCGTCGATAAAACCGGCGTGCTGTGCTTAGACTATTTCTTCTAAATTGTAAGGTCAAGTTGCTCATCGTCACCGTCGCAGCCGACACGGCAGCTCCTGTTCGGCTTTGTGAAAGAACAAGCTTTGCATTTCTAAGTTCAAGCGAAGGTCTTTGGGCAATGAGTCGAACGAGACCGTGTTGGCTGAGTTCCTGCTATGTACAGTAAAACCCCAAATCACGTGGGGAAGAGCCTTCCATAACATGCGAGCAGATTCAACCCAGTCCGTGCATGTTTGCTGAGTAACTGGTGTTCGGTCCAGTGCTGCGGTATCAGCACGCGATGTGCTGTCTCATCTCAGCTTATGGATCGAAGCCTGAAAATCTGAGACTTATTTGTATGTAAGGAAAAGGGGACCCTATAATACAGACGCCACAGAATGCCACAAACGTCACTCAGCAGGGTGCTCATTATGAGGATACATAAACAAGGAGACCCCAAGCCCGCCCCCCGAAAACCCGAGCTCCACAAGTTCATCCAGTGCAGCGGCTCGGACTCGCGGGCATAGAGCTTTTGGTGCGCTTCCTTTGGCCATCACATAAAAAGCAACATGCTGCAACATAGAACCGCTACTGAAAAAGCTGAAATGCCGTAAGCGTTGTGCCCAGCGGCCGTCCACTCCATGATCTCTGCAACTACGCAGGACGTGTCGTCCATTTTGCCGCCTTTGCCGATCCTGGGCTCGGGCTGTGCTGACATCGGCAGACGCGAAACATCAGCTTTCCCATCTAAACATCTGCGTCTCCTTTTCACGATCAAGCGAGAGAGAGAGAGAGAGAGAGAGAGAGAGAGAGAGAGAGAGAGAGAGAGAGAGAGAGAGAGAGAGGGAGCGAAAGATCTGACTGACCAGCGAGACAAGCGATACGGCCGGGGGCCAAGTTGATGCAATGGTCCAATGCTAAGCGGCAAGTCTTGTTCTTTGCAGAACATGCTGTCCGCCCTCGCGCTCACTCTCTCTTGTATACTCTTCCTACGGGCTTTCAAGACGACGCCCTTCCCCTGGCTGGCCACCACACATAGCCGCACAAATGCGTGTCCGATGTGCTGCTCTTTCGTATCTTTCTTGGACGCAGAAACTTGTCCCAGACCGCTGGCAGGGGCATGAGGGGTGTGCGAAACCCCTCGGCCACCAGGGCTCCCCCCCGTTGTTTGTTGGGGCATTGGAGGAGCGTGAAAAGCCGGATGTGCTGAGGTTCCCCCTGCAGTTTCCCACAAAATCTGAGAGGACATCAAAAGTGAGGGCCGGGTGAATTGGCTGTCCCCTGAGACAAGATTCGAACTATGAACCTGTCTGTCTGTTTCTCTCCTCCTTTCTTCCTTCCGTCGAAGCTGGATCTCTCTCTCTGTCCCTCTCTCTCCCTGTCTCTCTCTCTCACTCTCTCTCTCTCTCTCTCTCTCTCTTGCTCTCTCTCTCTCTCTCTCTCTTCTTCTGCAGGGCTTGAGGGGCGGGTGTGGCCCCCCGGCCTCCTGGGCCCCCCCTTTGTTACGGGGCTTTCGGTGGGGCGTGAAAAATCATGGGTTCCCCCAGGTTTCGCAGGGAAGTATAATGGACTATGAATGACCTGGGTTCTTCCATGGTGTTTGATGACACATGCATCCAACCTCAGCTGCGGGCCACGGACTATCAAGGTGTCCATACGATACACACCAAGGCTGACCTAAAAAGCGATTGTCCCCCACAGCCGTTGGTTTGAATTTGGCATCCGAGGCTATAGGCACTTTACATGTGCTCTGTGTTCGGTTGCCTGGTCCCTCGCTACCGTGGAATTATTGGAAAGCAGATGACAAAGGACAGCGAGTTTGTAGAGGCGTGCAAAAGGACCGTGGTGTCAGCTTAGTTGTGAGACTAGGGTCCCCCTCTTCATCTCAACTGCAAGTGTCTTACAAACACCAATCAACACACTTATTGGGGTTCCCCTTCATGAGTTGGAAGTGCTGTAGCAGTTCTTCCTTCAGATTAACAACCATGCCAAAGCTCAACCTGGCTCCCTAATCTACCTTGTTGCAACAGCACTGCCTCTGTGGAAGGATGACTGACATGATCAGAAGGCTTCGTGTGCAGGAAGTTTCGGCACCAACGATTACGCTCAAGTGTTGAAACAAAACTCAAGGCTTCCAACTTCTCTTTCTTTCTTTCGCAAGGCTTGAGGGCAAGCCCCCACCCAGAGGGCTGCCCCTGTTGTAGCTCTTCACTTCACTTCACTTCACTGGGGTCAAGCTCCGAAGAGCCCGCGCCTGGGCGCCCCCCTTCCCCCGTCTTCGGTGGAAAAGGGCTTTGGGGCAGTATCGCATGGGGTTGTTCCCCAAGAGGTCGGCGCAGTTTGTGGTGATTGCCTGTCGGTAAACCACCCTGACCCTGTTGTAGCTCTCTCTCTCTCTCTCTCTCTCTCTCCCTCTCCCTTGCCATCAAGTTGCGGCGCCTCTGCAAGGAAGCCTCCAGCTCGTATCTCTGTCTTCTGGTGTGCGGCCTATGGTCGCTGCAGACGTGCTTGGCCGAAAAAAGTCTTTCTGTAGCTCTTTCACCTGCCTGAACGATCCGCGTAGCGAGCAGTGTGAGCTGTGAAGAGTGTGTCGGCAACCTCGGGCGAAGCGCCCCAGCATATCCTAGCCGTGACACTTCTTACAGTTAAGTTCTTATCTATTATTTGGTATCGCTGGCTATTGATCGGACCTGACTGTAAGCAGCTGTCCCCATCCTTCTTCTACCGTGTCACATACTATCACAAGTGCCAAGTTCCGAGAAGCTGAAGGCCCGGTGGCAACGTGGCATTCGCAATGGCTGAGACTTCATCCTCGCAGCGTGGCAGCTGATGTTTTTGGGTGGCCAGCTCAGCCGTGCAGTCCCCGTCTCTGCCGCTCGGCCATCTTTTCAAACGGGCAAGGTCATTGTCTGCTACGGGCCATTGGCATCCGAGAAGCTAAAAACAGATTATCGAACACGCCGTCGGAGCCGACGAGCACAACGTCACCCTCCTCGGCAAGGTTTCGATTGTACAGAAAGGAACTGCGCGGTGCTGCAATCTGCCACCAATGATCGACTTTCGATTTTCTACCCCGACATGATCACAAGCAGAGAGCGACCGGCGCACTGGCTGCGCACTCGCTACCCATTGACCTGTGATCTTTTAGCGCAAGTGTCGTATGCAGAAACGCAGTGCACAGCGCTTCCGCGCTCGATGACTTCCACCGTGATGCTGTCCTCCGGCAGACTCATCGGTGCTGATTGCTTCTGATTGAATGATGACGGTGCGATTGCAGAAGCAAAGGTACCAGATGTTCTCGGCAACAGCGAAAAAGCAAGCCAAGTGGCATCAAAATTTGGATCGATGCGCTCATCTACACGGGCCAGCCTAGCGATCGTAGCTCGACAAGCAAAAACGCACTGCAAAGCACAGAACTGATCTTTTATCCTTATCCTCTGCATCTGAGCGACTGCAGTGGGGTCTGACAGTGGCCGTCCACGCGCTGCATCTCCTTGCGAGCTACAATTGTTTGCCTGCCCCTTTCGTCTTATTCTTGTATATTCTCGTTAATCCTTCTCTTCCTTACGCTCTG